CCAACATTGGAATTGAACCAAACTTGGCACACAGAACTTCTATGACCAACAGAAATACTGGGAAAGTTTGGTGGGCATTGAACTTGAGTTTGGGAGTTGTAGTTCACCTACATCCAGCGAGCACTGTGGACTCATACAATGATGGATCTGGACCAAATTTGGCATAAATACTCAATGTGCCCAAACACTGGTGGAGTTTGGGGAAACTAGACCTTGACATTTGGGAATTGTGGTTGCTGGGATTTATAGTTCACCTACAATCAAAGAGCATTCTGAACTCCACCAACATTGGAATTGAACCAAACTTGGGACACAGAGCTCCCATGACTACAAGAAAATATTGGAAGGGTTTGCTGGGCATTGACCTTGAATTTAGAAGTTGTAGTTCACCTGCATCCAGAGAGCACTGTGAACTCACACAATGATGGATCTGGACCAAATTTGGCACGAATACTCAATATGCCCAAATATGAACACTACTGAAGTTTGGGGGAAATAGCCCTTGACATTTGGGAATTGTAGTCGCTGGGATTTATAGTTCACCTACAATCAAAGAGCATTTTGAACCCCACCAATGATAGAATTGGGGCAAACAGAACCCCATTACTAACAGAAAATACTGCATGTTCTAATGGTCTTTGCCGACCCCTCTGACACCCCCTCATGACCCCCCCCCAGGGGTTCTGACCCCCAGGTTGAGAAATGCTGCTTTACACCAAGGAAGTCCTTTTTTGTGGACCACTTTCAAACATTTTTTTCCCATCTGTAGTCAAACTAAACTCTACATTAATTAAATGGATCATTGCACTGCATTTGCAGTTTTAAAAATGCAAATAGAATCAGCTGAAAAACATGCTAATAATATTAAGAATTGCAGCATAGAGAGATGGAGAATTTAACCCTGTTCACAGCTACTGCTTAAAAAATCTGAAAAAAAATCCCTCCCATGAAGCTGGTATTTCCACTGGGAAGAAATCCCTTCCTAGGTGCATGAAAGAGAGTATCCTTTAAGTGCAAACATCGGTTTCAGAGAAAGTGTTTCCCTCTGGGCTATATTAAATGCAAATATGCATTTCAGATAATGTTTTCTTTGATCCTTAATTGCTTTGCTAATCTGTTTATCAAAAAATCACCTTTGATCAAGTACAGGGGTGGTTGTTTTGGAGATTCAATTCTAAGCGAGCCTTTTCCAAGGTAACAAGCCTAGTATGAAAGCCAGCCATGTATTGCACATGATTCTGAAGCCTCAAGGTCAAAGAATGCCTTATTCTAAATACATCTTTAAATCCGATAAAGAGACAATAATTTCACACCCCTGCTGTTTACCCATTGACAATTGCTTACTCAAACCGCTATTTGTACCCCCAGCTGTTAATCGCAAATAGCAAGTGGGGAAGTGGGAGGATTTCCTCAGGAAAATGGCCCATACAGGTTCCTTAAGTAAAACAGAATAGATAGGAGATTCAAATAGTGGGATTCAAAGACCTTTTGGCATCATGTGTAAACTGAGTTAATAAGAAGTGCTCCATTTTCAAACAGGTCTGGGGGTTAGGAATCCCCAGCACCATCTAGTAGTATATCAGGAGAATAAGACCTGTCATGTTTATTTTCCAATTGTTGCATATAGGTGATATGTTTTATGTGCAGTGTATGATGGGTGTTAAACTTTAACCATGCTAGTATTTGCTTGCATGAAGGATGTTGAGGATTGTCACTTTCTCTCATTAGCTGGGAAGTGTCTATGTTTTCTTGGTACACATGGCCCTTGAGCTAGAAAGGGAAATAAAGGTAAAGGTTTCCCCTTGACATTAAGTCTAGTTGAGTCTGACTCTGGTAACACATCCGGGCATCCCAGGGCAACATCCTTGCAGACAGCCAATTCTCTCACATCAGAAGCTACTTACAGTTTCTCAAGTCACTCCTGACATGAAAAAAAAATTGAGCCCTCAGTGGCACAATGGGCTAAAACCTTGTGCCAGCAGGACTCCTGACCGAAAGGTCAGTGGTTCAAATGTGGAGAGTGGGGTGAGCTCCTGTTTGTCAGCTCCAGCTTCTCATGCAGGAACATGAGATAAACCTCCCACAGGGTGGTAAAACATCCGGGTGTCCCCTAGGCAATGCCCTTGCAGATAGCCAATTCTCTCATATCAGTAGCAACTTGCACTTTCTCAAGTCGCTCCTGACATGGAAAAAAAAAGTCTGACTCTGGGGAGTGGTGCTCATTTCTATTTCTAAGCCGAAGAGCTGGTGTTGTCTGTAGACGCCTCCTAGGTCATGTGGCCGACATGACTGCACGGAGTGCCATTACCTTCCTGCTGAAGCAGTACCTATTGATCTACTCACATTTGCATGTTTTTGAACTGCTAGGTTGGCAGAAGCTGGGGCTAGCAACAGGAGCTCATCCATTCCTGCGGACTGGTGAAAATAGTAACTGGCAAATAGTTTGAAAGCCATTCTCATGAGAGACTTCACATGAATGCCTGAAATATTTTGATTAGTGTGCCGGTGGGAAAAAAACCCAAGGAAGACAGACTGGCAGGCCAGGCTCAACCCCCCCCCCCCGAAATTTTTCAGGTTAAAAAACAACAACTTTTTTTTGCTATTTTTGGCCTTACTAACCTTGCATACCTTGTATGCAAGGTTACGGAGCAATAAGGAGCAATAAGGGTCTTTGGGCTGTATTTAAAATGTTGTTGTGTTATCGAACTACTCTTCATGATTTGCTAAAAAAAGTGTTTTTTTGCTACGGTCCTGCAGACTGGCATTGCCTATTAACAAATGGAACAAAATCCAATAGAATACTTGAATTGTTTTAGCTATAAATGTTTGGTGCAGTTCTTAAACCTAACAATATATGTTGCGCTGTAGATACACTCTATAGTATTAATGACAATTTTTAGACTTTGTGAGATTTGTTTGCCTGTACATGACATGGTATGGAATATGGCTTCGCAAGCAGTGTGGCAAATAAACTTTTACCTCTATTTACTATACACAAACTCTCAAGATGTAATATGAAAATTTCAAGCTCTGTCTTTTTCCAAGTTGGACACATTTTGGTGGGGTCACTGGAGCCATTGTTTTGGGCCCCATGTGGCCACCGTTTGCCCATCACTGTCCGAGAGCGCAGCCGCAGTTTGTGCAGAACTCTGTTTTGATTTAGACATGTTGAGTCTAGCTTTCATCTTGTGCTCTAGAGCATGATCAATATTCCCTTGAAGGGAAGATCAGTAATGGGAGGAAAACTGCTTCCACAGTTGAGACCACCAAGCCAGCCGTAGGGTTTGTTCAAGAAAGAGCTGTGCTTCAAAGGTTTTGAAAAATGTATTATTACAACAGGAGTTGTAGTACACATACAGATACACGCACACAGGGCAAAACAGCCTCCTTCCTCAGACTTTGTAGCGATGACTGCATACTTTTTTCCCATAGGCAAGGGATGGTTGCTCAGAACATTTGGGGTTCTTTTTTCTTTTAATCATGTCAGAAGCAACTTGAGAAACCACAAGTTGCTTCTGATGTGAGAGAATTGGCCATCTGCAAGGATGTTGCCCAGGGGATGCCTGGTTGTTTTATCATCCTGTGGGAGGCTTCTCTCATGTCTCCACAAGAGAAGCTGGAGCTGACAGACGGGAGCTCACTCCATCTTGCGGATTCGAACTGCCGATCTTCAGGTCAGCAATGCAACCAGCACAAGGGTTTAACCCATTGTGCCACTGCGGCTTCTATCCGGGGTCATAAATTGCAGCTCCTGAAGCTTCCTAGGAATCCTCCCAAATCCCTCAAGGCTTCTCGCTTGCATCTCATTTATTTATTTATTTATTTATTTTACTTACTATTCTTGTATACCGCTGTATCTCAAGCCCGAGGGCGACTCACAGCAGTTTCCAAACAGCAAAGACCATAAAAACAGCAATCATTAATATACAATAACAATTAAATTACACATTTCCATTAATAATTAATAAGCAATCATCAATACACAGTTATCCCAATCCCATCCCCGATCGCCTCATCATCCAAACGTGATCCAAATTCATCGTCCATTGTTCCGTTCCTATGTTCACATTTCCAAAATTGCACTGAATTACTCAAACGCCTGCACAAACATCCAGGTCTTCAACTTTCTACGGAATGACATGAGAGATGGGCTAGCCTACCCAGGAAGGGTTCCACAGCCGAGGAGCCACCACCGAGAAGGCCCTATCTCTCGTCCCCGCCAACCGTGCTTGAGAGGCTGGCGGGATCGAGAGCAGGGCCTCCCCGGAAGATCTCAAAGTCCGGGTGGGTTCATAGAGATGCGGTCAGATAGGTATCTTGGGCCGGAACTGTTTAGGGCTTTATAGGCCAATACCAACACCTTGAATTGGGCCCGGTAGCAAATCGGCAGCCAGTGGAGCTGGTGCAACAGGGGGGTTGTGTGCTCCCTGCGCTCCGCTCCTGTTAGAATCATGGCTGCTGCGCGTTGGACTAATTGCAGCTTCCGGGCCGTCTTCAGGGGCAGCCCCACGTAGAGAGCATTGCAGTAGTCTAGGCGGGACATCTCATGACAATTATCTTTTCCACATCCCCCAGAATTACCCAACACATTTTTTGGCCATGGACTGGCTGAAATTGGTGACCAAAAGTGATGAAATTCCACTTCCAGTTTTCCCATTTATGAAATACATAACCTGCCTTTCAACACTTGTCCACTTTATAATATAAAATAATAAAACTTTATTTGTATACTGCTCTATCTCCCCAAGGGAACTCAGGGCAGTTTCCAACCTACGCAAAACATTCAATTACCAACACAAAATCATATAAAGTAACCAAACATAATACTATTAAAACAACCACACACCTTTCCAGAATTATTCCATTGGGTAAGATTCGAACTACCAATACTACGATGCTCATGTATGATATGTGTTTGTGTATATGTATATGTGTATAAGTATGTAACGAAATACATTGTCATACAAAGCTGCATCCTTCCTTGAAAATATTTATCTTACCTCGGCTTCTTCCAGGGCTAGCTGAATTTCTGATTTCTCTTGCTCAGCCTGTTTCTTCATCTTCTCGATCTCATGAAGGCTCTTGTTTCCTTCACTAATCTGGTCTGTTAGATCTGCAATTTCCTCTGAAGAGATGTAAACAAAACAAAAAGCAGTCACAAGAGACTGTAGGTATATGAAAGTCCAAAACACAGCAAATTGATTTGATTCCCATCTGTCATGGAGAACGGAATTGTCAAAGCTCTTTCCATCCAAACAACTAACTTGATGTTAAGGCATATTTTGAATGTAGTGCAATGGCTTGCATGTAAGACTAGAAGTGCAGTATAATTAATGTAATTTATGCAGTTTGACACCACTTTAACTGTAATGGCTTAACACTACAGAATCGTGGAAGTTGCCGAGGTTACCAACATTATCTGGCAAAGAATGCAATGGATCTCGTAAACCTACATCTCCCAGAATTCCATAGTACTGAGCCATGGAAGTTAAAATGGTGTCAAACTATATTAATTCTATAGTGTAGATGCACCCTAGGATCAGGGAGGCCAGTGTTTGAATCTCCCTTTCAGCCTTAGGGGATCTAGTGCAAATCATACACTCTTAGCCTAGAGAAGAGCAATGACAAGACTCCTCTGAATAAGTCTTGACAAGGAAATCGTGGGATGGCACTGCAATACAAAAGAGAAAAGTCATATTTTATGTTTTCAAAAAGGTTTTAATATATATATTTAAAAATGCATGTTGTGGGGAAGGATGTAAACATCTGAGATCCTGGCAACATGAATGTGCCTTCCCCCAGCACTTTGTAGTTTCATGCACCATTCTATCCATCATTGCACATATTCATGATGTGATTGGTGTATATTAATGATTTACGACACCCATTGGGGATCTCAAAGACTTACAGGAATGAATGACACAAGAGTAAACATGATACAGTAGTTTGGGAGTTGGATTAAGATCTGGGAGACCAGGCTTTGATTTCTTGCTCAAAATCCACAGAGCGATCTTATGCAGGTCACATCCTCACAGCTTCAGAGGAAGGCAATGACAGCTGCCTTCTGAACAAATATTGCAGAGAAAACCCTATGACATGTTCACCATAAGTCAGAAATGAATGAAAGCCCACCATTCACAAATGACAGGATGGGCTTGAACCAATGGTTCTACATATCTCCAGATGAGAAGGGAATTTATGATGTCCCCAACCTTTTTTTGACCAGGGGCCACTTTGACTCACCAATATTAGTATCAACACTCACCAATATTAGTATCAAAAGGGTTCCAAATCAGTTTTTGGTCAACTTTAGCTTCGGTTTAGATATTTGGGGTGCTGGTTCATAAAACTGCATTGGATAGACCACATCAGCTCTAGTTTGTGACACAGAACATATGCCATCTAGTAGTCACCATCTGCTCACCCACAGAAAACCATATTAATAAGCCTCAACACTATAAAACCAGTCACTCTTGTTGCAACGGTGTAGTAACAGTGAGGTTGCAGTCCATATTTTAGTTCTTGTGGACCACTGGTGGTTCACAGACCACAGGTTGGAAACCACTAAGTAGAGAATGTCTTCCTTCTCATTCAACTATTGGAGTGAGCTTGATAAGTTACTTTTTAAATGTAATCTATTTTGTTCACTTCTGGGTTTCCATAATTAATCTGTTATTGTTATTCATTACAGTTTCTGAAGAGATCTGCGATGCTACATACTATCTTTTCATAGCGTGTCATAATTTCCCAGCAACAATTTGGGACTGAAAAGGGAATGGAATAAGATTTTTTGAAAAAATAATCATGTCAAAGTGCTTCTAAAATTATCCTCAAAATTTATGTTGCATCCTAACTGGAAAGCATTACTCAATAAAATAATTTGTTTTCTCTCCCATTGTGCTACATTTGAAGCATGGCTTGCTTACACTGATATATTTTCTTTAAAAAGAAAGCAATTATTTTCCATTAACGAAATTATTTTGTTGTTTTCAATTTAGCTCTCCATCTTCCTCTCTTTCTGATTTAACTGCTTCACATTGGAAGAACGTGACCTACCCTGGAGATTCTTGTTTTCTCTTTTTAGAGTCTCCAGATTGTCCAGGCTTTCTTCATAGGCATTCTTCAACTTAAATAACTCCGTGCTAAGGCTTCGGGCTTCCTTCTGGGCAGCTTCAAGCTCGGCTTGGGACTCCTCATACTTCTGTTTCCATTCAGCAATAATCCTGTCAAAATTACGCTGCTTCTTGTCAAGGGCCGCTGCTGCAGAGTTGGCCTTTTCCAGATCAATCATCATGTCCTCCAGCTCATTCTGCAGCCTGTGTTTTGTCTTTTCCAGAGAAGAGCATTTGGCATTAGCTGCCTCAATGGCTTCTTCGGCCTCCTGGAGACGAGCTGCCAACTTTTTCCTAACCAAAGAGATGAGTGATAAGAAGACCCCTAACAACAACAATAACAAAAACAACAGCACAAACCAGTTTCATTTTCATTTGACAATCAATTTTAATTGCTTCATAATTGCTTGCAAACTCTTTTCTCCCACTGGTTGCATTACGATGGCTCGCTTAAACCTTAACAGCATTAATATAGTCTGCTAAACCTCTCTTGAAGGTTGGCAGTTTTTTAAAATCATGTCTGAAGCAACCTGGGAAACTACAATTGGCCGTCTGCAGAGATGTTGCCCAGCGGATGACCAGACGTGTTACCATCTTGTGGGAGGCTTCTCTCATGTCCCCGAATGGGAAGCTGGAGCTGACAGATGGGTGCTCACCCTATCTCATGGATTCGGTCAGCAGTTCAGCTGGCACAAGGATTTAAACCATTGTGCCACTGTGGCTCCAGATATAGTTTACAGTTTAAAACAAGATGTTACAGTTTAGGAGATACCTTATTCTTATTTTATATAGCACCATGGTATATGCTACATTATTTTAAATGACAGGAGAAAAAAAGTGAAAATAAGGAACTTTGATAATTGATTCTTTCACATTCTCTATAATTTGCAGTGACCATTCCAATTACTCTTCTACTATCCCCCTTTTTCAGCTACTTTTAAAATATCCCAATTTCTCTCTCCTTCTCCCTCATTTCCTCCTTTGTCTGCAACTTGCTTCAATTGCTGCAAACCATGAGTGCAAATTGCACTCAATTAACTCAATAGAGAGGAAATGAGAAGCAGTGTAGAGTGGTCCTCCCCAATAAGCTCAGGCAAAAGTAAACTGCTGCAGCCTCCCTAGCTTATGTGGTCTTCCTAATAAATAATTTTTACGATCTTGATTACACTCTGATGTTGCTTGGTTAAATATCCCAGTTTTTGTCTCCGAAAGGTTGGAGTTTGTGCAACCATCTCTTGTTTAAGAAAATCCCATGAAATCCTTGAGAGAGCCTTAAGTCGACAGGTAATATGAAGGCACATCCATCCATGTTTTCATAATGTTATGTTATGTTTCACAGGGTAAAGACAGGAGACCAAAAAGCAACAAAGTGCCATTGATCCTACCCAACTCAACCTGATGTCTCATCTTTACCTCTGATGGGTGCAATTTTTTTCTGAGAGGGGCGGTCAAAGGATAATTGGATCTGTGGAACTGAACCAGCTCCAATGTTACTTGGGTGAGGAATCTACTTTATGCCTTTGTCTGGACTTTTAAGGATAAGACACAGCACATTGAATGGTTTCTTTACTGTTTGAACACAAACCCAGTAGATTCACCACTCCACTAGCATCAGAGTCACCAGCCACCACCTGGGCCAAGATGATGGCGGGTGTCTCATTGCTAAATGATATGGCTGCTGACTTAAGTTTTCTATGTGAGAGGACCTAGTGTTAAGAATGGTGGCCAAGGGGAGTATCTCACACAAGCTGAAAGCTGTATCCAAGGAACAATTACAACATCACATGGAAGACTGATGTTGTGTGGTGTGAAAATTATTCATTCTTGCATGCATGGGCCAAATAATCTAAAGTTTATATTCCTGCTGGATCCCCTATAAAATTCTGCATTTGAATTAAGATGTTTATGAAATAAAACCTTCATCTGGAATCATTCCTCGACTGTCATTCCTTTATGTGGAAACATAAGTCAGACACCCTTGTGAGATCTTACTTGGCATCTTCCAGTTCTTCAGTCCTTTGGATAGCATCTGTTTCATATTTAGTTCTCCACTGCGCCACTTCCGCATTTCCCTTGGAAAGGGCTCTCTGCAGCTCAGCCTTTGCTTCCTGCTCTTCCTCATATTGCTCACGCAGCAGGTCACAATCATGCCGAGCAGCTTGCAAAGCATGGGCCAAAGCATTCTTGGACTGTGGGGCAGAACCAGAGGGTAGTGTTTTATCACACACTCCAATGGAGGAAATAGTAATGGGCAAAGCAACCCATTCTTGTGGTGGATGCAAAACTCTTTTCTCCCACTGGTTGTATTATGATGGCTTGCTTAAACCTTAACAGCAATAATGGACTTTCCCAATCTTATCGGTACTGCAGTCCCTGGCATTTTGTATTTTATTCATACTTATAGAAAGGACAAGCCCCCAGCTTGTGTGAATCAGTGCAATTGTGTTGCACTCGGTTCAGGAATGCTGTTCTGCGCCAGCTGAAGGACAAGATCTTAAGAGAGAGTCGTTTCAGGCTGACTCAGAATCATGCTGGGATTCTTAATCAAAGCATTTACCTTGGTCTCTTCCTCCAGCTGCCTTTTAAGTTCCTCTATTTGTTGAGTGAAAGACAACTTCCCCCGGGAAAGTTGGTTTATAAGCGATTCTTTCTCTTCCAGCTGTCTCGTAAATTCACCTGCCAGAGGGTTATCACAAAAAGATAATGAATCGTAAGTTTGCTTTGAGAGGGAAGGGAGAGAAGGAGAGGGCCCTGCTCAGAGGCAATTATTCCACAGGTGAAGGTAGCACACCGCCTTTTTTGCCTTTAAGGCTCACAGGAGGGAAAGTGGGGATTTCATGGCGTAGGCTACGCATAGGCTAGGCCACATTTTGCCAAAGCTAGGTTTATACGCAGCCTCTTAAAATGCAGTCTCTTAAAATGCCCTCTAGATATATTGAAAGGCAAAAGAGAAACACCCATATATTTGATAGCAAGCTAAAAAATAAATTCTATTCTATTCTCACAGTGTTTCAGATCTCTTGCTTCAGATAAGTTTGTAGTACAAATATTGGTTAGAATACACTTTCCCATTATAGCATGCCCTTCTTCTGCATGAACACTAAAGTTAGAAGAAGGATGGACTGGCAAAAGAGAGGCCCAGGAATTGGCTCCATTTCAACCTGACTTTCGAGTCTCATTATGAGATAGGGACACCTTGACAGATATCTTACACCATGAATTGGTCTTGGGGGAGGGGGGGTGCCTGCTTCTTGGATTTTCTGGAATTCTATTTCGCTTTAAGTATTTATTTATTTACCATATTTGTACCCCACCCTTCTCAACCCCGAAGGGGACTCAGAGCAGCCTTACAATATGCAACAGTTTGATGACTTATCAGACAAGCAATAATAAAATCAACATATAAATAAAAAACTTAAAAATTAAAAGAGAAATATAAACATTAAAAACAATAATTAAAACCACACAGTCCAAAATCATAGTCAAGGCCATTCTTGTCATGACTGCACATATTCCATCTTCTCTTATTGCACTGCGCATCTACCCAAAGGCTTGGTTCCAGAGCCATGTCTTCAATCTCTTTCTGAAGGAAAGGAGAGAGGGGGCTGACCTGATTTCACTGGGAAGGGAGCTCCATAGCCAAGCGGTCACCAATGAGAAGGCCCTGTCTCTCTCGTCCCCACCAAACACACCTGCAAAAGAGGTGGGGCCAAGAGCAGGGCCTCCCCAGATGATCTTAACCTTCGATATGTTTCATAGAGGGATATATGTTTGGACAGGTAAGCTGGGCCAGAACCGTTTAAAGCCAGCATTTTGAATTGTGCTCAGTAACAGACAGGCAACCAGGGGGGTTGTATGCTTCCTTTACACTGCTCCAGTGAGAAATCTGGCTGCCACCCATTGGACCACAAGAAGCTTCCAAACAATCTTCAAAGGCAACCCCACATAGAGCGTGTTGCAGTAGTCTATATGGGATGTAACAAGAGTGTGGACCACCATGGCAAGGTCTGGCTTCTCAAGGTATGGGCACAACTGACGCACAAGTTTTAATTGTGCAGAAGTTCCCCTGGTTACTGCTGAAACCTGGGGTTCCAGGCTCAGTGATGCATCCAGGAGAACTCCCAAGTAGGATTAACCATGGCATTGTTTTAGGCCACCTTTAAGTAATAGAATCATAGAATTATTGGAACAGACCTCATGGGCCATCCAGTACAACCCCCTGCCAAGAAGCAGGAAAATCACATTCAAAACATCCGACAGATGGCCATCCAGCCTCTGTTTAAAAGCTTCCAAAGAAGGAGCCTCCACCACACTCCAGAGCAGAGTTTCCCTGCAGAACAGCTCTCACAATTAGGAAGTTCTTCCTAATGTTCAGGTGGAATCTCCTTTCCTGTAGTTTGAAGCCATTGCTCTGAGTCCTCCAGGGCAGCAGAAAATAAGCTTGCTCCCTCCTCCCTATGACTCCCGCTCACAGATTTATACATGGCTATCATGTTTCCTCTCAGCCTTCTCTTCTTCAAGCTAAACATGCCCAGTTCTTTAAGTTGCTCCTCATAGGGCTTGTTCTCCAAACCCTTGATCATTTTAGTCACCCTCCCCTGGACATATTCCAGCTTGTCAACATCTCCCTTCAGCTGTGGTGCCCAAAATTGGACACAGTGTGATTCCAGGCGTGGTCTAATCAAGGCTGAATAGAGGGGTAGCATGACTTCCCTGGATCTAGACACTATACTCCTATTGATGCAGGCCAAAATCCTGTTGGCTTTTTTTTTTTTTTTTGCTGCTGTATCACATTGTTGGCTCACATTTAACTTGCTCTTGAGCCAGGCATCCCCCATTCTGTGTCTTTGCATTTCATTTTTTCTGCCTAAGTGGAGTATCTTGCATTTGTTCCTGTTGAACTTTATTTTGTTAGTTTTAGCCCATCTCTCTAATCTGTTCAGATCATTTTGAATTCTGCTCCTGTCTTCTGGAGTATTGGCTATCCCTCTCAATTTGGTGTCATCTGCAAACTTGATGATCATGCCTTCTAACTCTTTATCTAAGTCATTAATAAAGATGTTGAACAGGACCAAGACCAGGAGGGAACCCTGTGGCACTCCGTTCATGACTTCTTTCCAGGATGAAGAGGAAGCATTCGTGAGCACCCCTGAGTTCGTTCACTTAACCAATTACAGATACACCTAATTGTAGTTTTGCTTATCCCACGTTTAACTAGTTTGTTTGACAGAAGGTCATGGGAGACCTTGTCGAAGGCCTTACTGAAATCCAATTACGCTACATCCACGGCATTCCCCGCATCTACCCAGCTTGTAACTCTACCGAAAAAAGAGATCAGATTAATCTGGCATGACTTGTTTTTGATACATCCATTTTCACTATTAGCGATGGCCTCATTTGTTTCTAAGTGTTTGCAGACCACTTCCTTAACAATCTTTTCCAGAATCTTGCCTGGTGTCAACATGAGGCTGACTGGATTTAATTGTTTGGGTCGTCCTTTTTTTCCCTTCTTGAAGATAGGGACCACATTTGCCATCCTCCAGTCTGCTGGGACGTCTCCTGTTCTCCAAGAACTCTCAAAGTCATTTTTAATTTTTGTAGATAGCTCAGTTATTGTTATTATTTTAGTAATAACTTGTAACAATGTTTAAATATACAGTCACCTCACCACATACACTGAGGTTAAGTGTGCCAGACCTTCATAAGCATGGAAAAATAGTTAATAAAACCTTTTGTTATTGAAAAAGCACCTTCCTAGGAATCTCTAGGTTCTCCACACTGATGCTATGGTCAACTCCCTATGAATGTCTAGGTCTTCTAGTATGTCCACAGAGTCATAATAAAAGACCTAGAGATTTTTAGGTCCTCATCACACTAACATGTGGATTTGCCATGCATCGCGGCAATTCCATGGGGTCCTGGTGGTGGGGGTGTGCTGCCATGGTGGCAATGTATGCCATTTCCTCTCCTCTTTTGCCACAGAGCCCAGTCGGAAGTAGATGTATGTCGTGTAATGGGTTCCATGGCAAAAGGGGGGAGGAACCAGTGTACGACAGGCAAATTAGCCCATATGATGTTGTTAGAGAGAGTGTCCTATCAAAACCATGGATAATCAAATTTTCCAAAAGTCAAACTCACAAATGTGGAGGGATTATTGTATTTCTTTTTTTATCTTGTTGTTCAAGTTTATTCCTACTTATGGCAACCCTATCATAGGGTTTTCTTGGCTGAGAGAATGTGACTTGCCCACAGACATCCAGTGGATTTCCATGACCAAGCAAGGATTACAGCTGGGCTACTAGAGGCATAGACGAACACTGTAGCTACTACACCATGCTTTTAAAATCTGTATCTTTAAAAAACACACACTAGACTCTTGTATTAAGAGAGGACAGTGGGGTGTGTATGTATGAATACCACGGGGAAAAAAACAGAACTTGAAAAAGTTATCTACAGTTCCCAGACAGAGACTTTTCAATATTATCGGTCCACTTGTGGAATTTATTCCCCAATACAGCTTACCTGCAACCATCTCTATTTTCTGCTTTATGGTTGGTAAACTTGTTTTTCATTTGGCAAGGTCTTTTAGTTTATTCTTTTTTATATGAATTTGATGCTGAAGTTTTGCAGCGAGGAATTTAGTATCAAAAATAGATAATACTCTTCTTGATGATCAATACAGAGCACACAAGGAGTTCAAAATGCTTGGGGAGCAGCTGTCGTTTGAGATAGATTGCAATAACATTTCATCCTATGTTTCTTTTAAAACAATTTCAACCTCCTTGAAAGAATATATATATATATATATATATATATATATATATATATATATATATATCTTTAGTCCCTCCTGACTGTAATTAATAAATGAAATTTATTCTCTTGTTGTTGGAGGAGACAAGAACAAAGCAGAAATATGATTCATTTGACTTTGATTCATTGTCTAAAAATCAGAGACTGAACTGATTAGGTAGCATCAATTCCCAACATATTAACCACGACAGGAAATAATGATCATTATCTATTTTCAGAAATAATAGGGAAAACTGGTAAAATAAATTCCTGTACTTATTTCATTATCAGTGGTGAGAATGGACATGGCTAAGATGCAAGAAATATGCTGAGGATGTAGAGTTTCTCTCGTAGTGAAGGAGGCTTTGGGTTGTGCCACTACATGAAAAATTAATAGCAAAGTATAAAGTTCTTAGAGGGAGAAGTAGGATAGACATCTTAGTAAAGATATGCTGTCCAGTCACGCTGCCTGCTGTCCTGGGACCATGTGGGTTTCCGCATAAATATTGGGGAAAAATTCTACAAGATATTTGATATTTGTTCAATATTAAAAGTACAAGACAGTTCACTTGCTAGAGAAGAAAAATACAACCTGTGTTGAACAATTGATTATAACTCAGAGTAGGGGAGATATATATATATATATATATATATATATATATACTCATGCGGTGCTATATTTATTATCACCATATTATATTGTTACTTTTGTTGAAGTAAACTAATAACATATTGAGGTTACTTTTATTAGAGAAGTGACATTGTACTTGTATTACTTATATCCCAACAATAAAAATATTATTAAAAATACTTACTCCTTCATTTTGTTAGTGTTTGGGGTAGTTTCTTAACTGTATGTTTTACAGAGCTTGAAAAAGTTGTGTGTATATGTGTGTGTGTTTTTTTTACTATAGCTGCCAGAATCCCACAGCCACCATAACCATTAGAATCTGTAATTCAAAAATTTTCTGTGCTTTGGTTTTACATTGCATGGTGCTCTGAGAGTCAAGTCTGAAAAGTGTCTAACAAAAATACAGACAGGGCCCTTCCACACAGCCATATAACACAGAATAGCAAGGCAAAAATACCCACAATATCTGCTTTGAACTGGGTTATCTGAGTCCACATTGTCATATAATCCAGTTCAATGTGGATTTTGTACAGCTGTGTGGAAGGGGACTCATTCCAACACATTCACTGGTTAGGAGTGGCAAACCTCATTTAAGTGGGAAAAAGTACATTAAAACATTGCTATTTTTTTTACCTAGTTCTCTAACACAACTCTTTGATCAACTTCCAACAAAATGTAGCAGACTATATGGAATAAATGCATGAACACTAAGGGCCCTTCCACACTGCCATATAATCCAAAATATCAGGGCATATAACCCCCATTATCTACTTTGAACTGGATTATCTGAGCCTACACTGTTATATAATCCAGTTCAGAGCAGATAATCTGGATTTTATACAGCTCTGTAGAAGGGGCCTTATAAAAAAGTTACAACTAGTGTTAATATATATATTGTGCCTTCGTGTCATCTGTTGACTTCTGACAACTCCATGAATTTTATTTCATAGAGTTTCCTTAGACAAGGAATACTTATTAGAGGTGGTTTGCCATTGCTTTTCTCTGAAATACAGATCTTACAACAACTAGCATTCATTGGTTGTCTCCCATCCAAATACTACACCTTTCTTAGCTTCCAAGATCAGATGCAATATAATTTCTTCCAGATATTTAGACCTCAAATGTGTCTTACTATTCCGAATTAGTCTCCATATTTAGAAGATTCTTTGCTAGCATTCTGTTGTGTATGCACTGAGTACTGGAACACCAACACACATGAGTTGGGGATAAACAAGCTTGGAGGAATTCCAAGGTTTGAAAAAAGTGAGATATATTGTTTAAAATACATCCAAGAAGAACAGTGGGAACAGTTAATTTAATGAGGTCTGAATATACTCAGTGGCACAGAATGGTGACTGATGTCTGGGGAAAACCTCCCCAAACAAATTGCTTTCAAAATATCCCAGAGTCTTTTGCTTCCTCCCATTTTGTCTCTGCCTTCTGCCTAATTCACTTGCTGCAAACTGCATTCAAAGTACATCCTCAGGCTCCAGCTACACTGACTATATTATCCAGTTTCTGAATGCATATTATCTGCTTTGAACTGGATTATATGAGTCTACTGGATTATATGAGTGTAAAGCAGATAATCTGCATTCAGAAACTGAATTATACGGCAGTGTAGGTGGAGCCTCTGAAAAGAAGGAGGGAGAAAAAAGGAGGTGGACAAGTCTTGCCCTTCCGAGTAGATTCAGGCCTCTCCTAGCCTCTCTGAGCTTGTATGTTCTTCCTCAATAGTAACTTTTGCCATTTTGTTCATACTACGGTATTGGTTGATTATACACATCCTGGTTTTCATATGTGAAATGTTGGGTGATATGTAATGGCATTGCTGGCTATTAATGAGAAGGACTGATGTAATCTTATACACAGAAGAGCATAGTCAGCCAGCTCCTTTATGCTGAGTCAGAGATCCTTGGTCCAGATCTAGAACTGTCAGGTGAACTCCGAATAGCAGTGACTCAAATAGTTTCAGGTCAGATTCTTCTCTGAAATCTCCTATTCAAATAATAACAGGTTCTAAATCTGATTAACTTGTGAATCAGATGAGATCAGACGTGTTTAGGAGGTGGTACAGTGACATTAGTGGGACCTGCAAGTAATTTTGCAATGCAGAAAATTCCTCTTTAGGATTGCAACCACTCTACTGAGTTCCCTCAACTGTCTGCCCATTTCTACACTACTGCTGTAGTATGTCTATGCCCCACACCACGGGAGAAATTATACTGTTTGGCTGGTATTGCACTACCTGATATCTGTCAGGAACTAGAATTCAATACTGAAAAGACCAAGGTAGTGACATCTTTGGCCCATCCTCTGCTCAGATATCAGCTAGCATGCCAACGGCTGAAATCAAGAAACAGCTTCCTAAGATTGAGAGAGATTCTCACAGGAACACCTCAGCAAGCGAGAATCCAAAAGTGGCAGGTTAAAACCCGGCATCTTAATCAGTGGCTGAGACCGGATGAGAAACTCCCTCCTGGGCACACAGAAGATTGGGCTCTGGCACAACGAGATGCAGAGCTAGCCTTAAGAAATGGGGCTACAAAGTGGAGTTCATAACATGCAAGTGTGGAGAAGAGCAAACCACAGACCACGTACTACAATGCAGCCTGAGCCTTGTCAAATGCACAATGGACGACCTTATCACAGCGACACTAAAGGCACTCCAAGTAGTCAGCTTCTGATCAAAGGAAATCTAGCATAATGCCAAGTTTTTAAAACTTTGTGCTTTTAAATGTATTTTAACTGTACCTTCATCTTGCTTCTGACACGATAGATAAAATACACTACCGTTTTAATAACAATAACAACAACAACAACAACAACAACATCAACAACATTAAATCTCTGTTGCAATGTTTCACTGTGACAGAAGAATAGCCTCAAAAGAAAAATAATAATAACCTCTCCTGCCCCTCTACACTACCTACAAATCCTGCTGGAGCAATTTCAAAATGGATGTTTTAACTTTTTCCTAAAAGAAACCCTACGGTTAGCAAAAAAGAAAATGAAAAAAGGTAACTGCTTGCCTTTGTCAGTTGGGTTGCGATTGTCTCAAGCCCTTGGGAATCTACTAAAATAATATCATGTCACAGAAAAGAAACCCCCAATTGGAAAAATAGGATGGAAAGCATAAGTCTTCTGTGGGCAATGAATGGAGTACACTGTGCATTGGGAACAATTCACCCAAAATACAATGCAAATCACCAAGTGCAGCAATGACAGAATAGGAGAAGGTTGCTTTATACTGAGTCAGATCACTACTCCATCTAGCTACAATGTAAAAGAAAATCTACATTTCTGTTACTGCAGCTCACAACATTCTTCAGCAGACATGGCTATGCCATTTGTTTTTTGGGGAGAAATATATGGGACCAGGGAACTGCAGTCCAAATACATGTTGTAGTTTATTCGTTGAGTTGCTTCCGACTCTTTGTGACCTCATGGACCAGCCCACGGCAGAGCTCCCTGTCGGCTGTCACCAACCCCAGCTCCTTCAAAGTCAAGTCAGTCACTTCAAGCACACCATCCATCCATCTTGCCCTTGGTCAGCCCGTCTTCCTTTTTCCTTCCTTTTCCCCCAGCATCATTATCTTCTCTAAACGTTCCTGTCTTCCCATGATGTGGCCAAAGTACTTCATCTTTGCCTCTAATATCCTTCCCTCCAGTAAGCAGTTGGGCTTTATTTCCTGGAGTATGGACTGCTTTGATCTTCTTGTGGTCCAAGGCACTCTCAGAATTGTCCTACAACAACACAGTTCAAAAGCGTCTCTCTTCCTTCAATCAGCATTCCTTATGGTTCAGCTCTCACATCCATACGTTACTATGGAGAATACCATTGCTTTAACTATATGGACTTTCGTTGCCAGTGTGATGTCTCTACTCTTCACTATTTTATCAAGATTGGTCATTGCTCTCCTCCCAAGAAGGAAACCTCTTCCGATTTCCTGGCTGCAGTCTGCATCTGCAGTAATCTTTGTGCCTAGAAATACAAAGTCTGTCACTGCCTCCATGTTTTCTCCCTGTATTTGCCAGTTCTCAATCGGTCTGGTTGCCATAATCTTGGGTTTTTTTTAATGTTTAACTGCAACCCAGCTTTTGCACTTTCTTCTTTCACCTCAGCTCCTTCTCGCTTTCAGCCATCAAAGTGGTATCATTTGCATATCTAAAGTTGTTAATGTTTCGTCCAGCAATTTTAATTCTAGCCTTGGATTAATCAAGCCCCGCACATTGCATGATGTGTTCTACATACCAGTTGAATAGGTAGGGTGAGAGTATACAGCCCTGCCATACTCCTTTCCCAATCTTGAATCAGTCTGTTGTTCTGTGGTCGGTTCTTACTGTTGTTACTTGGTCATTATACAGATTCCTTAGGACGCAGACAAAGTGACTTGGTATCCCCATTTCACCAAGAACCACCACCTCTCCCAAATAAACTGTGGCATAAATCCTTCTTCTTGGCAGGGGGTTAGATTGGATGGCCCAGGAGGTCTCTTCCTATTCAATGATTCTATGATAAACCAGCCAAGCAGAATATTGGTATGATAGTGCCTCCTTATCTTTTTGTAGTCCAAAAACAACACTTAACTGCCAAAGAAATGTCTGAATAAAAAAGCTTTTGCCTACCAGGTGAAAGACAGTGAAGGAGTCCTAGTAAGGAATTTCAAAATCTAGGAACAACCATCAAGAAAACCCTCTCTTACATCCAGGAACGCAAAAGAAAAATCAAACTCTCCATATAGCCTAGGAATCTAATTCCCTGAGAATGTGCAAAATGTAGCCTATGGCCTATGGCTCTCCCTGGAGAAATCAAGAATTGTACTTGAAATTTTCTAAATGCCAAGAATTTTCTAAATTTTCTAAATGCCAAGAATTTCACAGCCACCTTAATATCTGTTGTTAACCATGAATCTATCCTTTCTCTGCTCTCATCCAGAATCCCATGAAGAGTTAAGGAATGGCCAAAGCCAAGGTGGAAACGGAGAAGCAGACAAAAAGAACTGGCTGTTAGAGGGGCAAGCGGGGGGGGGGGGGGGGGGGGGGGGGGGGGGGGGGGGGGGGGGAGGTGACTCAGGTGCTACTTCCAGGATTCCTATGCTTCTAACAGTATTTGTTCAGCATACCATTTTCGGATTGCAGCTTTGCCTTCTGGGTGGTGAGGTCATTCGCCACTCGGGTCATCTCATCCACTTTGGTTTTTGCCTCATTGAGATGGTCTTCCAAAGTGCGACAGAGTTTCTCTGCATTCGCCTAATAGAGTTGAGAAAAACGGTAATCAAACACCATTCCAATAAGAGTGCATTGCTCACCTTTTCAGTGCCTTAAAAGGTCAGCCTTTGACATTAAGAACCATTAACGGCACACTTGCTCTCTCTATAACAGAGGAAAAAACAATCTTTGCAGAAAGCAATGAAAAACATGCTGAAACACGATCCAGCCAACATTCAGGCTAGAAGCCTGCAGAACTTATCGAAATTGGCTTATGAATAGATAGCAAAAATGGGAAAGACACACCAATTTAAACAGAAGAAAAACGCTACGCCAGTAGGTGAGCCAGGAGATTTTTCAAAGTCCTATTCTATTATATAACAACAAAAACTGAACATATTATAGAGAAGTATTAAAACATACTTCTTTAAAATAATTCATGCAGTACTATTTAAAAAGTTTTACACACTCGTATACAACTTGACGCAAAACCTGAGAAATGAGCTTCAGATATATTTCATATCCTGACAAGAATCACAAAGACATTATTTGTCACAGTTAGTCTTCTACTGTAGTCATACAAAAAAACCCACAGAGCTCCTATAAGATAGTGGGTGGCAAATGGCAGGGAATCATCCATTTAATTAATAATAGCTTTGAAATCTCGAACTGAATTGATGTGACGGGAAAACTTCACATTGATTTAAACAAAATTACACATCTGAGAGCCATAAACACATGGCTCTAACCCCTCTGAGCAGTAGGGGAGAAATTAAATATCCCTGGAGGAATATTTTACAATTTTTCTCTATATCATTTATTAAAAGTAAGTGTGATGAAAGCTTTTCAAAGATAGTAATGCGAAAAACAGATTCCACCTTCATCCTCCCCCGTCATCAGTACTAGATATTAGCTTTAGTTTTCAGAACAAGAATAGAATGATATTCAGAGAAGTCCATGTGTACTCTGAGTGTACATACATATATGTGGATCTTATGCTATCGACTAACAATTAATAGATATTAATACATCAAGACAATGTGCAGTCAGCCCTCCACATTTGCAGGTTTCACTATTCCAGATTTGATTACTCATGGATTTGTTAATATGTTCTCACTAAGTTCCTGGTTCCTAATATGGGACACACAACCCACGGGGGGCAATTTGATCTTTAGGGGGGGGGGGCAATTCAAGGATGAGTTATAAACAGTGATTTTTTTTGCATTTCTTCTGGTTCTAGAGGCTTCATATATGTATGTATGTATGTATGTATGTATGTATGTATGTATGTAATATGACATACACATTTTAAAAATCAGAGTGTACATGGGGATCAGCTGGTGACCATGGAGAAGGGGGAAACCCACTAATAGAGTGGCGACAGCATAGAGTTTACTAGAGAGCGCATGAGCACAGAAAAGTGAAGCATCTTTCATTCCAAACTCCTCTCAGGATTCTTTTAACATTACAAAGTATACAAAATGTATAAAAATCCCTTTTATACATATGAATGTAGAAGGAAATCTGTGGGAAAAAAATCCAAAGCCCAAATTATTTTCACAGGGAAGTCAATGTTCATGTATGACTAATAATAATAATAATAATAATAATAATAATAATAAAGATGATCATCTGCAAGAAAATTACCTTCAGGTGACAGAATATTCTCTCATATTCTCACCAAATACATGCAATGAAGTTGGACACTTAAGTTACCCTGAATTCGATGTAGATTACTCAAATCAATTCATTTTTTGATTGTTCTCTTCACTGATGTCATGTTCTTTGGAAGCTTGTTTAGACTAAGGACTCCTCCACACAGCCATATAACCCAGAATATCAAGGCAGAAAATCTCACATTATCTGCTTTGAACTCAAATATGTGGCAGTGTGGATTCAGATAACCCAGTTCAAAGCAGATATTGTGGGATTTTCTGCTTTGATATTCTGGGTTATATGACTGTGTGGAAGGGCCCTAAGTTAATGGCCTTTTAGTCTTTGTCCACAGGAAAAGGAGTTCACTTTTTGAATAATTAGAATTATATGTCATGGGGGGGATCAGGAGGTTAGGTGGGCCAAAAAAGATTGGAAACCACTGTTCTCAGTCATCCAATGTTACTCTATAATTATTAACCTACATCAGAAGTTGACCATATAGTTACCTTAGACCAGTGGTTCTCAACCTGGGGTCCCCAGATGTTTTTGGCCTACAACTCCCAGAAATCCCAGCTAGTTTACCAGCTGTTAGGATTTCTGGGAGTTGTAGGCCAAAAACATCTGGGGACCCCAGGTTGAGAACCACTGCCCTAGACTTCTGTAGTTCCTCAAGTATGATTTTATGGTTAACACACAGTGGAAGCTGAGCACACATTTATGTTGGAGGACCTCGAGTTTTCTAGAGAGGTATCTATTCAGATAAAAATAGTGTTATTTAATTTGCGAATGCAAAAGGATAGCTGAAAATGAAAATCCAAGTACTACAAGATGGATTCTAGCAGAGTTTAAATGCCTTTATCACATGGTTTGACATACTACTGCCTTATCTCATAATACTGCAGACTGAGGAATTCCTGTGTGCATACTTCATAGACCCTGAGACTGATGTATGTGCTCAAAAAATAAATCATTACACTCCATTTTGAACACTGCTGGAATGACAGTGGTAACCAGTGGCTATAATCAGACCAGCAGAATTTGGAAAAATTAAGTAATTATTTGGAAAGATGGTCCAGGTTTTGCCACAAACAAGTGCCTTACATACTTTAATCCAGGTATGTAAATCTTGTCTCATTTTATTCTTGCATGCAAGAGAGAAGATTAAACAATATCCATGATGGATTAAACACTATCTCCCTTGTTCTCCCTTTTTCTGCAATAAAATCCCCCAAATAGGAAAACTCTCATGATGGTTGATCATGTCTGATAAAGTGCCTTGATGTGAGCATTACTTACATCTCTAGTTTAAGAGCTTTTAGGAACACTAGATGAAAGTTATATCAGTGCTGAAGATGGTACAAGGAAGACTTGTGTGCAGATTTCATTTCTTCCATTTCCTTTGGTACCTTCAGTAGTAAGGGCCCTCCCAGTACGAAAACCCACCCAACACAAAAGCAAGCAGGAGCCAATCTTGGCTCCTTCCCCCCCCCCCAATTCAGCATCACCATTTAATCTTTTTGGTTTTCCTTGATTTTCCTGATTTTTTTTTATTTAGTGGGACTGACTGAGAGTTGGGGGGACCTGGGGGATGGTGGGTGGGATGTGCACGTTTGGGGGTTTTCACTACTTTAGCTTCTTATTCTCCTCCCCTTCCTCTATGTCAGGAAATACTTCTAAAAAGATTATTGTTAATAATAGTAATCCCAGCAAACAAAAAGAGAAGTCTACCTCTCCTCTAGTAGAGTAGAAACAGCTTTAAGGAAGCAAAACTCCAAGCAGAAAAGAGATTGCAGCCTTGCGAGTAAGTGAGAGGATTTTTAAGGTAGTCCAGCGAGGACAGCTCAACTGAGCTCCAGGTCATTGCTCTTCCTTCCCTGGGCCTCCTTAAAAGGCCTTGGAAAGCTACTGGTGCTGAAAGAGGGGGGATAAGCATGCGTGTCTGCCTCTCCTCTAGAGTAGAATAGCTTTAAGAAGCAGTAAACCCAGTCTGCTCCTCTACAAACAGGAGAGAAAGGCTCCAGAAACTTAGAAAGTGGTAACTCTGATGCTTTTTTAATCCATGTCTTAATGAAGGCTATGGAAAGGGAGCCTGTGAGAAGTACCCCCCCCCCCATAATGGGCTGGATAGGGTGCTTTCTTAACCCCATTGCTGACACCTAGGCTCCCTTGAAGGGAAGAAAGAAAAGGCTCCCAGAGGAAAGGGGAGCCTCGTAAGTTCCCTGTTGCTTCCAATGGGCCAAAAAGAGCCATTTTTGGATGTGGAACAAAACCGCCCATTCGGCAGTGCGTCTGTTTTTGGGAGGCACTGGAAAATGGATATGGGGGCTTCCGGTATCCAGCAAACGGATAGCAATTCACCCAAAATGCACAAGCCAAGTACAGAAGACAAAGTTGACAGTAGTGATTATTGGCATTATTATGATGATAATAATCATCATAATAATGCCAATCAGGAAAATTCCAATATCTGGCACAATATGATAAATATTCTATAGTTGGCAGAGCACAGTAAACTGAGCAATTGTAAGCTGTAAATTCTTTGTGGAGTCAGGGGCAGAGCATAGGGACACTTTGGGGCTAACAAGCTGGGGAAGGATGACTCTCAGAAACAGGGTGAAGTAGGAGAAAAATGCTTTTTGCCATTATTGTCTTCACGATATGAGCTTATAGTCTCTCTGGCTTCATCCTTCCACTGATTATTACCTACTTACACTGCATAGTGACTTGTCGAAAACCTCCCCTTCACTTTGTGAATAGGAAGCAGATAAAGAAAGGTTTTGAACCATAAGGACAACGAGTACACTCAAGAGATATTGATATTTTAACCAAATGCTTCTTTAAAAGCCAAGCTTTTAGATAGCTCCTACAGCAACACTATAGCGAAGGCTGATGGATATCAGCTGGCCAAGATTAGATTTTACAGAAAGCAATGCACAATGTTCATTGAAGAGTGGGTTGTTGTAGATTTTTTCAGGCTATATGGCCATATTCTAGAGGCATTCTCTCCTGACGTTTCGCCTGCATCTATGGCAAGCATCCTCAGAGGATGCTTCTGAGGATGCTTGCCATAGATGCAGGCAAAACGTCAGGAGAGAATGCCTCTAGAACATGGCCATATAGCCCTAAAAAACCTACAACAACCCAGTGATCCCTGCCATGAAAGCCTTCGACAATTCATTGAAGAGCTTTGGTTGTAACCAGCTCAGATCAGATTGGTGCTTAGACAAAAGCTGGCTTTACCTTTCCTTTCACCAGCTGCTCCATATTGGATGACAGGTCATCTACTTCCAGCTTCAGCTCACTTTTTTCCTTCTCCAGCTTTTGTTTGACCCTCTGCAGGTTGTCTACTTGCTCCCCCAGCTCTGCCATGCTGTCTGCATGCTTCTTCCTTAGCGTGGCAGCTGTTGCCTCATACTGCAAGGTGGCTTCCTCAAGATCCCGCCGCAGTTTCAGAAACTCTGCCTCCCGCTTCTTGTTCATCTCCAGCTGGGCTGAAGTGGCACCGCCAGCTTCTTCAAGCCGCTCACTAAGCTCTTCCAACTCACGGGCCAGATCTGATCTCTGCTTTTCCACTTTTGCTCGGGCAGCTCTTTCAGCTTCCAACTCTTCTTCAAGTTCTTCTATGCGAGCCTGTCAGGGAGAGGAAAAACCATAGATATGCAACAGTGCCCTCACTTAAACAAGTCAGAAGTCATAGTTTTTGTCATTTGTTAGGCTAGTAGGTGTTTTTCTAACAGTCATGTAAGGGCTAGAGTAAAGGTGAGAAATGTGAAGACCTCCAATTGTTGCCAGACTGCAGTTCCCACATTCTTCATGCTTGACTTTAATAGCTGGCTGGTAGGAGTTACAGTCCAGTAACGTCTTAAGCATCACAATTTGCCCACCCTTGGCCTTTGAAAAACAACTTAAGCAATGCAAATGATAAGTTGCAGAATGGCTTGCACAAGTGGAATCAAATGACTGGATTTGTCCTTTGCCCCAGGGATGCATCTACATTGTAAAACTAATGCAGCTTGACACCACCAAGAATCCATAGCCTTGTCATGGCTCCATCCTAAGGATTCTTGTGATTTGGAGTTTGGCGAGGCACCAGCACTCTGTGGCAGAGAAAGCTGAATACCTCTTAAAACTACCAGGATTTAATAGCATTGGGCCATGGCAGTTAAAGCCATATCAGACTGCATTAATTCTATAGTGTAGATGCACCTTAGGTTGAAATAGGTTTTTGCAAGTGGTGAAAAGTTTGTGCTAGGAGAATGACATCTGTATAATTAACCTTAGTGACCCCTTTCACCTGTCATAAGTTGAGCTGCCCTCCACACACTTGGGTCAGAACATTAATCATTACCAGAGCTAGAAATTACATCTAAAGGTAATGAGACCTCATTACCTAATCAAACGTCTTCTCAAGACATCAGAATGAAGTGTTACAAGACGTCTCTGGAATAAACTCCACTGAATATAGATACATAGGTTGTTATGAATGTTTTTAAAAGAGCCCTGTTTGGAAGTAAGATACAGCAGAAGCCTAACATTCTGTTTCTGTTTCCTGCCACCTTACAATGGAGGGGGGGGGGGAGGATATGAGTGGGTAAAGACAATCCTGGACCTTTTCTATATTTCACCTCTGGACTGGAACTGCCAACACTGATTAGTCACACATTGCGCCCCCAGAATTGCAGAATTATTAATGGCACATCTCACACCCTCCAGAGGGAAAGAGAGAGTAAGTCTGGCAGGTGCAAAACCAAGGGGGTCATATAGCCTCCATGGATCAGCAGCCAAGGGGACTGTTTTATCCCACAAAGAATTCTTACTTCTGAACTTGAGTGCCAATGTTACACATCATTGCAGCTCACAGTCTCTCTGTTTACAAATTCACAAGCCCTCAGATGCCACCAAGGACATTACAGTCACATGCTTCTTTCCCCCATCAAGGATCTTCTGGTTATCTCTCTTTCCTTTGCATATATGACTCATTGTGTTTTATGAACATCGGCCAAGCTTCAGATGGAATTTTATATCTGTTGCTATTGTGTCTATCTCATATCTGACAAGATAAGCCCAATGGTTTAGAGTGCTGAGTCATATTGTTAAAATAGCTACAACCTGGACAGTTCCTTTAAAGTTCATATTAAACCCTGGAGTCATTTCCCCACCTTCACCTCCTGATTTTCAGACTGTTTCACAATTTCACTTATTTCATCTCCCCTGATTGAAAACCTCTTTCTGAGTCCCCTTAGGGAGACAGAGCAGGTTATAAATAAATAAATGAATAAATAATAATAATAATAATAATAATTATTATTATTATTATTATTATTATTATTATTTCTTTGGGGCAATGTGCTGATTCATGCTATGCATAACTAAGGTATGAAATTTGTTGACATGGTCAATGACTTGGATGAATTAAAAGAGAACTAGACAAATTCATGGATGCTCTGGACTTTATCACCATCAACAGCATGGTCTGGAGTGGTGGGGTTGTAATATAACAGCATCTAGATTTCCAATACTGTGAATTACTTCTCTAGTTTATGCCAAAGTTGTACCCTCCACAGGTGACAGACAATTGATGCCATAATCCAGGAAACAGCTGTGCATAGATCATCAGTTACCTGGAGCTCTTTTATCTTCTTCTGGAGCTGCATCACTATGGCCTGTTCATCTTCAATCTTTGAGTTCATCTGATTGATTTCAAATTCTTTCCTGTTAATGTAAGAGATGCTTACTTGAAAAAGGATACATAGGGGTGAGTTGTTAACATAATTTGATTGCTTTCAAGACAGGAATACAATCTCAGAAGCAACTTCTATTGCAACTCATTAAGGAGCCTTAGGAAACAGATAGGTGTTACATAAAGCCAAAATGACCTTGCCATTTTGACAACACTGAGATCTAGTACCTTCAAGAATCCAGTTCACTAGAGGAACTAGTTGTGTTAAGATTCCTATATTGCATAATTCTTTAAAATTCTACAATGTGGAAGACACCCCAGGTGGGAAAAGATGAAAAACAGTGCATTGAAGAATGGGGCGTCTAATCTACTTTGCTGCTCTGTAATACATAAGCATTACATTCTCTGGGAGGCACAAACATCTTTCTCTTTTCCTTCTTTCTGACTTGTGTGCCTTCAAATCATTGCTGATTTATGGTGACCCTAAGGCAAACCTATCATGGGGTTTTCTTGGCAAGATTAATTCAAAGGGTGTATGTCTTTGCTGTCTTCTAGGGCTAAGAGTGTACTTGCCTGAGGTCAACCTGTGGTTTTCCATGGCTGACTGGGGATTTGTAGCCTGGCCTCCAGAGTCACAGTCCAACATGCAAATGACTAGTTCTCACATATTGATAAGTATTCACTTCTCATATTGTAATGTAAAGCATCAGAAAGCTACAAATATTTACGGTATAATATTATCTTTACAAGACAGTGTTGATTAACTGTTGCCCAGTAGATGGTGTCTAACCATAGCTCCTGTAATCCTATATCACTGGAGTCACAGTCCAACAACACCTGGAGGACCAAAGGTTTCCCACTTATTTTTAAAGGCTTAAACCATCTTACTTCTTTAACTTTTCCTCCAGTTGTAGCTTGTCATTCTCCAAATCCATGACGCTTTCTTGAGTTAGCTTCAAATCCCCCTCCAGTTTCCTTTTGGCTCGTTCCAAATCCATCCTCACTTTCTTTTCTTGCTCAAGAGAGCCCTCAAGCTACAAAATGAAAAGGGGAAAATTAGCTCTTCAATATTTGAAGTACTTACTGGTCATAGACTTTGATGGCTCCTTAAGGTTTTGTAAGCCAAACCAAAACATTTTTGTGCATTGCAGTTCAGGAAAGATATTGATAAGATAAAACACATCCAGAAGAGAATGACCAAAATGTTCAAAAGCCTGGAAGCAAAGCCCTATGAAGAGCACCTTAGGGAGTTGGTTATGTTTAATTTAAAGAGGAGAAAGTTAAGAGATGACTTTTTTTTGTCATGTCAGAAGCGACTTGAGAAACTGCAAGTCGCTTCTGGTGTGAGAGAATTGGCCGTCTGCAAGGACGTTGCCCAGGGGATGCCTGGATGATTTGATGTTTTTATCATCCTTGTGGGAGGCTTCTCTCATGTCCCCGCATGAGGAGCTGGAGCTGATAAAGGGAGCTCGTCCATCTCTCCCCAGATTCGAACCTGCGACCTGTTGGTCTTCAGTCCTGCCGGCACGGGGTTTCACCCACTGTGCCACTGGGGGCTCCTAAGAGATGACATGATAGTCATGTTTAAATATTTGAAAGGATGCCATATCAAAGATAAAGCATGCATGTTTTCTGCTTATGCAGAGACTACAACATGGAGCAATAGACTTAAGTTGTCAAAAAAGTGTTTCCACCTGAATAAAGATATGGAACAACAGATTCAAGCTGCAGGAAAAGATATTCCACCTGAACATTAGGAAGAAATTCCTGACAGTAAGAGAATTCACTGCTTCAAAGATAGTGGCGTATCCTCCCTTGGAAATTTTTAAAACGGAGACTGGATAGCTATCTGTTGGGAATATTTTGATTGTGCAATCCTGCATGGCAGGCCATTGTGGTCTCTTCCAACACTATAATTCTATAATTCTAAAAGGGACCATATCTTCCTTTATGAGACCTCTAGACCTTGACTACCATCTAGTGAGGCTATTGTCTCTGTCTCACCATCCTTTCAGTTTTGTTCAGTAAGAACAAAAAAAGATACTTCTCAATGGTGGCTCATTTAAGAGTTTGGCTAAGCTCCTGATGGTGGAGATGTAACATGAATGTTCAACATGTGGAACTATTCTGCAACTCCCCTTGTGTCCCCAAATCACATTTTAGATGCAGATACTCCCTTCCATTGCCATTTAATGACCAGTTGAGACCAGGTGCATTGGAGAGGCATCTACCTATGTCCTTATAACCCGATATAGAACAATGATGCCGTCTGCCAAAATCTCCAGATTACCACCAAAGGCATCAGCAGATGATCTCCCTGTTCAGCCATTGGCAATAGAGACATTGCTACCTGTTCTCCTCCAGTCACTGGAGAGTAGGTAGCAATGTCAATGCTCATGGGAAATTGATGGTGCATAATTCTGAACATTACATAAAGTTGACAGAAGAGTCCAACTTCCACTATGACCAGAAAGGTGATTTACAGTGTTATAAGTAAGACTTATGCAATCACAAGTCTGTAATGGTAAGTTATTTCTTTTTACACATGGTAAAGGTAAATATAAAGGTTTCCCCTTGACATTAAGTCTAGTTGAGTCAAACTTTGGGGGGCGGTGCTCATCTCCATTCCTAAGCCAGAGCCGGTGTTGTCCGTAGATGCCTTCTAGGTCATGTGGCTGGCATGACTGCATGGAGCACTGTTACCTTCCCGCCAAAGCGGTACCTATTAATCTACTCACATTTGCATGTTTTTGAACTCATGGGTTGGCAGAAGCTGGGGCAAACAGGAGGAGCTCACCCATCCCCTGGGTTCAAAATGTTGACCTTCCGGTCAGCAAGTTCTGCTACTTAGTGGTTTAACCTGCTGCTCTACCACGGCCCTTACACATGGCATATACTTGAATTAAGAAAGATGTCTTTAAAAAGCAACCTTTTATTGCTCTTTACAGTCTGCTGTGAACATTTCCAAGTGTAGGTTTGGGGAAAGGGACATGTATAGACCACTAATGATTTCCTGACAGTTTAATGGGACACACTGAATGTGCCTTATTAATTAAATTCATTTAGCAATAACAATAACAACATCTAGCAATAACAACCACAACAACAAAACTTTATTTATATTCCGCTCTCTTTCCTCAAGGGGACTCAAGGAAAATAGACTTAATGAAAGGTAAAAGTAAAGGTAGTCCCCTGACACTAAGTCCAGTCATGTCTGACTCTGGGGTGTGGTGCTCATCTCCATTTCTAAGCCGAAGAGCCAGCGTTGTCCGTAGACACCTCCAAGGCCATGTGGCCGGCATGGCTACATGGAGCGCCGTTACCTTCCCGCCGGAGCAGTACCTATTGATCTACTCACATTTGCATGTTTTCGAACTGCTAGGTTGGCAGAAGCTAGAGCTGACAGCGGAAGCTCACGCCGCTCCCCGGAATCAAACCTGCGACCTCTCGATCAACAAGCTCAGCAGCTCTGTGCTTTAACCCACTGCGCCACCGAAGCCACCCAATTATTCAGAAAACCATAAAACCCCAACTTGAACCATTCTTCCCTAACAAGGCTTTTTCCAGATGCATGGGGCCCCTTCCACAGAGCTGAATAAAATCCCACATTATCTGCTTTGAATTGGGATATGTGGCTGTGTGGACTCTGAAAACCCAGTTCTAAGCAGATATTGTGGGGTTTTCTGCCTTAATATTCTGGGATATAGGGATGTGTGGAAGGGCCCTGGATTTCAGTTCCTGCTATCCAGGGGGTTTCAGTTTGAGGATGCAAACTTACATCATCTACTTGCTGTTCCAGTTTCACTTTAGCTTTGCTCAGAGTGTTGACTTTGTCCTCCTCTGCTTGCAGGTCATCTAAGGCCTGCTGGTGAGCTTCCTGCAAAGACTTCTTTTCTTTTGTAAGCTTGCTGATAGTCTCATCAAGCGCTGCCATTTCCTCTGTCAGATTTTTAACCTGTGAAAAAAGAAAAACAAAGAATGAAGGTCTTTGTAAAGGTCATTTTAAGTCGGATTTTTTTCATCATTGGCTTAAAATGATTGCCTGCCCTGCAATTGTACGTACTATGCCAAGCACTATGCATCAGCATGAGGCCAGCTCACACAAAGGCATTCCCAATCACAGAAGAAATGCTGGACTTTTTGGCTATGGGCTTTCTTGATATCACATTAAGATGGGAAACAAAGGAAATCAGCTAGAATACTGGAACATGGGAGGCCAAATCTGGATTTGTACTTTTTATTACTGAGATGTTAAAAACAATGATCTGGCCAATCTGAAATAATTTCCAACAACTGGCACAACATCTTGTAAATCCCCATAGGTTCTCTATAGGGATCCTTGGGGAGCTGAAAATAATCCAGCATTTTTGCATCAAAGTGCTTCGAAATGCCATCCAAGCATTTGCCTCCCTGGGTCATTTTAGGTGGAGGGGGGCAGTTTTCAATAATAAGATGTTATTAGGAAGACATTTCCTGTCCACATCCTAAAAGGCCAAAAATGTAGAAAAAATGCTTCATGCTTTGGGGGGAATTTTGTCCTATGGGACTCTAGGGGCAGGCAAAATAGCTCTGAAAGGCAGTGGCCATACTGTGCTCATCTTTGGATACAAGGTTAGCTGAAGTGAAGCAAAAGTGGAAACCAACGAGGCATTTTGTATAAACTTTCTTGAGTTCCATAATGGATTAAAAATGAGACATAACTACATTAGGTAGAGAACTATGATGTCAAAGACTTTGATTTGGAAATCTTGATTGATTTATTGGTTGTATATGTATATTAAAGTATAGGTAAGGAAATGTAGGGAGCAAATGGAATGTTGGAATGCATGCTAATTGATGGAATGATTGAGCAAATTAGCATATGGTGGGTGAATGACAGTGAGTGACAGCAGGGCATTAATTTAGACAAGAGTTTGAGTTACACAAGAAATAGAATCAAAACAAAAGAGTTTGGCATGGTTGGTCCCAATTAGTTTGCGAGAAGTGTAAGAGGGTGTGTGGTGTTTTATGTGTATTGAGTAATTAATCTGCTGAGTACCCCAGTGGCGCAGTGGGTTAAAGCGTTGAGTTGCTGAGCTTGTTGACCAAAAGGTTGCAGGTTTGAATCTGGGGAGCAGCATGAGCTTCCGCTGTCAGCCCCAGCTTCTGCCAATCTAGCAGTTCGAAAATGTGAGTAGATCCAGCAGGAAGGTAATGGCGCTCCATGCAGTCATGATGGCCACATGACCTTGGAAGTGTCTATGAACAACGCCAGCTCTTTGGCTTAGAAATGGAGATGAGCACCACACCTCAGAGTCAGACACGACTGGACTTAATGTCAGGGGAAAACCTTTACCTTTACCTTTTGCCCCTGAGGAAATAGGGAAGGCTACAAATAAAGTATTATTGTTGTTGTTGTTATGTTATGTTATGTTTAACTTCTTAAATAAAGGTTTCTGAGGTGGTAACATTTGATACAAAGCAATGGTGTCCATATAGAATAGAAGTTGGAGAAATCCTCATAGATAACTTGAGGACATTTGGTATCATGCAGATGGGGCAACAGGAAATCTTTAAATTGTGGCAGAAGCAATGATCAGGGAAAGTCTTTCCTCTTAGAATCATAGTGACCATTGTGGAAGTTATTTGGTGGGTTAAGAGTTAAAGGGTAGAAACTTCATATTTTGACACATTGAAGGAATTCCCTGAGAGCAATCAACACAGTTGGTGGGACTACACAAGTGGAAATCTCATTGTTGGTGGGATAAGTTTTGGAAAACTCCCATATGATCTTCTAGATGTTGATGAACTGTAACTCACATAAGCCCTCACTTTTAGTAATGTTGGAAGAGAAGTTCAACATAGGGTGATGTAATTACACAGCTTCCTGACAGCCATTTCTCCCCACTAGACGGCCTTCTCTAGATACAATTTTATACTCCTCAAATGTGAAGTCACAGATCAGTTTCCAGTTATGAGTTTCTTCTTAAAAGTTATTTTTTTCATATTAGCTACCAACACAAAACTACCCTAGGAGTATATTTTTTTTTTCAAAAAATGGTCAAGTATTAAGACTACCTTATTTTCAGTAGCATGTTTTTCTTTTTCGACTTTTGCCAGCGTTATTTCAAGGTCGTCAATGTCTTTCTTCAGCTCAGAGCATTCATCTTCCAGCTTTCTCTTTTTGGATGTCAGCTCGGAGTTCATCTCCTCTTCGTCTTCCACCCGTTCAGTCAGTTCTTTGACTTTGGCCTCCAGCTGGATCTTGGATTTAATCAGCAAGTCACATCTTTCCTCTGCATCTGCCAGTGTATCTTGCTCCTGTGGAGATTTACAAGCTGCATTAGTGGCCAGCAGAAAAAAGCGGTTAGCAAACAGTTTCTCCTTCACAATTTTCTCTATTCTCCGAGAAGCCTGCACAGTCACACCTACACATCTGTATACCAAATTATAAGATTGTAGGGAGCCATAAAGTCTAACATTGTGTCCAACACAAAGGATCCAGAGCTAAATCCATCATGGGAAAAAGTCTTTTTTTAAAGTGGTAGCTTCGTTTTGAAAATCCTGAAGATAATTGACTAACATTCTCAAAAATTAACGTGTTACTTTATTTGTTACATCATGCTTAGCCTTTTTACTCTTTTTTGGAGAAGAAGGATCAGGATTGACAACAGAATGACGTAAAGTAAAGAAAAATTTGCAAAAAATTATTCTATAGTGACTTCCAAAGATCTAGAAAACACGCCAAAGAAAGTAACAATATTCTCATTTATTATACTAACTTTGAGGTTGGATGATGTGTCCTCATGGTAAAATAAGAATAAAATTAACTAATAAATGGTAAATGTGCTATAATAATTATAATAATAACTTTCTTCTTGTATCCTGCCACCATCTTCCTGAAGGGACTCGGGGAAGCTTACATGGGGACCAGGGCCAGCCAACAGAATTAAAATATAGCACAGTAAAATACATTGCATGACAATAAATTAAAACTAAAACCATACAAAACATCATGAAAACATAAACCATCAACAATCAGTAACCGAGCACAATAGGTATGTTCAGAGCTGAGAGGGTGGGGCAAAGACTTGTGCAATACAACTGCAGGGCGGGGCTAGTAGTAAAGTGCAAAAGCCAGATAATTAAATTAGGGCTAGAAGGGACCGATTGATAAACCGATTAATCAAAGGCACATATTGGAACATCCAAGTATTCAAATCTTTGCGGAAGGTGAACAGGGTGGGCTTTAATCTAATCTCCCTGAGAGAGAGTTCCAGAGCTGAGGAGGCACCAACGAGAAGGCCCTCCCTCTTGTACCCACCAACCATGCTTGTGACGAAGGTGGGAGTGAGAGAAGGTCCTCCCCAGCAGATCTTCAAACTCATGCAGGTTCATAGGGGAAGGCACTACTTGAAACTGGATACTTCAAAACTCTGGAAAACCACATACAGAAAGATGTCTATTTTGTAGATCAAGAAGAGCCTGTTAGCTTTCTAAATGACCAATTCCATTGACAAATTTCTCTTGAGGTCAGGACAGTTCTTCTAACATTCAACTCAGCCTAATGTCTAGCAATGTAAACCTATCAGATGCAATCTTGATCTTTGGGGCAAGGCACAAGAAAACCTTTTTATGTGTTGCCCTGCAGCCATCATGTCATCTATCATTCTTCTTTTCTAATTTTAGAATATTAATTCTATGTTCCATTATAATCTGATGGATAGTTCATGGGATTGACTGCTGATTCCCATCCTGGCAAGAAGTCTCTCACCAAGTCTACTAATTATGAGATTGCTTGGTGGGGATCAACGATAAAATATAGCTTAAAAACAGACATCAAAGTCTGACACCAAATAGAACCTGTACAACTAAATTAGATTAATTAAATTAGACACATAACATTGACAGATCCAACATATGATTAAAAAAAGACTCATTAAAGGATTTCAAAAAAATTGTCAAAGCAAGCTTTCTCAAACTTGGAGTTAAACCATATGTTTCCATCATGGAATGTGCCTCTCTCTGGATGCATCTATATTGTAGAATTAATGCAGTTTGACAACTACATTGACTGCCATGTCTCAGTGCGAAGGAATCCTGGAATTTGTAGTTTGGGGAGGCACCAGCACTCTTTGACAAAAAAGGCAAAAGACTGCAGCTTCTATGATTCAATAGCATTGACCCATGGCAATTAGAGTGGTGTCAAACACCATTAATTCTATAGTGTAGATGCAACCTAGAAGTATTGATAATGGCCAAATGCCATACATTTCTTTTCAGACTTTTCAGTCTGACTGAGTTCTCTGGGGTATACTCCCTAGCAAGTGGGCACAGGACTGTAGTCTAAATGAAATTAGCATTGCAGACATACTACTGTACCTCTGCCACAATTCCTCATGTTCCATTTAATAAGGGACTTAGGAGAACGAGTGAGTTAATAATTATAAATCACTTGACACGTTAAAACTGTTGAATGTAATGATAACAAACAATCGGTCACATTGTGATATGACAGATATGAGTTCTCAAACATAAAAATGTACATTCTGTCATCTCTGAGAATCGTTTTCTTGCTAGTTCAGTGGCACACTTGCAAATTGTATGTAAAATGCCACTTCTCCAAGTTTTCCTTGTTCCAACAATTTGCCATGGCAACCGACTCAACAGATTGGAATATGGATTAAAAACATTATTTATATCCAGGCCTTTTAAGATTTGTAGCTCATTTATTTACATGTAAAGTAATGTAAACGAATGCATAGTGAAACTAAGGCTGCAATTCTTACTTGAACCAATTATGGAGACCAGTTATTGTCATATTCTTTTTGGGTATTTGTTTACAGATAAAGCCCACAGAAGTCTAAATTTAATTCTAAATAAAGTAGCTATGAACTAGCAGATGAATATGAATGTGCCTAATGTCAGCCTTTTACTGTGAGAAAGTAATTCTGAAGATATTTAATTGAAAGACACTTTAATACTTTGAAAGAATAAGCAGCATTTATTTCTTTCAGATTTTGAAGACTTAAAGATTTACAAAGTTACCTGTTAATTTCTACAGCAATTCATCTAATCATAGTTCTCCTTTGTTACTTGTATATCTTATTGCTTGTGTCCTTGTTTTGTAAGAGTGAATAACTCTTCAGACATGCCGCAAGAATCGGAGAGGATTGTGGCGATTCTGGCGGTACACATCCAGGGGTGTGGGAGCCTGTCGCTCCATGCTCCACACTGTCCCAACTTCCCCCTACCTTATCACATGGGGAGAAGCGTCTAGCCAGTTTGCCCCATTGAGGGCAATACAACCATGGGAAGCCTCCTGTGTTGCCTCTGGTGGTGTTTTTCGGTGGCGACTCTGGTTCCACAGCAGTTTTGCCACTGAGTTACCCTGGAAATACTCCTCTGGTGTGTGATGGGAGCCAGTGGGCTCCATGACAAAGCTGTTGTCGAACTGGAGTTGCTGCCAAAATTTGCACCTTTTGAAGAGGTCCAAATGTCTCACCGTGTCTAATTCCCCCCCCCCCCTTTGGAAACAAAAGTGAATATTAGGTGGAAAGTAACAATGGGGTGGCAAGTATTGTTTTTAAAGAAAGGGAAAATGTTGATGTATTATTCAGGTGGGTGGTTCCAGAGCACCTTAGGTTATTCTTTTTCACTTTTTCATAAACCCACTTTTTATAAATCTGGTAGCATTAAGATAGTGGTTCTCAACCTTCCTAATGCCGTGAACCCTTAATACAGTTCCTGATTATTTTCATTGCTACTTCATAACTGTAGTTTTGCTACTGTTATGAATTGTAATGTGAATATCAGATATGTAGAATGTATTTTAATTTACTGGACCAAATTGGGCACAAAACCCGAAATGCCCAAATTTAAATACTGGTGGGGTTTGGGGGTTGATTTTGTCATTTGAGAGTTGTGGTTGCTGGGATTTATTGTTAACCTACAATCAAAGATCATTCTGAACTCCACCAACTAAGGAATTGGTGGGTATTTGGGGAGGGCTTCCATGCAAACAAGGCAAACATTATATGCCTTGCTAATGAACAAACACAATCAAAAAACAGTACAAAGTAGCATCGTTATAAACTAATAAATTATTAAATAGGAGAAAATTAATAATTAAATAACATAACCATTAAAACAAACATATAAGGTCCATAAAAGCCAGCTCTACTGAAATGCATAAAAATAAGTTAAACGATTTAAAATTATTTAAAAGATAGGATAACCTTCCCTATGAGAGATCTAAACTTGATTGACTTCTCTGTTATTTGCTAATGAGCCTCTGGAATATGTCTTGCCATTCGCTAGTCATTCTTTTTATTACTTCCCTGTTTCCTTTTATCCTATGCTTCACATCCCACTGATAAACTAAACAGTTTCTACAATCTGCTTCACAGTCCCTTTCCTGCATTCCCTTATAAAAGCCAACGTAACAGGAAACCAGCAATTGTGTGGGATAATTTTCCCACACAGTAAAGATAGATACAACAATACTGGACTACTTTGCAAACCTAACATAACCCACAGTCCCGTCTCCTGAATGACAGGTAGAATAATGATGGATTTTATCTGTACGAATTACAATTTTAGTTTTGAAACTTGAAAACGTTGTGTTCAATCAGATGGGTGAGTACACATACAACTGACTAACAGCACCCATACTAAATTCTTGAATTTTAGGGGGTTTTTTTTAATGTGACTGCAATCACTGAACTACATGGGAAGACTAAATAGTCATTGTAGAATGAACCACAACATTCTTTCTTTCGAGGTTCTTCCTGATTGCTGTGAGATAAATCAACTAAAACACTGAAATCCGGCACTTGGGTGACATCACGTCTGCATTGCCAAATAATGCACTGTAGAATCACATTAGCCTGTGTGAGCCCACACAATGCACACAGCTTGATGTGATTTAATCTGAGGTAAGCTGCTTAATGCAGCTGCATCCCTGGTAAAAAAAAAATGCCACAGGGAAAGGTCTGAATAATGTTTTAGGTTATGGATTTTCCACTGTGTTGGAGAAGTGGGGACGACCATCCTGGATCCCTAGACTTAGGTAGCCTGGAGAGATAGCCTGTGCCCCTCAGCATCCCACATGCCTCAAAAAGCCCAGTAGCTTCCACAGAGGGAAGTGAACTCACTCCTCCCAAGCTGCTTTGCTCACTCAATGATGACAAACCAGAAAGTAAAGCGCACAAAGCTTCAGTAAGAGCTAGTTTTTCTCCTGGTTTTGGAAGGAATTGTGGCCCTTGTGGGGGAGGGTTGAAATTCTGCCCCATTCCCAGTCATGCTGGAACCCCTGACTGGTTGATTGATTGATTGATTGATTTACCATACTTCTATCCCAGCCTTTCTCACCCCAAAGGGGGACTCAGAGCAACTTACAGCTTGGTATAATTTGATGCCACGTCAAAACATAAACATAACAGATTAAAATTCATTAAATCATTAATCATAAAACAATCAAATATAAATACAACTAAAACAAGATTTAAAACAGCCACATAGTCCATAATCAGAGTTCATGAGCCATTCCAGTTACAGTCACATTAATTCTCAGCTGTCTATTGCATTGTAGCTAGTCACTTTAAGCAAGGCTGGGCTATAGAGCTGGTGTCTTGCCTTCAAGGTGGCTCATGAGACCCCTGTTTGACTACTCTGTGATTCAGAACCAGCATTTTTCATGCTGGTTCTGAGCTGTATTATGTGCCTGTATAGAAGGGCCCTTGAGCACTCAATGGGAATACCTCTGAAATATGTATTGAAATGAATAATTTGAAAATTTGAAAAGTGAGGATATGCTTCTCACCATTAATGACTTTGTCACGTGGTCGGTGGTGGACAATGGTGGCAGTCTCCTTAAGGGCAAGGCATGGAACCCTCATCTTGGTTTGACTCGCTGGCTGGCAGGCCAATCACATGGAAGGGAAGCAGGGAGTACACATGGTGCATACAGCTTTCCCTCATGGAGCTGGCAACATGGGTGGCTTCCCGTGTTGCCAGATCTATGTCAGCTCCATGGGGGAAAGCTGTGCACACTATGCGTGCTCCTCCCTTTCCTCCCAACTGCTCATTGGAGGGAAGGATATTAGAAGCAAATGATAAGACAGGAAAGCTTAGAGAAGAAAATTATGCTGGGGAAAATGGAAGGAAAAAGAAAGAGGGGCCGACCAAGGGCTAGATGGATGGATGGTATCCTTGAAGTGACTGGCTTGACCTTGAAGGAGCTGGAGGTGGTGATGGCCGACAGCGAGCTCTGGCGTGGACTGGTCCATGAGGTTACGAAGAGTTGGAAGCGACTGAACGAATGAATAACAACCCTTCCCTCCATGTGACTGTCCTGCCAACCGGCAAGGCAAGACAAGGGCCCCATGCCTCACCCTTAAGAGGAGTGCTGCCATCAGCCATGTGACGAGGTCTTGTGTCAACACATTTTTTAGCATTTTTGTTGTGGAATGTCATGAATAATCTTGGCCAGTTTTGTTCCAATCCCTCAGACTACAGAGGCATGAAATTATATTCAATTCAATCGGTTTCTGAGGTTTCTAGTTTGTTGGGACACTAGAGCTCTCTAGGGGCCCTTCCACACAGCCCTTTATTCCAGAATCAGATCCCAGATCACAGATTCTGAGTCCCCATTGCCAGATAACCTGGGATAAACAGATAATCTGGGATCATATTCTGGGATAAAGGGGCAGTGTGGGATTGCCCTTGATAAGAATTCTATTTACCTCTGGATGTAAATCTCAGGATGTCATATCAGTTAAACTGGAATAATAGCACTATAAATGTATGGTGAATAAGAGCCCCAGGAATGATAAAACTACAACTGGCATTTTGATACACATTTCTCTAGCAGTCTGCAGCACTGTGTCAAAACAAAACCGGAGGTGACATGACATCATTTTAATTTTTGGATTATTTCTGCCCAATTTCCCTACTTCTTTTTTAATTGAGGGGCTTGGCAACTGCTGTGAACACTTAGTTTCAGCAATTTGGGACAGTTGGGGGCAACGAAAAGGCCTAAGGTCACCCTTGTTGCTCACTCTCATTCAAAATTGGTATCTTTCATTTGAGTGTGTGAACTGATGCAGAGTTGACATAAGAAATTACATTAATATTCTGCCTAAGGTATCAGGCCTCTGGTGTCTAATTTATACTAAGTCAATGATGACTATTACTGCAATCCAGGGATAAATATGGTTGTGGTAATCACCCAGCCATGAAACCACCATCCAGCCATTAGAGCGGTTCATCGGGGACTTGCAGTTGAGCCTCCATCCCGCTCCTGAGTGGTGTGGACTGTAGCCTCCAGAGTGCCCCACCCCAAATTAGCATAGCCATTTCTACCCTGTCAAGATGCACCCTTAGTCTGCGAAAGCTTATGCTACCAACATCATTCTCTCAGTTAGTCTCTAAGGTGCTACGTGATTTCTTTGCATACTGATATTCTACAGCTATGTCTTTAAATTCTAAAAAATCAGAAAGCTCAGCTGGTACAATTGAATCTACAAAGCTACCTGCTTTATTGTGGAATAACTTGTATGAACCAGATCGTACTTTGTAAGGTGCATTAACAGAGGAGTCACATTTTTTCTTTCTTTAAACAGTGAATACAATACATTTAATTGCACGGTTCTTGCTATGAATCATAAAGTGATATGAATAGAGAAATAGAGATGAAGACTTTGCTAGAGCAATTATGAGTATGCTGCTCAGTATCGAGTAAAAATAGAATCTGCAGGCACCAGCGCTGTTTACAAGAACTGGCTTTGACTGAGAACAGATTGTCAAAGATTTTTACCATAGGTGAAAAGGGGAGAATGGAGGATATAGAGTGGATATTTCTAGAAAGACCTGGGACTAAACCAAAGGGTTCTTGTTTGGTTTGCTTTATTTGCTTGTTGGCCCAAGGGCAGACAGAACAACACTCACCCTTCATGTTAACAACAACATCAACATATTGGGATAAATGCCTATGCACAAACACTAGATGCAGATGAAGTCAATCCCTCTGCAATGCCTGAAATACAGCTCAATGGTGTAACGTTAGAAAACATTGACCATTTCCACTACCTTGGCAGCCAGCTCGCCACAAAAGTCAACACTGACACTGAAATACAACACCGCCTGAACTCTATGAGGGCAGCATTTTTCCAAATGAAGCAGCAAGTGAGGATCGGGACATCCATAGGGAGACCAAGATGCTTGTTTATAAAGCTATTGTCCTCCCAACCCTGCAATACAGCTGCAAAACGTGGACTGTCTACAGATGTCACACTCAACTCCTGGAACGTTTCCATCAACATTGCCCCTGAAAAATCCTCCAAATCTCTTGGGATTTGGAGACAGGCAGACAAATGTCAGCGTGCTAGAAGAAGCAAAGACCACCAGCATTGAAGTGATGCTTCTATGACATCAACTCCGCTGGACTGGCCACTCTGTCTGAATGCATGATCACCGTCTCCCCAAGCAGTTACTATACTCCCAACTCAAGAATGGGAAACATAATAATGGTGGACAGGAAAGGAGATTTAAAGATGGGCTTAAAGCCAACCTTAAAAAGTGTGGCATAGACACGAAGAACTAGGTAGCCCTGGCCCTTGGGCGCTCTAACTAGAGGTCAGCTGTGACCAGCAGTGTTGAAGAATTTGAAGAGGCACGAATGAAGGCAAAAGGGAGAAACATGCCAAGAGGATGGCGCATCAAGCCAACCCTGACCAAGACCGCCTTCCACTTGGAAACCGATGTCCTCACTGCGGGAGAACATGCAGATCAAGAATAGGGTTCCACAGCCACCTACAGACCCTCTGCCAAGACACTGCACTTGGAGGACCATCATCCTCAGGCTATGAGGGATCGCCTAAGTAAGTAAGTATTGGGATAAAGGGGGGACAGGAAAATACATTATCCTACGTGGAGCCATTCTAATTGTCAAACAGCAGAAGGTGTATAAACAAGGCCACATAGAGTAAGCACCACTGTTCATTCCATCCCATACACAATCTTGCTAGCCATTGTGAATCATTTTTTTTTTACAATTGTTAACCTTTCCCCCCAAAACTGGAGAAGTAAAATTGACTGGGGTTGGTTGAACAGACCTTTATAAGCATTCTGTCTCTGTTCATACAGTCGCCATAGAAATGCAAGACTTGTGGGTATGGTGATGGGGTGATAAAGTCAGTTTTAATTATGATCATTGGGGTATGGAGACAGGAAGGGAGATGTTGCCTAAAGCTAGGGTGAGTAGATGATCATAAGAATGGTGGCAGGAATTTTTGAAATATAGTGTGATGCTGGCTGGGAAGAAAATATGGTAAACTGGCCCAGATTCCTCATGAAGTTGACATGCTAATTAGTGCTATAATGTGTGCAGTGTGCCAGGAGAAAATGGTCTCTGTTTAACTCACTGTTGCTGGCCTGATGTTTGCAGTTCTACTGTTTCATTTCTGGTTTGTGTCAAAGGAAATTACGCTACTCTAATCATCATGTACCACAGCCAAGATTGGGGCCAAACATCAATAAAAATATTCAGTCTACTCACTGCTTGCAGCTGAAGGAGCAGATCGTTTTTCTCTTGAACGAGAGAAACTTGTTTTTCTTCAAGCTCCTTCCTCCTGGCTTCTGATTTCTCCAAGGCCTCCTTCAGTTTCAGGAACTCTTCCTTCATATTTGCCATCTCTTTTTCAGTTTCTGCAGATTTCAGCAGGGGCTTGATTTTAAAAAACAACTTCATCCATGGCCAGTTTTTCACAACCATAAATGCTCGAATATTCCATTGGATTACAAGCAGCGCATCTCTAATTTGAAAAAGAAGCAGCAAATTATTTGCAGTGTGTCTAAGTGTGATCTTCGATAATGACCAAATTTTACTCTTAACATTTTCACCTTCCCACACAATACAGATTTGTAAAGTACATAGTTGTGATTTATTCTTTTTCTCTTACTAAATCTTACAATATTTCCAAAGTTTACTTTATTTACCACATAGAGCACACATCATCTTCTTTTATACATTTTACAGATGTAAATACAGAATTACTTACCGTATATACTCGAAGATAAGCCCAGTTTTCATCCCTTTATTTGGGAGCCTGGAGGCCATAGCTTGCAATATATGATATATTTTTCTTCTTCCCTTAACAGTGTGCTTTCTTTTCTAAATCCTCCCTCACAAGTCCTTGCAAGTCAGGAATATGCATTAATCTTATAAAAGCATTTTCCCCTGAAACATTTGTTAATCTCTCCTACAGCTATATAGGCATTTCCTCTTGCAAACCTTTGCAATCCCTATTTACCTATATATTTGTATCTATCAATCTATCTATCTATGTACAATAATTTTATATATAAATTTTCCCCTCATATATTTGCAGGTCTTTGCAAAACGTATATACATATAGATATGTAGAGATTTCCATGTACCTATATATCTGTATCTATAAATTACTTTTATATATGAATTTTTCCTCTTACATGCTTGTAAGTTTCTGTAAATCCTATATAGATATAGATTTTGATAAATATATCGAGGTACCTGTATGTCTCTGTGTGTGTGTGTATGTGTGTGTGTGTGCACATGTAATTTTATATATGAATTTTCCCCTCACATGTTTGCAAGTCTTTGCAAACCCTATATAGATATAATTATATCTACAGAGATGTCTAGATAGATATGAATTTATTTATTTATTTATTTATCGTGTCAGGAGCGAACCAAAACAGTTGTATTGCATTAAAAAAACAGACAAAAAACAAACAAAACACAAAATTTGTAGTCTTTGTATTCTATTAAATGTCCTTTGACCAGTATCTGGTCACTTGTAGTGCCTCTGGTGTTGCTGCAAGAAGGTCCTCCATTGTGCATGTGGCAGGGCTCAGGTTGCACTGTAGAAGGTGATCTGTGGTTTATACATGAAAATAGATATATAGGGCTTGCAAATATTGCAGGGGAAATGCACACACACACACATAGAGAGAGATGTCTAGATAGATATAAACATAGATATTTAGAGCTTGCAATTATTGGAGGAGGAAAATGCACATATATAGAGAGAGGATTTGCAAACGTTTCAAGGGAAAAATGCATATGTAAAATTAGTGTATATAATTATAGATCTATATATAACTCTGCATTGTTTATATGGGCATTGAATGTTTGCCTGTTACTATGTTGGAAGCTGGCCTGAGACTCCATGGGGAGATAGGGTGGGATACAAATGAAGTGTTGTTGTTGTTGTTGTTGTTGTTATTGATACCATATTGTTTTTGTTGACCCTACTTTTCCACTTACAGAGCTAATATACTGTTTTTCTTTGAAATAGGGTAAATAGTCAAAAACATTATATTATTTTGAAATTTACCAGCAGCTGCTGCATTTCCCACCCTAGGCTTATACTCGAGTCAGTAAGTTTTTCCGTTTTTTTGTGGTAAAATTTGGTACCTTGTCTTATATACAGGTCAGCTTATACCCAAGTATATACAGTATTTCTTTCATGGCATTCAAAGCATATTTGAAAATAACAATGGCCATTGTTGTTGATTTGTGTACTATTGCATTCTCTTTAATTATATTTTGTGAGCTGCCTTGACTATTCTTTGAGGTCAGAAAGTCATGAGGTACACAGTAATATCTATCTGTACTAGCTATATATTGCTTGCTGTTCCACAGCATGGCTTTTCTTAAAAAAATACTTTTTAATCCTTTGTAAATATGGGCAGAGATTGCTTACACATTTACCCAATTGTCCTCTAGCAGTCACTCCAAAAGAGCTTATATTGCACACAGTGCTTCTTGGACTTTCAGGAAACCTCACCAACACAACCAATGGCTGAGAATCTAGGATTTGTAGACAAAATATTACATTCCCAAATTCTGGATGCACTTGTTAAGCACAACGAGAAACAAAAAGCATTTTCTATGCCCTGCTTGAACCTCCAAAGTGACTGTCAGATGTCTCTAGTCACTGGTCTTGTAATGATATCATCATCCTCCCCACATCAATGTGATTTTCCTTCTTCTTGGCAAGGGGCTGGACTGGATGGTCCACAAAGTCTCTTCCAACTCTGTGATTCTATGATCAATCAAACATGTTTCCTCTTGGAACATTAAATTTAAAAATTGTTCATATAAGTGTGCCATGAGATGAATGGACTGTACCTTCTTTCAACAATCTTCTGGAATTCAATACGCATCAATTTGCCTCGTGCTCTTGCTTGAATAAGTGTTAAGATCTTGGCCAATCTCTCATCTCGCAATTCTTCCAAATGACCCAAGAGGCCAGCCTTAAAGAAAACCTGAAAAGTATGATCCGTTTAGGACTGCTGGAGAATAAAGCCAACAAACCTGTGTTGGTTTAATATGGCGATTCAGCACGAACAGGATGAAAGCTGACATTAACGTCCACTAGAAAAGACCCTCTGAAATGAAATCTTCAGAAATAACAGATCCAAGTCTACTTTAGTTGCATTTAGTATCTGGTCTGATTAGTCAAGGTTAGTACTCATGAAAGCAGACTTCAAGAGCATCAATGGAAAAATAATAGTCCTGGTATGAGATCTTGTACCAAAGGCAGACCAAATGACTCTAAAGTGTCCTTTTTATGTCGACACCCGTTAAAATAGCTTGAATACATAGTTTTACATCTCCCCCATGTTACAATAATACCCTACTTTGCCTAAAGGATTTTTTTAAAAAAAAAAAAGAAGAAAGGACAAAGTTTTTAAAATCCAACATTTTAAAGCTTGTGATATATGTCACTGTCTTTCTCACCTTTTTTTAAATTCATAAAGATGGCTGTTACTTCTACACTCTTTCATTATCCATCACTTTCCTTGAAATGTTAGCTATTAGAAATAATTAGTGCCACTTTAAAGCGTTGCAGGTACTATCAGACCTGTAAATTACATATCTCCAAATGGCAGGCTACTGATCTCATGTCAGATCTACTTCCTACTCCAGTTTTAATTTTGTCTAATATCCAGCATGAAGATATGCTTTTATTCTAACTATTTAATCTGCAGGATTGTAAAGCTATTTGTTTCACATGGGCTTCCGAACCATTGTTAAAGCTCATTTCAAAGACCGTATCTGACTGAGGTGTATAAAAACAAACTTCTGATCTCGTAATAGAAATAATAGTTCTAAATATTTAAATCTTGATGAAATTAAAAATCCACAAAAGACTGATACCTTTATTGGCCAAAAATACATCAAACACACTCTCAAAGCTTTATGCCTTCTTTTTCAAACAAAGATATTAAAAGTCATATAGATGAAGAAAACTTGTGATGTTAGCATCACAATCCTATATTGTATCTGGTCTAACGCAGTGTTTCTCAACCTGGGGGTCAGGGGAGTGTCAGAGGGGTTGCCAAAGACTACCTGAAAACACAGCATTTTCTGTTGGTCATAGGGGTTCTGTGTGGGACGTTTGACCCAGTTCTATCATTGGTGGGGCTATGAATGCTTTTCAATTGTAGGTGAACTAAAAATCACAGCAACTACAACTCCAAAATGTCAAGGTCTATTAACCCCAAATTCCACCAGTGTTCACATTTGGACATATTGAGTATTTGTGCCAAGTTTGGTCCAGATCCATCATTGTTTGAGTCCACAGTGCTCTCTGGATGTAGGTGAACTACAACTCCCAAACTCAAGGTCAATGCCCACCAAACCCTTCCAGTATTTTCTGTTGGTCATGAGAGTTCAGTGTGCTTAATTCCATTTGGCTTAATTCCATCATTGGAATTCATTTGGTTTAATTCCATCATTGGTGGCGTTCGGAATGCTCTTTGATTGTAGATTAACTATATATCCCAGCAACTACAACACCCAAATGACAAAATCAACTCTCTCCCCAAACCCACCAGTATTCAAATTTGAGTGTATCAGATATTTGTGCCAAATTTGGTCCACTGAATGTAAATACATCCTGCATATATTTACATTATGATTCATAACAATAGCAAAATTACAGTTATGATGTAGCAATGAAAATAATTTTGGGTTGTTTTAAGTTTTTCGGGCTGTGTGGACATGTTCCAAAAGCATCTCTCCTGATGTTTCTCCTGCATCTATGGCAGGCATCCTCAGAGGTTGTGAGGTCACCTTTAAGGGGTCACAGAATTAGGAAGGTTGAGAACCACTGATCTAATGGCATCTCAATACAGGCAGTAGCCAACCTCCTTATTGGTCATGTGGGGACCAAGGACAAATAGCTATAAAAGAAAGGTAATGAAATTTCAACTCTATTGGCAACAGAGAAGTAAGTTCCCTGGAAATCAAGGTTACTCCTGTCCGATACAAAACTAACTGCCCATTCTTAGGCAAACAGCACTCAGTTTCTCACGATTTTCCTACACTGTTAAACATTTAGGTGCTACTCAGGTAAACCTTGCCAACTATAGTCCAAATGAAAAAAAATGTCTTTGTTGGAGGTAAAAGCCTCACATAATTAAGCCCCACTTTGTTGCTCCTTCCTGTTAAAGTTTCCCCTGTTGTGGCAAAATTTGATGACTTCAAGTCTAGGAAACATATTCAGGGGTAGCCATTAATATATATAAGTATAAAAATACAACAAAATTAAAAAAATCCATGATTTTAACCAGAGAGAGCAATGAACCAGGATGTAATTATTTCAGATTTTTACCTTGAGGCAAAGTAAAACTCTTTCATTTGGACTATAATTGGTAAGAGAGAGCCAACATGGTGTAGTGCAGTGTTTCTCAGCCTTCCTAATGGGGCAACCCTTTAATACAGTTTCTCATGTTGTGTTGACCCCCCCCCCCCACCATAAAATTATTTTTGTTGCTATTTCATAACTGTAATTTTGCTACTGTTATGAATCATAATGTAAATATCTGATATGCAGGATGTATTTTCATTCACTAGACCAAATTTGGCACAAATACCTGATACACAAAAATTTGAATTCTAGTGAGGTTGGGGGGGGGGGGTTGATTTTGTCATTTGGAAGTTGTAGTTGCTGGGATTTATAGTTAACCTACAATCAAAGAATAGTCTGAACCCCACCAACGATGGAATTGAATCAAACTTGGCACACAGATCTCCCATGACCAACAGAACATACTGGAAGGGTTAGTGGGTGTTGAGTTTTGGAGTTGTAGTTCACCTACATCTAGAAAGCACTGTGGACTCCATGATAGATCTGGACCAAGCTTGACACAAATACTCAATATGCACCAATGTGAAGACTGGTGAAGTTTGGGGAAAATAGACTTTGACATTTGGGAGCTGGGATTTATAGTTCACCTACAATCAAAGAGCATTTTGAACCTCACCAATGATAGAATTGAGCCAGATTTCCCACACAGAACCCTCATGCCTTGAAGGGATTCACTGGCGCAAGCCTCTCTCCAGCCTAGCATGCTCTCCCTAGCCGGCATATGCACACCACACTACCATGTCCCGGGCACACTTGCTCTTCCCTCCCCACTTGGAGTCTAAGAAACAGTCTTCCACTTGGCTGATTACAGTGGAGGAAGGCTTTTAGTGGGAGGATTCACCATCTGTTTCCAGAAAGGATGAGAAAGACAGATGGAGAGATATTCAGCCTTCTCTGCCAAAGGGGTTTCTAAGACCATCAGAAATATGTGTATTCTGATGGTCTTTGGCAACCCCTCGGGAAACCCCTTGCGACATCCCCCTTAGGGGTTCTGACGCCCAGGTTGAGAAACACTGATGTAGTGGTTTGAGTGTTGGACTACAACTCTGGAGTTCATGGTCTGAATCCCTGCTCAGCATGAAAACCCATTCTAAAGCAAACTCACTCTAAGAAAACTCAGGGCCCTTCCAAACAGGCCTATATCCTAGAATATCACGGCAGAAAATCTCACAATATCTGCTTTGAACTGGGTTGTCTCAGATAATGTGGGATTTTCTGCCTTGATATTCTGAGATGTAGGGCTGTGTGGAGTTGCTCTCAGTCACCATAAACTGGAAACAACTTTAAAGCACACAGTAGTGACAACTGGCAGATTGTACCTACACAGCATTACCTATATTGTAATTCTAAATGGACCCTCAGCTACTCATGACTGTTACCAAAGAATTTTCAGAGCCTGGAAAGGGTTTTTTTTTAATGACCTTTTAGAATTCCCTAACCTGCATGAAGATTGGCTGGGGTGGTCTGAAAACACTGGGCTCTTCGGGTACCCTTTTGAGAAAGGAAGCAGCTCACCAGAACAATCTCATGTCTCAGAAATATAAAGGAAGAAACAATCTTCCCTAATTTGCCTGGGTCTCAGATCAACGACTGCTTCTGTAATATACGTCCAGATGGCTTTGTTTTGTTTGTGTTTGCAAATCAGTATGTCTCTATCTGCTGTACCTTAAAAGAGCTCAGTTTACATTCTTTCACTTGACATTAGAATCCTTGCTGCTTGTCAACAGTCAGAATGTTTTCACTTGTAAGTCTCTATCTTTAACCCATGTTGATAGTTTAAGTAGGGCAAGTGTTGTAATATTTATACTCCCCAATGTCTGTTTGAAGCAGAAACATTAATGACCCAACCATTTGCTAAAGGGCTGTGCTTGGATGTGAAGTTGAGCTGGATTTTTTAATTTAATTTTTGGAGCTGCACTGCTGCTCCTTTCTCCAGCACTGTCCTCTGTGCTAATATATTGCTTAAATTCCCTGCCTTCCTAATTCGTTTCACAGCTTTGGAAAGTTACATTTTTGGATTAAAATTTCCAGCATGGGTAGTTCCAAAGAACTAATTCTTCCTAGACCTGACATATTAAAGTTTTTGGACTAAATTTTTAGATTGGGAATTACAGGATATAGGAAGTAACAGAAAGACTCTTCCAGGGCTTTTATGTTCCACCATACTTCTAAAATCTCTGTGATATGTGTGTGAAAAGGTGCACTGAATATGGTTGGCCTTCCAGATTTCTCAGTTTGACTTTTTGTATATTTAAGTAGCCACGGATTTGAGTAATATGCTCTCTTTGAGAAATTCTAAGTCCCCCAACATGAAATTGATCATAGAAATGTTCTGGAGGACCTGGAGATTTCTGAAATGAACAGCTCTGGGTCCCCCAGGGCCCTTCCACACAGCCCTATATCCTAGAATATTAAGGCAGAAAATCCCACATTATCTGACTGTGGACTCAGATAACCGAGTTCAAAGCAGATATTGTGTGATTTTCTGGCTTAATATTCTGGGATATAGGGCTGTGTGGAAGGGCCCCCAGTGTGATTGTATGGCCAACTTCCACTGAATGTTGTAGAGATCTCTCCTTATGATCTCAGAAGCCGGCCAGGCTAATACAGGAAGATATTGTCTGCCAAATAATCTGGTCCAAAACCATATTTATCCAGCTTCTTTCATCCTCCACCCGTCCCAACCCACCTTGGGTTAGTTGGATGTCCACATGGACTGAAAATGTTTTTTTGTAGCAAGGTCCTGTTATCACCAGGTCAGGACTACATAGGTCCATAGATTTCAGGACCAAAACCCTGAAATCTAGAAGGACCCTTTGTGATATCACAAGAGATGGGGCACTAATTATATTACAAGTGTAATATTACAAAATTCACCAATATTACTGAGGTAGTCACTGGTGATGTTGTTAAATATTATGGGATTGCTCACAGAGTTGTTTTGAGAATGGTGAGGGGAAGAGATCCCTGCCCTGAGCTCATCAACTACACAGAGAATAGGTAAAGGTAAAGGTTTCTGCTTGACATTAAGTTTAGTCTTGGCTGACTCTGGGGGGAGGGGTTCATCTCCATTTCTAAGCCGAAGAGCCAGCGTTATCCATAGACACCTCCAAGGTCATGTGGCCAGCATGACTGCATGGAGTGCTGTTACCTTCCCACAGAAGTGGTACCTATTTATATACTCACATTTGCATGTTTTTGAACTATTGAATTGGCAGAAGCTGGGGCTAACAGCAGCTCACCCCGCTCCCCGGATTTGAACTTGCAACCTTTCAGTCAGCAGGTTCAGCAGCTGAGCGGTTTAACCTGTTGCATCACCAGGGGGCCCACACATTTAAATATAATGGTACACAGAGAATATCGTTGAAATATAAAACACCTAAGCTAGCAAATTAAGAAAACACAGCTTTAAAGGTAAAGCTTTCCACCTGAAATTGTATCTCTTTATCTTGAGGACTGAGGAAGGGAATTCCTGCCAAAATCTCGCAACCCTAGCTTTGATCACCACTATGGACAATAAATTGAGATATTTTTGACTGCTAGATATTAGAGGCTAAAGGGCATTAGGGGTTGTAAATAAATTACAGTATGTGACTACAGAATTGGTCAGGATTGCAACTAAATTGTTCTTTATGTTTGTACCACCACCCCCTCCCCCACCACCACCACTATTCCTTGGAAATGTCAGAACATTTCACACCACGTTTCAAGCAGTCTCCTACCACCCCACATTGATCATGTCCACATCTGTTTAGTTTCACTAGAGCTGCATCATCAAATGCTCCCAGCTGATTCACTGAGCTGAAGAGAAGATTGAAACAAATTGCTTTACCTTTGTGTGCCCAAAGCGGTACTGGTTGATATCAATATCTAAAGAGCCAAGTAATTTTTCAGCAGCTTTTCTGCTGTCCACAAATTTGTCCTCGGGAATTGCAGAAGGGTTCAGAATGCGGTACCTAATAAAAGCATACCAAAAAAAGAAAATACAAATCAGATTCGGAACAAAATCTTGCCTAGAAGCTTTACCCCCACCCATCCCAGGTCTGCCAATGACTGAAAAATAAGGGAAACATGCTCTAGACATGCTTGGAGACACTTTTCAAAATATCACTATTTCATAGTTGAAAGACAGCTGTCACTGGATGCAATGCATCCAATGACACATATAATTAATGATATCTTGGCATATTCTTTATATCGTTCAGAAGGGAAAAAATAAGCTATTTGTGGAATGAAATTGAAAAGAAAATTCACTATTCTTTTCAGTCTTCATATTGACAAGTGGACATTTCTCTAAAATGTTTAACTCTAAATCTGTAGATTTGCATATCAAAAAAAAGTCTTCAAGGAGCTCAAATCCTGCCTTTCACATCTGATATCTGATCTGAAGTTCTGGGTAAATGTTTAAGTGGCTGGGATAGATCAAGGGTGGGGAACCTCTTTCAGCTTGAGAGACTAATTCAATTACAGAAAAAGTCTCAGTGTGGATGAAACTCAAAGTTAAAAGGGTTCCACAAATTACCAGAATAATTGAGTTTAAAGATCTTATATGTGTGTGTGCCTTCAAGTTGCCTGTCGGCTTATGGGAAACTCTTGGATTTTATGGGGCTTTCTTAGACAAGGAACATACAAGCATGGTTTTTGCCAGTGTTTTCCTCTGAAATATAATCTACAGTGACTGGTGTTCCTTGGCAGTCTACCATTCAAGTGCCAATCAGAAATTACCCTGCTTAGCTTCCAAGTTCAAATGGGATCTCATGCTTTTAGGAGAGACATTTCAAATTATTAGTGTGTTTGTGTGTGTCCAAAAATTTAGAAACCACCAAATATCAAGCCATGTGGAGGGTCTGATTGAAAACACAGATTAATGGCCCAAGCTCTTTTGTTTTTGAGTAGCCAATGAGAGATTTATAAATAACTTCCTATACTAAAACAAATACAGAGATATTCCCCTTGGTACTCAGTTCTATGCCTGAGTCTATAAGGGTGCATCTACACAACAGAGTGAAGGCAGTTTAACACCACTATAACGGTTATGGCTCAAGGTTATGGAATCCAAGGCACTGTATTTTGGCAAGCCATCAGTATTATTTAGTAGAGAAAACTTAAGTTCTTGTACAACGACAACTCTTAGGGTCCCATAGCCTGGAGCCATGGCAGTTAAAGTGATGTCAGACTGCATTAATTCTACAGTGTACCCAAGCAGAGTTCAAAAATGCTTTAATACATATTCTCCTTAGTAGCACAACAAAACTATTCTAAGGGATGGGGATGAAAGTAGCTCAATAAACTGGTAATCTTTTGAAAAAGTTATAACTATCTAGGTGTTTTTGTCTTGTTTATACCATTTCAAACAATACAAATGGTGCAGGCTTTGAGATCACCAGGGGAGGCCCTTCTCTCGGTCCCACCACCATCTCAAGTGCCTTCTCTGTGGTGGCTCCCTGTCTCTGGAATACCCTCCCAAAAGAGATTAGGTTAGCCCCCACCCGTGAATCTTTCTGATCAAGCCTAAAAACATGGATTTTTTAAGCAGGCTTTTGGCCTTGAGCAGGCTAAAAGGGCCCACATGAGGTTGACACTCTAGTACATTAGTTGTGAATTGATGGCAGTTCCTTTTTACTACAGATGGTCTGTGTTTTTGAAATTTTGTTATCTTATTTTTATATGTGTTGATAGTGGTTGTTTTTTATAATTTCTATGTGATATTGTTTTATACTCATGTGTCGTTTATGTTATGCTGCACCTTGGAGTGCCTTGTAAGCCACCCCAAGTACCTCTGGAAGATGGTGGCAGGATATAAATGATGATGATGATTTTTATTATTATTTTATATATAAGTTGAATCTTGGAGGCTGCATTATAGACTAAATCGGACTGTTAAACTGACTAATCCATTATTATCAATGCTAGCTGGAATCAATTCTAGAGTATCAAGTGCCAATCTTTTCTGATCTTTGATTTCACTGAGCTCTGACTTCTATGTTAGGCCCCTTCCACACAGCTGAATAAAATCCCACATTTTCTGCTTTGAACCAAAATATATGGCAGTGTGGACCCAGATAACCCAGTTCAAAGCAGATAAACGGACACTGTATATTGTTATGGTATTGAATGGCTGCTGGTTGTAAGCTGCCTTGAGTCACCTCCGGGTTTGAGAAAGGTGGGATAGAAATAGCATAAATAAATAAAATACATAATATTGTGGGATTTTCTGCCATGATATTTTGGGTTATATGGCTGTGTGGAAGGTCCCTTAATCACATGCAAAAGAAATCTTTTATCTCAGTGTAAATAATATGTGGAACAAATAAAGAGAAATCGTTATTAGTCTTCTTTTTTCTTGAAAAAAGGAGTGTAAAGAAGCAACAATCAGACTACATCACTCATGTTAACACCACCTTTGCTTAAAGTCGGCATAGACAACTCTGTTTGGAAAACCTTTGCGGCAAATACGAATTCCTTCCAAGACGCCGTTACAGCGAAGTTGATGAAGGACGAGGAAAGCATCCATCACACCTGGGCGGAAAAAAATAATTCAAAGATGTGGAGTGAAAAGGATTTTATTATATTCCAAGAGTGAGAATAATTTATATATATGAGCATGATCTAAAAAAATTTATGATTAAAAAGAAGGTTTGCTTTACCTGGACTTTTTGTTTCATTGGGAATAATGCAGCGTACAAAGTGGGGAGCTGTCGACCTTAAATTGGTCATCAGTTTGTTTAAATTTTCCTGCAAAGAGAGTAAAAGCAAGGTAAATCATGCAGCTGCTATGTACAACAAAATAGAACAATTAACCTTACTGAACATCCCTTTAAGGGAATAAAGATATGATATGGATAGACATATACACACACTGTTTCTTAGCTGTCCACTGTTTTCAAGCACGCAGTTACATTTAAGCAATGGGGCCTTGTGAGCCTGGCATGTTCCAATAAAACATAGTTTAAATTTTAAATGAACTGCAATTGTCAATTTGGAAGCAATCAAAAACAGCAGTTGGTTTAAACCGGGTAGCAGATGCTTTCAATATTCTCCTGTGGTGCACTGCTAATATCACCGCCCTGTATGAAAGAGAATTTTTAAAAAGCTGTCTTCCCAGAATATACCTTTTCTTTCATGATCAAGAAAAGACCTCCACACCTTTTTCTCCCTAGTCTAAACAAAAAGAGGGGTAAATAGCAAGGAAGGGAAGAGAATAGGGCTGGTCTATTGAATCGCAAATAGCAATGGATTAATGTCCTCCTGATTTAAGGTCAAGGCTGGCTGGTTTGTGCCTCAGATTTCCTGTCTCATATTCTTGGACCAAGAGCCATGTGGGGGACAGGGATTACAACTGGGACAGTAAAAGCTCCATATCACTCCCTTTGGATTGAACTGGGGAGGTTTGTTCCCTTCTGTCTGCCAGGCCTATGTCATTGTCAACAGCTTATGTCAATAGCTCACTATTGAATACTATAATCGCCAAAAACTTGGATTGGCCAGCAAGTCAGGCAGTCTGGTTCATTTAAGTAGAGAGTGCCACCGTTGATAAACAAAGTATTTAACTCAACATGGCAGTTATGTATCTTGGCCATGGCTTTCTGTATCACATTTGCTCTTTCTTCATGGTTCTCAGACATATGCTAAACTAAAACCTATTACGTTCAGTTCAAGTTCTATCTATCACTGTTGTTATCTTCACATCAACTCTGACTGGGGGGAACCCTACCACTGAGTTTTCTTGGCAAGATTTATTAGGTGGTTTGTTGTTAACTTCCTCAGAGGCTGGGAGATTCATCTATACCCTCTAATATTTCATAGATAGAAACTGGACCAAGCAATATCAGAGGGTGGTCAAGATAGTAAAAGGTATTAAATGCCCCACAAATCTGGAACTCTCTGCCCAGGGAAGCCAGAATGGCCTCCTCCCTGCTATCCTTCGGGCTTCAGGCTAAAACCTTTTCATTCAGGTAGGCTTTTTAAAAAGAAGGTTTTTAATATCATGTCAAGGGCTGCTGTGGTTTTATATGTTTTTATGGGCTGCAGTGGTGCAGTGGGTTAAACTGCTAAGCTGCAGAACTTGCTGACCAAAAGGTTGGCGGGTTGACTCCGCGGGATGGAGGGTTGACTCCTGCTGTTAGCCCCAACTACTGGCAACTTGGCAGTCTGAAAACATGCAAATGTGGGTAGATCAATAGGTACCACTTTGGTAGGAAGGTATCAGCACTCCATGCTGTCATGCCGGCCACATGACCTAGGAGGTGTCTATGGACAATGCTGGATCTTTGGTTTAGATATGGAGATGAGCATCACCCCTAGGGTTGGACTCAACTAGACTAAATGTGAAGGGGAAACCTTTACCTTACCTATGGATTTAATCTGAATTGTTTTTAATATTAATGATGTTTAATACTGTTTTAATATTTGTATATTTTAAATTGTACTATAATGCTTTGAATTTTAGCTGCTTTGAGTCTCCTTATGGAGAGAAAAAGTGGGATATAAATATACACAACAACAACAACAATTAACAAAAACTATGGCTGGATCTATACTGTCATATATTCCAGTACCAGAATGCAGATTAACTGCATTGAATTGGAATATAACAGTGTAGACTTATATAATCCAGTTCAATGCAGTTAATCTGCATTCTGAAAATGAAATATATGACAGTGTAGATCCAGCCACAGTTTGCTTTTGCCTAGTTCTGCCTGGAAGGGCAAGACTCTGTCTCCTCCTTTCTACTTCTCAACTTCAGTTTGTAGCAAATGAAGTAAGCTGAAGACAAATGGGGGAATGCAAGGATGAAAGAGACACTTGAGTATTTTAAATGCTGATTGAAAAGTGGGGTGACAGAGGATTAATCAGGATTTCCTCTGCCAAACTGGCTACTTTGTCACACATCTGCGGGGGGGGGGGAGTAGGGAACTCGATGCCCCACATCCTACATCACCCGGCTTCCCAGAGGGGGAAGCATTGAATGTGCAGCTTTCCCCCATAGATTCCAATGGCAATATGGAAAGCCTACCGGAAGCATGTGCCAGCTTGACCCTACTTCACCCATGGAGCCCCATTGGCATCATTTGATGAGAGCCGGCAAGTTCCGTGGGTGAAATAGGGTGGAAGCAGCTTATGCCACCAAATTCCACCTTGTGTGATGATGTCCTGGGACAACTGGAGGATGTGTTTGCATCAGATCATCAAATGAGTTTCTATGAATGAACAGGGATTTGTAGTCTCTCAGAATCCTAATCCAATGCTTAACCCATACATCATATTGGCTCTTCCACCTATCCATCAAATATAGTGGACAGATATTTATTAGAGTTATTACAGTGAGACAGGAAATTCATGGCCCACAACTTCTCCACAAACCACTTGAACCTCCACCTTGGTCCTTCAATTTGCAGCAAAGTTTTTTTGCCATCACAAGAAATTCAAGCAATTCTTCTGGAAAATGTTGTGTGCAACAAACCTCAATCTTGCTTTTTAACCTAATTTCATCCTCAGTGCAAAAAATAAATAAATCTGTTAACAGCTCAGGGAACAACAATCAATGTGTGTGAAGTATTTTTGGCATTAGATTCAGTTTTCAAAGAAGTAGTCATACTAATCTGTTGCTATAAAAATATGAAAAATGTTGTGGCTCTTTAAGGCTTGTCAAGTTTATGTGTAAGCTGCCTTGAGATTTCCTGACATAAGGCCAGAGAGTGGTATAAACATTTTAATAAATACATATGTTTATTGTGGCATAAGATGAACTGGACTCTATTAGTGGAAACTTGCACATCACAATTAACCCGATAGTCTTTGACCTTAATTGAGGGCCCTTCCACACAGTCATATAACCAAGAATATCAAGGCAGATAATCCACAATATCTGCTTTGAACTGGATTATTTGAGTCCACACTGCTATATAATCCAGTTCAATATGGATTTTATCCAGCTGTGTGGAAGAGGCCTATGATGGTGATTATTTTTATCTCTGTTCATGTTATATTAGGGCCCTTCCACATTGACTTTTATCCCAGGATTTGATCCCAGATTATCTGCTTTAAACTGGAATATATAAGTCCCCACTGCCAGATAACCAGGGATACACAGATAATCTGGAATCAGATCCTGGGATTAGGGGCAGTGAGGAAGGGCCCTTAGAGACTCTAGTTTTAGGTGTTACATTGTAACTGAATCAAAATGTAAAAACTGCAAAAACAAGAACGAAACAAAAAAACCCCTACCAAACTGAAAAAAGTAGGTCTTGCAAAGCTAGCCAATTTCTAACTTTGCATATTCTTTGTTTTGAATACGATGGAATGACAAATTACACATTATGTTTAAAAGGAAATTGGAAAATTACTTTATGCATTGATGACACCGTTTGGAAGGAAGCCCCTTTCTTGCGTTTCTTCTCTCCACTTTGATCAACTGTCATTTTTTTATTTGGGATAAAAAAGAAACACAAACAGAGCAACTGAGCTAAATTTTGATTACAGCAATGACAAAAAAGACAGGTTTATAAATTGATTTAGAAGTCTATAAACAGAAATCTAGGAAGATTAAACCAGGGAGCTATGGATTTTCTTTGGACTCAATGTGATCTGCAGGTTCTATGATGCTGCATTGCAGTTCCTTTGTTGTTTTACATCCCCTCCCCCTCTTTTCATCCCTACCAAAGGTAATGCATGGACATAATGCAACTATGATTTTACATAGGTCAAGGACCTGCTGTGGCAGACTTTTTCTGCATTTCACCTGACCACTGCTTCCCTGTGCTCTACACTGCAGAATCCACAGTCTGGTGGCCAGATAATGATGCACTCTAAAAAGGAAGTATACATTTCAATGATGCACATGGAAAATATTAGAAAGTGCACAACATTATTTAAATGTACTCCAAAACTCATCCAGAAGAGTAAAAGATCTCTGTATGTCCAATTTTTTTTGGTTTGATTTTACCTGTATATCCCCAGGTCTGGATCCAAATTCTTTCTTGGAACTATTAATTGTGGCAATGGCTGGGTAAACCTTAATTTTTACAATGGTTGATGTCCTCCCAAAAACTTGGTTCTATAATTGCTTTCTTGTACTGATGCAACATTTCAGGTTTTTAGCATTACAGTGCCATTGATACTCTGTTGGCTGAGATGGTTTATTGATTTATCAGTGCAACAAACAAAATGTTACCATATATACTCTAGTATAAGCCAATTTGAATATAAGCCGAGGCACCTAATTTTACCACAAAAAACTGGGAAAACTTATTGACTCAAGTATAAGCCGAAGGTGAGAAATGCAGCAGCTACTGGTACCAATAAAATGGATACCAATAAAATTACATTAATTGAGGCATCAGTAGGTTAAATGTTTTTAAATATTTACATAAAACTGTAATGTAAGGTAAGACTGTCCAACTCTGATTAAACTATTATTCTAACATTCTTTAATGTAAATGTGCTGACGTATCCTTCCAATAATCAACATGGTTTATTTTAACTATATATTTTGGGGAAAATGCTGTGTGTATATGAATAAGGAAAAGTGGGAAAGACTGGTGCCGAGAGAGGAGGAGTGGAAGGCAGGTCCTGCACTGAGAGAGGAGGAGAGAAAGGCACGAGCTGTGTGCGAAAGGAGGAGAGGAAGGTGTGTGCTGCATTGAGAGGAGGAGTTGCTGTGCGGAGAGGTGAGAGTCCTGGCAGGAAGATGGGGCTGAAATTAGCCCTTCCTGCCAGACCCCACACCTGACTATAAGTCAAAGGGGGGGGGGGGTTCGGCCTAAAAAAGCCCTGAAAAACTAGACTTATACTCAAGTACATATAGTAAGTAAAAATCTTATGAACGTGCTTATCTATCATGATTATCTCATATATGTGTCTTCAAATTGTTCCTGACTTATGGCAGCCCTAGAGCAAATCTATCACAGATTTTTCTGGGGCTAGAAGTATATGAGTCACACAAGATCCCCAACAGTTTTCCATAGCCAAACAGGGAATTAAACCCTGGTCTTCACCATCATTGTCCAACATTTAAACCATTATACATATTGCCTTTTAAATACTGGAAATTCAGAGCAAGTGTGCAAGCTCAGAACCCTGTTTTCAACAGATGTCAAGGTCCAGTACGACTAAACTTACTACAACTTCCCTACTCCTGTCTTGGTTCCTCTTCACTGTTGTGACTTTTTTACTTGACCACTTGCTCAAATAATGATAGTAAGAGACATAGGTCACATGCCAATTTGCATATGGATTCATTGTTTGGGTTGCTGTGAGTTTTCCAGGCTGTATGGTCATGTTCCAGAAGCATTCTCTCCTGACGTTTCACCCACATCTATGGCAGGCACCCTCAGAGGTTATGTGGATGCCAGCAACAGACCTCACAACCTCTGAGGATGCCTGCCATAGATGTGGGTAAAACATCTGGAGAGAATGCTTCTGGAACATGGCCATATAGCCCGGAAAACTCACAGCAATCCAGTGATTCTGGCCATGAAAGCCTCTGACAACACATTGATTCATTGTTTCTTTCTTTCCCTTGCCAGTATTGGTGTTTAAATCTAGAAGTGGTAAAGGTGTAGCAATGTCTGGGAGGAGCAACAACATTGAATCATGCAGTAGTGAAGATTTTCAGGGCACTATGGCCCTAGCATCTGCCTAGTGATATGAATTTCAGATTGGCAGGTCTACTCAAGCAAAAAAGAAGTGTCCAAAGTCAACTCTTTAAATAATATACGAGCAACATCATAACTTCCTTAGATTTACAGCTGTTTCTTGCAACAATATTGACTGGTTTTGGACGTTTAATCCTTGGCAGTTAAGAGGATGAAGTAGTAGGAAAGTTCTCTGCTTAAAACCCTGGAGAACTGCTCTCCGAACACAGTATTGACTAAAATGGACTGACCTGATATAAGACTGCATACCTCATTTTTCTTCTGGTAGCAAATTTAACTATCCAACTTGAGATTTAGCAATCTGTTCTATACATTGCATGGATCAGTGCACACATTAGTTTCCAAACTCAGTGCAATACTTTTTATCAAAGCAGTGCTTCTGGCACACTTTAATTCACTGGGATGTGAAGATTTTGTCAAGTATGTTGCTATCCATGAGAGTTTAGATTAGAATAATGAAATTAAACCCATTAATTATACCTATATGGATCAACAGTATCAACTTAATTTTAAACACCATACATAGATGAATATAGGAAGATCTCTTATTTCAAATGAGACTTCTGACCCCTCCAACACAATGCTGACTCTACACTGGTTGGAAGCACATTTATGGTGTTTCAGACAGTAGTCTTTCTTGGGCCTACCAGGAGATATAAAGATTGAAATTGGAATGCAAATAATTTGTTCTACCATGTGGTTTGCATGGTGCTCCTCAGAGTCATTTTATGGTTTCCAGGGGCCCTTCGGAAGCATTGGGGGGAAAAAACAGTTCAAAAATTTTTTGCACCTCTAATGGTTTGGAGGCATTTTGCCAATGTTTTGTCACCTCTCAGAGAGTGTTGGGTCTTTTTCTAAAACAGGAGATGACTCATAATCACTTCCTACTGCTAAAGAAAGGCCTTTCCTGGCTCTAAAATGTCCCAGGGGTCAAGAAACATGGCAAAATGCTCCTTGAACTCCCCACAGGATTTGGGGGGATATTTGGAAGTTAAAAAATAATTATTTTGTGGAGGCAGGGTGGGTAAGGTGCTCTAAATGTTAACATAGCTATCCCATCCTTACATGGAAGAAATTAGATGCCCGGATGCCTTTGTTCCCAGAAGGATGGGGGGGAGGGGGGGTTGTTGAAGAGCAAATGCACTTCCCATAAGTCCTTGTGACTGGGAGCCATCTTTTGTTTGGCACCTATACAATGGAGTCAATCAATGGGAGCTGGCACTTCACTGTTTATTCTGGATCTCCTGCCCAATTTCACTGATTTGCCAATCCTTGGTCCAGCAATCATACTTTTACACATCCTTGTAATCCTGTCTTCCTGTGCTACTGCTATTCATTCTCTCTCTCTCTCTCTCTCTCTCTCTCTCTCTCTATATATATATATATATATATATATATATATATATATATTACTAGCTGTCCCCTGCCACGCGTTGCTGCAGCCAGTCTGTGTATATGTGCTTTGTGTGTGTATATGTGTGTATATATTTGTGTATATGTGTATATACATGTGTTTGTGTACTTATATGTATGTGTGTGTGTGATTTTGTGAATCCGTTGTAATGTATTTTTATTTTTTGGCTTTTTAAGTCTCTTCTGCTGTGTTTTTATGACTGATGGTCACTCGTTGGCCTAATACGTGTATTGTGCCCAAATTTGGTGTCACTTCATCCAGTGGTTTTTGAGTTATGTTAATCCCACAAACAAACATTACATTTTTATTTATATAGATTTTTACTGTATTCATGCAATTTCAGCATGTAAAAACAAAACAAAAGGCAAATATAAATATAAACTAAAAGGAAAAATAGTTAGTTTGGCAATAACAAAGGGTAGGGAGGAGAGGAAGAGAACCCCACCCCATAATGTTACATTACTGCTAGCATGTTGGCACAGAAATTGAAAAGCCCCATCACTCCAAGGTAGGTGATTGCAATGTTGCCGAACTGGGAGAGATTGGTGAGTTTTACTCATTAATAGCTAGGGATAGGAAAATAACAGAGAGGAAACAGACTGGTCATAGGATGCACATGGCATGTGACCTTTTATGATGATGCAGCTGTAATGCTGGTTTGCCTGCCTCATGTGATAAAGTCCTAAGTAAAAGGAAGAAACTAGAATTGGACATTTCATTCTGTTCCGCAATAATAACTGATAAAATGGCAATGCCCTTTTGGCTGACGCTATAGAAAGGGCAAAGAAATGAATGTAATCTATAATGTTCTGTGCCAGACAGGAATCTCTGAAGAAGGCTTAGCAGTTCTTGGTTACTTGCAATAATCTGCAAATGGCAAGTTTGCGTCATTTTAGCTCAGAGCTTTCTCCAGTCTGCCTCATGGACCCAGCTCTCTGCTCACCTGTTCTAGACATTCTCTTATGATTCATGACAACTACGTCTAACCAAATGAACTTCATAATAAATATGCTGTAAATGATTGTGGCTTGAGGATATAATGGCTAAATCTCAGTAATGAGTCATAGTCTTACTTATTTAACATGAGTATAGAGAAACCTGTAAATTGCCATGCCCAAAAAGCACAGTCACAGAAATGGTTATTTAATAATTATTTCTGCTTGGAAGAGGTTTCCCATGGAGCTCTGAGATCCGGCAGGCAAACTACTCTGCTCTTTTTACTTATCAAATATAGATTTTTTAAAATAATAGAGAGCTGTTTCCCTTATTTTCATTAACACCTTGGGAAAGTTACTTTTTTTAATTGCCCAACCATTTCCCAGCCAATATAGAGGATTGTCAGAGCAGTACTCCAAAGAAAAGTGATGCCTCTGACCTGAGCTATGTTCTGCCTTTAAAGATGGGCATGTGTTTGTATTTTTATAAAGCTTTTATGAATAAATATAACCACTTTTTGAAAGGCCTCTCCTGAACCTAAAATGTTCATGGGTGAGACAAAAATGTGGCAAAAATTGCCCAGAAGTATTCCAGAGGGCATTGGAAACATTCTGAGGCAAAATAATGCCCCCACTCCCCAGAGGAATACAATACAGATTCAGTCTACTAGCCTCCAATAGTTGCCAACCTCAGGCCTAGATGGGTTGCCAGATTGAAAACTGGCAACTTACTCCTTTCACAATTGTGTAGAGAAGAGTATTTCAGTAGCCATTTCTTGTCAAGCAACCCAAACACCACTACTGGCTAGAGCAGTGGTTCTCAACCTGGGGTCCCCAGATGTTTTTGGCCTACAACTCCCAGAAATCCCAGCCAGTTTACCAGCTGTTAGGATTTCTGGGAATTGAAGGCTAAAAACATCTGGGGACCCCAGGTTGAGAACCACTGGGCTAGAGAGAGAAAGAAACAATGAATCCATGTACGAATTGGCATGTGACATATTTTTATCATCCTTTGAGCAAGTGATCTAGTGAAAAAATTAGAGCAGGAAACTAGTAGTAAGTTCTTTTAAATCTGAGATTGCACATTTGCACTCAGTTCTGGTAAGTGACCCTGGCTGAACTTTTCTCTGTGGTTTTTAAAAGATACAGGAGCTGTTTGCAATTTTCAGTCTAGCAACCCTAGCATGATAGGCAAGGTTGCTACAGCCCCTTCACCTGTAGCTAATGTATTCAATGGTGAGAAATGTGAGAAACTCTCACTTCCCACTGTACACTCACTAGGAAACTATAGACAATCCTCTTTCATTAGCATGTATACCAGGGTTATGCTTTTGAGGTAAACATTGTCCCGTTTTGTGTCCTGATTTTCATTGGGGGCCCCGATCCATTTTTTGTGATCCTCCCAAAATCAGGAGAGTTGTTTTCAGTTGTTTTGGTTCGGAGCCCTGAAAATCAGACCATTTCCCACCCACTGGTTCCCTTTCTCAGTTCTTCTTACCTGCCACCTGCTGTTTATACTCTAGAGTATGAGGTGCTCAGCTGTAGGCACTGCCTGCACACCATGCCACATGCACACTCTCCTTGGAAAGAGAGTGCGTGCATGGGAGAGCATGTAGGCAGGCCCAGAAAGCATGTGCCTACCAGTGCCTGCAGCCAAGTGCCTCTTATTCTAGAGTAAGAGGCACTCAGCTGCAGGTGCAGTCCAGGCCTGCCTGCACACCCCGCCACACACACCCCACCACATTCTCCAAGAGAGTGTGTGTGGCGGGGCATGCAGGCAGGCCCGGGGCGCGCCTGCAGTCAAGCTCTGGGCCTGCCTGCCTGCATGCTTCACCACACACACACTCTCTTTCTAAGGCAAGGAGGCAAGTTCAGATGCACATGAAAGAAGGCTTTCATGTCGAGAAGAGTTTGGTGTGGGGAGGGCTTCCGAAGAAATGGAAGACATGAATGAAATGGTAGAAATTCTGTGCACAACTCTAATGTATACCTAGGCACGTTTGTTACACTGAAAGATATGCATTTGTTACATTGAAACATGTGCATATTATGGATGCACCTTGAAGTGAGATGTGGCATGCAATAACTACAACAATAACTGCAATAACTAGGTGATCTCAATGCAATAACTAGGTGATCTCAGCCTATTTTGAGTCAGCAGGAAGACTAAATTGAATCAATGGAAATGACTATCTCTCTGCTTCCCACAGATATGTTATGAAAGGAATTACATCTAAGGCAGCAAGACTTTCCAATATCATGATTTGGTATATTTACTCAGCATCTCTTCTAAGCTTTGATTTAGGAATTAAAGTGAAGAAGGTCACCCCACTTACCGCTGTCAGCACTGATATAATTTTCAAACAAGCTTGCCAAAAGTTTGTTGGAAGATTTTTGAAAAGTGCCCACCACAGTCTCATTGAGTGGATCTTTGTTTTTCTCAAGCCAACCAACGATGTTGTAGGGTACCTAGAAACACACAGAGATAGTTGAAACATGAAGATAAGGAACTAAAGAGACAGAAGAAGAGAGAAACAGGAAAAAGAATGCACAATGGAGGTCAAACAACCAGGAAAATGTCTTTGTTTATATTACAACCATTATATATTGAGTGGTTCCATGACAGATCAGTTAATTACCCCCAAATTATTTCAGTTATCGCCACGATATATTAATCTATCTGATATCAAATTCCAACATCATAAAAATACATTTTGTGCTTATTTCACTAACCATTTCATTCTTCAAACCTGTTACAAATGAATAATGAGGAAGAACACTAATATGTGCAGCTCAATATTGTCTATGTTGACCACTGCATCTCTCCAAGATTTTTGATACAAATGTCTATTAGCTCTGCAGTAATCTTCTGTTACATATAGAATAACTATGCTCTACCATTCCATGGACTATAATTTTATTAGGATTTCTATGTACAAGTCTAATACTCTGGAGAAGAAAATGTCAGTGATGTTCACCTCCTTAAATGTTTAAAACTTACCGCTCCGGCATAGTGCAGGAGTTCAAAATGTGCTTCATATTTCCTTTTCTTGTCAAGCCTAGGCTTCTGTAGGTTGGGTGACTTGCCAAGGTGGTTGTCATAGAGCTTGGCTTTGAAAGTCATATCTGTAGCTTTGGGGAACATGCACTCCTCTTCAAGGATCGACAAGATGCCCAAGGGCTGTTTTTAAAATTCAGAGGGCAAATGTTAGGATTTTGTTTTGCAGAAACAACATTTGGGTTAACATCAAGGAATAACACATGTGGAGGCCGTGTTTTGCTAAATCCATCAATACTTTACCATTTCAGGCTGCTATGCAACTTGGTGACACAGTGTGAAAATGTTATTTCAGCTGATTGCTGACATAATATTGATGCTTCACTTTTCAAAATGCTTTAAAGGGCTGATATTTCCCTCAATAAATCAGCAAGAAACCAGGAGAAAATTATTATAGCTCAGATTCGTGCAACTTACAATCTAGAGAGCCAAACACATTATTTCAGCTATTAGTCTGCTCTGTCCCTCTTTTGTAAACCTAAGTAGCTATCAAAAAACCCAGAACACGCATTGAGGTTCTATAGCGGTGCTTCTTAGCCTCTGGATACATATTCGACATCTACTCCCAGAAGCACCAGCCAGCATGACTAATGGTCAAAACTTCTGGGAAGAAAGAACCAAAATCCTTGGAAGGCCAAAGGTTAAGAACAACTGGAGTGCAACAGTGCACTTTTCGCTTGAGTGAAGGGACTTCATACTAGAGGCGGGCACAGTATTTGTTCCATTCTTTTCATTAGGATATTCATTTTGTACCGTCCATTTGGATGGTATGAAATGAAAGAGCCATTTTCAGATGAAACAAAAGGTGAAACAAAAGAGAAAGTTCCACAGTTTCCATTTCTTTGTTTGGTTTTCAGGCTGCGTGGCTTGCACCAATTGTTTGCACCAATCAGAGCCCATGAAAATCAGAGCCCATGAAAACAGCGAGTTCACCAGACTATAAGTGGTATATTAATCCCTGCCTTTAAGCTGGATTCTCCTCCACATAGCAGGAGGGAAATCTCTCAGAATCGGTGGTATATTAAGTACTGCCTTTAAGCTAGGGTCTCCTCCACATAGCAGGAGGGAAATCTCTCAGAATCAGTGGTATCTTAAGCACTTCTCCTCTGCAGATTGAGAGGAAGGGAAAGAAGGAATGCTTTTAAGGAGATTTTATTTATAGAAAGAAAAAAATCCCTAAAAATCGGGGGACTATGTGTGGTGATTTTCACCCCTCTAGTACTAAAACTGAGGGGAAGGGGAGCCTGGGAAGGACCGCCCATGTTGGCCAATGGTCCAAAAAAATTTTGTTCATTTGGACGAAAGAACAAAACAGATTATTCAGAAAGGCCGCCGTTTTCAGAAGCAGCACTCAAAAACGAAAATGGGGCCATACGAATGAAACAAACCAAAATGGATAGCTATTCTATACAAATGCACAAGACTATTTCAGACAATGAATGGCAAAAAAACAAATCCAAGAAATGGATCATAATGGCTCTTAGTTCAGGAAAAGGTCACATGGTAGTTGTGACTGTTGTTGGTCCTTCTCTGAGCATCATCTAATTTGAGAAAAATGATATAATTATATATATTGGGGGGGGGGGGGTTTGACAGAATTGCAAAACTAAAGGGATCAAGTATCTCAGTTCTGTAATTAGAGCAGACACAGTAATAGAGGTAATATGATCTTTTTTTTTATTCCTTTCCAAAACTGAGAGACAATCTCTGGTCTTGCATCAAGCAAGAAGCTTCACAATTTGGCAGATATTTTATTTGGATCCTTTTCGAATTAGTTTGACACTATAAGTACTATGCAACATTATCCTCTGAGTTGAGAGGTTTTGTTATCAAAGAGTAGTGGTTTTGATGAGACTATCTATACCTTTTCTATTAAATCAATGCAGGCCTGCAAATCCAGTCCAAAGTCAATGAACACCCAATCAATGCCTTCTTTTTTGTACTCTTCTTGCTCCAAGACAAACATGTGATGATTGAAAAACTGTTGCAGTTTTTCATTTGTGAAATTGATGCAAAGTTGCTCGAAGCTATTATACTATAAGGGGAAGAAATAATAAAAATCAATTTGCATAGGATCAAACAGAGGAACTGAGCCTTATATACATATATACACATACACATATACAAAATCTGGTAACAGTTTGAATTCCTATAAGAAGAGCTTCAGTGTTAATGCATTGTATATGAGTACATAATTTTCAGGCTAGAGGATCACTGGTTTAATTACAAGTAATGCAGGGATAGTTTTTTGAGACTATTTCCCACAATCCCAATCAAAAGAGAAAGAAAGGTTGTGTTTACTTTCCACTGAAATTGATGTCAAGTACAACTTTCAATAGGAACTGAGCCCAATTAATTTTTTTAGGGCTAAATTATGTTTGTTATGAAAGATATTTATCATAAAGAAATACTCCCAGTATATGAAGTATACAGAAGTTGAATTTAGGAAACACTTCCAAACAGGAGCATTGTCCTACCTAGATGTGTCCCTTGAAGAAAACCAGTAAAAATGTATGCATGTCTATAATAATTTTCACACAAAGAGCACAAGAGGATTGTGTGTTGGGTTTTTGGACATTGTAATGCCTGGTTTTGAATATATATATTTTTAAAGTATACAATATTCAGTGGAAAAACTAAGGCACTGAAAAGTGCAAATGTCAGGCAGACCACTTTGAGAAGGGCATTCTGTGGCTGAGGCGCCACCATTGAAATCAACCTTTTAAAATGCCTCCTTTGTGCTATATCTTTTTAAAATACATTTGTATTTTATTTAATATCTTTCCCACTTCCCTCCCCTCAATATGGGGCTAAAAGTAGGAGATAGCAATAACAAAAATGTTAACATAAAAATGTGTATTAAAATACAGGTTGAAGCAGGCATGGGCAAACCTTTTTGCCTGTGGGCCGCATTGTGAGCCTGGCTGGGAGAGCCAGGCCAAGAGGAACGGGGCCCGGGCATACGCTGGGTGGGGAGGGCCCAGGAAAGGACAGGGCCATGAGGGGCAGGACAGAGTCGAGGTCATCCTCAAGTTGTTCTCCCAGCATAAGAATGGGGCTGCTCATCGCATCCTTATGCTGGGAGGAAGGAAAGACATGTGGCGACTGCCCCGATCTCCTTCTCATCCTTCTCCCCCGATCCTTGGGCTGTCCTCTTGGCATTATGCTGGGAGGAGGGTGAAATAGGTGATGTCTGAGTGTTCCCTGGAGGGCTCTCAACTGCCGCATGCCTTCCTTGAGCTGTCCTCCCGGCATAAGGATGGGGTCACTCACATCGTACTTATGCCAGGAGGAGGGTGAGGCACACGGTGGCTGAGGGCTCTCCGTTTCTATGTGCCTTCCTTCCTCATCTTTTTGGCATTGGGGGGGGGGGGCTCTACTTTACCAAAAAATCTTACAATTTAGCAGCCCCTTAATTACTTATGCCAAGAGGAGAGGGAAAATGAGGAGGGCCTGAAGTAAGCACCTACGGGGCCACATCCAGCCGCCGGATCTTAGTTTGCCCATGCCTGGGCTAAAGTTTAAAAAGTAATTGGTAAAAAGAAACAACACCTGCTTCAGTTAAAACTAGAGTAGATCTCAAAAGCCAAGGCTTGTTTGAATAGAAAGGCATTTGTCTACCATAAAGTAGGAGGAGAGGAAGAACAAAACGAATGGCTCTATCACACTACACTGTTATAGCACTATTATTTCACAAAATTATGAGGTCTGCAGTTTACTGAGGCCTAAAAGCTTTCTGGCTAAGAATTCAAAATGCCCCTTCCGAAACTGCATATTCCAACATTACAGACAATATTGCCATGGCAGTTAAAGTGGAATCATATCAATACAACAGTGTAGTTTGATGGAGCAATAAAAAGGAAGCTCTGACAGGATGTAGTGGGGATTGGCCTTGAGAACATGTTTTCTTGTATGACCACCAAATGTGCTCTGAAATGGGACAGAACCAAGAGAAGAATTTCACTCTGTGAACTTGGACAGGGTTGGAAGACTCTGGCACAAGCCAGTAAAGGTGGTCCCAGTGGTGATCGGCACACTGGGTGCAGTGCCTAAAGACATTGGCCTGCACTTAAACACAATCGGCACTGACAAAATTACCATCTGCCAGCTGCAAAAGGCCACCTTACTGGGATCTGCACACATTATTCGCCAATATCACACAGTCCTAGTCACTTAGGAAGCGCCTGATGTGTGATCCAATACAACAGCCAACAGAGTGATCTTGTTTGCTGTGGACTTATCTTGTTGTGTCTCAAATAATAATAAAAACTTTATTTATATTCTGCCCTATCTCCCCAAGGGGACTCAGGGTGGATTCCAAACATTAAAAGGCAAACATTCAATACCTGAACATAATAACAATACACCAATAATAACGAAAATTGACAACCCAGCAAATTTTAACTTAAAATTAAATGAAAAATGCAACCTATTATATCAGACATGAAACAAAACATCAAACAGAAGTGTCAATTTCCCAGTTCCTTGGGACAAATAAAATTGATCATTGCTCAAGATGTCTATTGAGCTGGCGAACAGGGCATGGATACGAATGATAGCTATTAATCAGAGGTAAAATGGTAGTATTACCATCTATTCTTCCTCCTCCTCATGAGCAAGATCAAAACCTTGGGTGTTTTCTTTAAAGATTATACTATAACTCATAGCTTAGTTGGTGTCCCAGTATCATGGAAGCCATTATCCACCACTAGTTACAGAGGATTCCCCCTGCAAATATATTTCCAATGCTCTTAACAATGCTGCATACTAACCACTTAAATATCTGCCTGATAAATAAGCTATAGACCCCTGATACATTAAATCTTTCAGCAAATTTAATCTCCTAAACAAAACCAAAGGATTACAACCCAAGACATGAACCCATGCTGTTACTGTTACGGCTAGACTTGGTATTTTTTACTCACATCGAAGATCTCAAAGCCAGCAATGTCCAATACACCAATGAAGAACTGCCTTGGCAATTTAGTATCCAAGGTTTTGTTGATGCGGGTAACCAGCCATTTGAACATTCTATCATATATTGCCTTGGATAAGGCACCAACAGAGTAAGTAACCTGTATCAGAAATGTGAAACAGTGAAAGCATAAATTAACAAACATGTAACAGCTCTTTTCAGCTCAAGGCATGTTTCTGCATGGCAGGGGGTTGGATTAGGTTGCCCTTTTGAGCTCTTCTAACTCTATGACTCGAGGTAGGTGGCTGAAATACTGCAGTTGAGCTCCTCACTTGATTCTTTACATTTTACTGATCATTGGGGCTTAGATCTACAGTATAATTATTTATATAAAGCTGAGACTTAGTCTAGTCCAGTATAGAGTTGCCAGGTCAGCACCATTCCTTTCAGGCTGGCCACATTACTTGAGGCCTCATCACACTAGAGAATTAATCCACTTTAAATGCAATTGTTGCCTCCTGCAGAATTCTTGGGTTTGCAGTTTAGGAGGAGCCTTTAACAGCTTCACTAAACTACAAACCCCAGAATTCTGTAGGAGGCAGAAACCAGATTTAAAGTGGATTCATTCTCTAGTGTGATGAAGTAGTCCATCAGCCACATTTTGCTCAAAGTACCCTCATGCAGCAAGCAACATCAGTGTATTATCAGGTCAAGATGGCAAAGGTATTAATGAGGAAAGATATACAACTCATAGCAGTTTGTTTTTGCCTACATTTCAGGGGAGGGAAATATTTCAACCACACCTCCCCATGCTGAGGTTTTACACCTTGAATTTAGTTTGATGCAACTGAAGTGAACTCAAGGCAAAGGGGGAAAGTGAGGGGACGAAAAAGAAACTTGGTTCATTTTAAAAGCAGCTGAAAATGTGGGGTGACAAAGGACTAATCAAGATTGTCCCTACCAAATAATGAGAGTAGGAAGGTGTGCCATGGCAAATTCCACTCTGTTAATTCATTTATTCCCAGTCCCTTCTGCATAGATGGAACTGAAAACAGCTTACAAAATAGAACAAATGTCACTAAAAACACAAGTGGCTAAAACATGCAAAAATTATGATTGAAATAGTATTAAACTGCCCTTAAAATTAAAACAAATTCCCCTTGGCCTTTTGGATAAGCTTGGAAGGGCGAGATCTATCACACATGTGACAGCTCTCACTTCTGCCAAGGATCCTGTCCAAGTCCTTGGCTTGCACCAATTGAAAAGTATCTGACAACATTGCACAAGCAGGAGCCAATGTTATATCCACTGGACCTGTATTTACTATAGCATCCAAGTTAGAGTGAATCCGAGCAATTTTATCTGCCAAATGTTTAACAAATTGTTCACTGCAGGCTGTCGAGAAGTCTATTTTCATCTCATATGGCCAAGATGTAAGAGATCTCTAACTACTAGGAACAGCAACTAGTGGCTCTTTACAAATATGATGGTATCACAAAAAATTTCATCTACTGCCAAAAAGTAGGCTTTGAAATATGCTGTGGTCTGTGTTCAATCAGAGTTTTCTACCATCATAACTCTAGTTCTTGTCTCACTCGTTTTATTGCTGTCACCCCCCCCCCCCCCAGAGAACCAGGAAGCTTCTTCATGAGTTACTGTGACCAGTCACTACTCTGACCATTTCTCCATTCTAGACTAGAGTTTTGACACAATAATTTCTCAAGGAAATAGGAAAGTCCCCAAGAGCCACCAGGAAGTCTTCTGCCAGGATTGTGTGGCAGACCATCTTCATCAGCTCTCAATTCCTGTAGAGACAAGGGACCCCAGTGCATTTAAACTAAGCCCTTTGGGGCACTGACCCTGGCAAAGGAGCTATGGAAAGGTTTTCCACACTAACATTGCCATCATGCCATACAGCAAGCAGATAAAGCAAGAGGCAGAGTGTAGCCAACTGCATAAACCGCTTTACATCTCCTTGTGGAGAAAAAAGATAGAATAATAATAATAATTATTATTATTATTATTATTATTATAACAATAAATTGTAAGTAAAAAAAATACCAGTCAGGATGGTCATATATTCCTAAGAAATTCATGACAGAACACTCTTAGCAGGGAGCAAGCTTGTTTTCTGCTGCCCTGGAGACTAGAACATGGAGCAATGGCTCCACCTGAACATTAGGAAGATCTTCCTAACTGTGAGAGCTGTTCAGTAGTGGAACTTGCTGTCCCAGAGTGTGGTAGAGGCTCCTTCTTTGGAGGCTTTTAAGTAGAGACTGGATGGCCATCTGTCAGGGGTGCTTTTCATGCGATTTTCCTGCTTCTTGGCAGGGGGTTGGACGGGATGGCCCATGAGATCTCTTCCAACTTTATGATTCTATGATATTGAAGTCTCCCACCAACACAAGCTCAGATAATACTAATCCCAAACCACCTTAAATAGCTAGGGGAGGGAGAACGTGAAGCAGTAGGGTAGGCTGACACACCAGCCACCCAACTTCAGACGTGTACATTCAAACTCAGCAAGCAACAGCATGCTTGATGAAGTAGATGGAATCATGACAAACATCACAACTTCACAGAGTATCCTTGTAGGCAAAGTTGAGAGAGGTTACTGCCCAACACACATGCTCACCAGCCTCATCCAACCCAGTTTTCTGTCCAACAAGCCAAGTTGGCACACACATCTGGATCAAATTCTGGAGAGCAGTTATTTTATCATTCCATGACCTGGCACTCACCAGCAATTCGTTTAGCCCAAGGGAACTGTGACTACAGCTATCCAGACTATCTGAATTTCCCTTCTACTATACCACTGGAGTAGCTGTTCTGTGAATGTTTATTCCCAAGATTCCAGCCAGCACACACAGACCTAGCAATCTTAGCCAATACAAAATGCATTGGACTGGGACATTTAGTACAAATCTTCAGTTAACACCAAAAACAAATGAAAAAATCATTTTACTTTACTAATCTATAAAATAGGAATGAACATAATGCAAAAGGCAATTCAGAATGGGAAGGTGTTCAGAGCCAGGCAACACATTTCTTGGTTGAATAGAAATTATCACAGTTCCTTGTATATTCCCATAGTTTACTGCTTTTTTAATTGTCCAGGGTATACAAGGATTTGGCTGTGGTAACGTAAACATTAATAACTGTACAGAGCCATGGGTCTCACAGTCTCAACCATGCATAAACCTTGCAGAGTTATATGCAGCAGAGTCTGGCAGGACATCAGACAATTTTCTAAGTAGAATTCATTTATCAGGGCCATAATTTTCAAGGGCTATACTAACATTGTTACTTATATTGTACATATATGACCTACTTCACAATGTTATAGCAATAAGCAAATTAACAACTGAGAGCAATTTTGTACATGTAAGATACACTAAGTCTAATTGGAAACATGTCCTGATTGAATTCATTTGGACTTATTCTTAGAAACTCTTAAGACTGCATTTTTAAAAAACAATATAAATAACTGACATTAATAAATAACCAATGAGAGGGGCATTGCTAGGTCTTGGGCAGAAACCCATGGGAACCATATCTATTTCCCAGTGCCTGAGCATCAATCAACCAGCACAGTTCAACACCAGAAAGGCAGAGCTTGGAGAAGTTATTTTTTAGATTACAACTCCGAAAATCCCCCTTTTCTGAGTTTGGCTTATATGGAATAAATACTCCCTACTAACACCGAATCACCGGAAGTTACCTAGATGTTCATTCACAATTCAACAAGTGATTCAATGGCTGAGATCCTGCGACTTGGAGATACATCTTCAGTACATATAAGATACATCTCCCAGGTGCAGCTCCCCCACTCATCTGATCAAGATGTTAGTGGAGAACAGGGAAGGAACAGAGGTGCACTGGACTTTTTTCCTTTGGCTGGACACATTTTACAGGATTCTTAGGGGTTTCCTAAAGGATACCCAGTTAACCCCCTCCCTGCTTTTCAGTGACATGGAAATGACCATCTTGAAGGGTGAGGAGCTGCTACACTGAAAAGGTAGTTCTGGAGAGATTGTGGTCACTGTGTATTTGGAACAGAATTCCAACCACTGCAGTGACCCTGAAACTGGATTATGTTGGCATAAGGTTGACTTAAATTCTTGTAATTCACTAACAGGATGCCTTTTTTCATGTCAGGAGCAACTTGAGAAACTGTAAGTCGCTTTTGGTGTGAGAGAATTGGCCGTCTGAAAGGATGTTGCCCAGGGAATGCCTGGATGTTTAACCATCCGGTGGGAGGCTTCTTTCATGTCCCTGCATGAGAAGCTGGAGCTGACAGAGTGAGCTCACCCCACTCCCCAGGTTCAAACCGCTGAAATTTCGGTCAGCAGTCCTGCCAACACAAGGATTTAACCAATTGCGCCACCAGGAGTTCTAACAAGATGCCTGTCATAAGGTATACTTCCAGAAAAATACTTATAGCATTTAGACTATTGTCTTGAGAATCCAAGAGTCTGGCTGGATCAGACCAAAGACTTTTGGATAGCCCCAAAAGAAAGATTCCCAGTAAACTTGCTCCATTTGAGTTTTTGGCCATTTTATATAAGCAAATGGGATTTGAGCACTCATGGATTTTGGTATCAAAGCCTCTGTGTGAGCATACATGTGTGTTGTACTGGAACCAAACTCCAGTGAATACAAGGCACCATTATATTGGTTAGTTGTTTGGGGGCAAATATTCATGGAATACATTTAAATGACTGGGTTCAGAAACTTTTACAGGACTGGAGAAAGCAGAAAAAAAAGTCCTGTGCTACATTTACCCAATGCATCCACCCCAACCCAGTATAACCTGTTCTCACCTGTTCAACACTTTGACCCTTGGTGACGTACTCATTCCCAACTTTCACTCTAGGATGTACCAAGCCTTTTATCATGTCAGAAGAATTAATACCCATCAAGTAAGCGGCTTTGTCAGCACCTGCAAGGGAGACATAGAATTACAACAGCAGACTAGCAATTGGGTCGTTTATGATTTATACATTTCTTTAATAAATCCAAAATGCATATATAAAACATAATATTAAAATGCAGTAGTGAAACCCTTACAGTTCCAGCTAATAAACCTTAAATCTTCACATCACAGATTCTTCCTAAAAATCACTTTACGTTTGTCTCACCTCCACTGTTTATATTTCAAAGTCTAGCTATTTCAGTGGTTTGACATTTGTTTAGCCCCAAGAGAATCATCTTGCTTTGAGAGACGCGTCAGAACCCCTGAGTAGAGAGTATATGATCCCAATCACATGGAAATGACAGGTCACATGGAAATAAATTCAAGAGGACAGAGTATTACTAGGGATGACTGAGGAACAGTGTTGGAGGAACACATAATGCAAAATGCATGAGATTCTCATGCTCCAGATAAGAATGTGGGGAAGCCAGCAAGATCACTCCAAATACACATGATTTTAACTATAATAAAGTTGGTCCACAGATTCTGTATCCACAGATTCAGTCATCCACAGCTATATATATATATATATATATATATATATATATTCCATTGATTTCACCATTTTACATGAAGGACACCATTTTACTACACTGTTGTATATAATGGAACTTGAGATCCATGGATTTTGATATCCACAAAGGGCCCTGAAACCAAACCCCAGTAGTTATCAAGGGCTCAGTAAATATCTGTGTACATTACCATGCAATCTTTGCAATAGGATTATGAGATTATTCAAAAACAGAGATATAACAAAAAGGGAGGGAGAAGTCTGAATATTCCTCATTTTCAGAGTGCTAAAGTCAATAAATTGAACAAAAACTGTATAAAGGAGTACAAGTTGATCTCCATTAGAAGAAAAAAGATTATGAGAGGAAGAGATTTTGAGCAGTATTTAAACAGTTCATTCTAAATGCCATCATAGACACTTGGAGTGGTTTTAAAATCTGGAAGGCTAGAGTAACAGGTGGTTTATGAACAGATCTGTGTTAATTCTGAAATAGGTTATACTCCTTATTACTCTACCTATGCATTAAGTTCATCAGAGGAAGTCCTTCTCTGAGTACCTTGTTTATGAAAATTGTACCCATCACATCCTAAAGAAGGAGGTCTTCTTTGTGGTAGTGCCCTGGTTTTGAATGCACTCCCACAGAAAGTTTGCCTAGTGCCAACATTGTTTTTCCTTTTGGTTCCATGATAAAACTTTTTTATTTACATATATGGGTGTGCATGATTTTTTTAAACATTTCATGTAAATAAAAAAGCTTTGTCTTGGAACCGATAAATATTTGCCCTAATTATTATCAGCTCTTGCACTTTTCCTACAGCCCCAGTCCAGAAACTATTGCACAAGCTCCCAGCCCTCTGAGCTTAGTATTTATTACTGCTCAGTCTATTGAATATTTTATGATGTTTGTTATGTTTTATGATGTGTTTATTTTATTTTTAATCTTTATTTTATTGCATCGTGTTTTTAATCTATGTTTGCCCGGGCTTGTCCCATGTAAGCTACCACGAGTCCCTTTGGGGAGATGGAGGTGGGGTATAAAAATAAAGTTATTATTATTATTAGTATTTGAAACACAACAAGATGAATCCACAGCAAGCAAGATCACTCTGCTGGCTGTTGTATTGGATCACATGTCCGACACTTTCCAAGTGTCTAGGACTGTGTGATGTATCGGCGAATAATGCCGATATTATTATTATTATTATTATTATTATTATTATTATTATTATTATTATGTACTAGCTGTCAATTTAGGAATGATCTTTCTGCTTCAGATTTCAAATTGGGGTAGACAAAATGCAACTTATGACCCACTGATGCAACTCAGCTAGAAAGAACGAACCTTAAAGGGATCTTTCAATTCCTAGAAGCCTGCAAGAGAGGTAACATTACAAACATGCAGATCACAGGGGGTCTTATAGCTTCCAGTCCTAACTCCCTAAGGATACACTTAAGGGTGAATATGGAATACTGCAATTGACGACTGGAATGGCTCCTGGACTATGCCTTTGGATTGTGTGGTTTTCAATTAATTGGTTTTAAAATTGAGAAGTTTTTAACTTTTTGGTTTTAAGGTTTATGTTTTGTTTTTATTGCATGTATGTATACGTGGCATCAAATTGTGCCTTTTTGTAAGCCACTCTGAGTCCCCTTCGGGGTGAGAAGCGTGGGGTATACAGTAAATAAATAAATCTACACTGTAGAGTTAATGCAGTTTGATGCCACTTTAACAGCTTTTCTGCCAAATGGTGTTGTTGCCTCACCAGATTACCATAGCATTGAGCCATGGCAGTTAAAGTTGTGTCAAACTGCATTCATTTGTACATCATATATGCACCTTAATGTTGGGTTTATTTTTAACTCCCCACTTTCCTGTCATACTCTAACTTTACCCACCACTGTTTTAAATTGCTTCAGCACATTAAATTTTTAATTCTTATCTCTGACACCCAGAAATTCTTCCCATGATGAAAACATGGTAATGTAATTAAAAGTGAAGCAAATAAATACATTTTCCATCATAAACTCCTCCAAGCAGATCTGTGCACAACTATGCAGAGAACATTTAGAGTGAACTGGCCTCCATCTTTGTGACCATGGTTGCGCTTTTTCCAAATGTTCAAATCCTAATCCATACCAGCCTTTCACCGTGCACCTGTGCACCCTTATACTTCGGTGCACATGGTGCTCTTAGATAAGGCCTTTATTGTGCTAGCACTCAGTCTCGTTTCATAGAATTTTATAAGGGATCCAGGTAACAATGTCTTCTATCCATAACCTTCTTATACTTCCCAGCTTCTTCCATATTTGTTTCGTACGACAGAAAATCCATTAAGGAAGGCAAAACAGAATCACTGCACAATATGTTTTGACTGGTGGTGCTGGCAGTTGTCTGCCTGAAAGCACTCACAGAAATATTTAGCAGTGTGAAGTAAATAAAAAGTGGCATCCCAGCTCCCTATAAAGGCATCTTTACTAATGAGTCTCATTCGCATCACTCTCATATCATTGACAGACAGGAAAACAATCAACCTCACTCTGTGATTTAGGATTACATGACAAATGATGAAAATGCCAATGTGATATCAGTGCAGGATAGAGTAATTGAATCATACAGTTGGAAGTGGCTTCATAGATCTTCTAGTCCACTCCCCCTGCTTACTGTAAGATTTCCAACTACATAATCCCTAGCAGTTAGAGGTTCTCCAGAGAAGAAGACCCGCCACCTCTCTAGGCAATTGGCTCCAAGGCTAAACTGCTCTTTTCTAGCATTTGTGTAGTACCTTTTTGGTAGAGTTACAGGTTCGCAGCTTGGGAGTGATCCTGTATTCATTGCTGAGCTTGGAACCCCAGGTCTTGGAGGTGGCCAAGGGAGCTTTTGCACAATTACATTTTTTGCACCAACTGGGTCCGTACCTTAGAAAGTCTGACTTGGCACGGTGGTCCATGTTCTTGTTACATCCCGAATATATTACAGCAATGCCCACTATGTGGGGTTGCCTTTGAAGACTATTTGGAAGCTTCAATTAGTCCACGTTGCTCACCGGAGTTGGCAGCCAGATTGCTCACCGGAGCAACATATAGAGAGCATACCACCTCCCGTTACGTCAACTCCACTGGCTGCCAGTCTGCTACCGAGCACAATTCAAAGTGCTGGCTATGGCCTATAAGCCCTATATGGTTCTGGCCCAGCTTACTTGTCCGAACGTATCTCCCTCTATGATCCACCTCAGATTTTAAGATTGTCGGGGGAGGCCCTGCTCTCAATCCTGCCACCCTCGCAAGTGCAATTGGTGGGGATGGGAGAAAGGGCCTTCTTGGTCATGGTCCCCCGTCTGTAGAACACGCTCCCTAATGAAATCAGGTTGTCCCCAGCTCTCCTACCCTTTAGGAAGTCATGGTTGTGGGACCAATCATTCGAGCAACAGACACCATGATAATAATGCAAACGATTTATATGATTAACAATGCACAGACCTCAGATTATGACTCTGGATTTGTGTAACTATTAAATGGGTGTTTATAATTTGTTGTTTTAAACTAATGTTTTAGTTGTGATTTTATTGCTACTGTTTGTTTGGCATCTAATGGTTGCCAGTTGTGAGCATCTAAATAATAGCTACTGTGGCAGATTCTTAAGTATGAGGATTGTACTTGGGGAAGATAAGTCCAAGACATTTTGCTCTCTCAAGAAAAAAAAACAAGATGGTATCCCCTCTATTCCAAATGGAATGAATCACGCTTTAACACTGGCAACAGAATAGTATCTTCCACCACTTCCAAGCACAGTAGGCTAGTTTAGGGGTCACAGAACTGGCAATGTAACAGAGCTCCAAAAAATAGCTAGGGGGCTCTGGACAGACAGCTGCCCAGATGTCAGAAGCTGCCACCTGAGGCAGCTACCTCCCTCTGCCTTGGGTAGTGTCTGCATTTGAGTGTACTTCATTGGGCATGTAGACAATTAATACAGGCAATCCCTGAGTTACAAACAACTTATAGTTAAGAACAGGGGCAGGACAACAGGAAGTGAAGGAAATCTACCCCTAAGAAGGAAAATTCACTCCTGAAAGAGTTGTCACAAGGAAAACATGTCCCAACTGAAGCTTTATCAACAATTCTTTTTTCCACAACAAGCAGAATTTTTCAAAATTCAATTATCACAGGGACAGAAAGTGAGGTGAAACAGGTTCATACAGCAAGACAAACTCCACAGGGGTATTAACTTCTACTATGCTATCCAAAGCATATCAAAATTGATCTATCGGGGGACATGAGAGAAGCCTTCCCACAAGATCATAACACATCCAGGCATCCCCTGGGCAATGTCGTTGTAGATGGCTGATTCTCTTACACCAGAAGTGACTTGCAACATGAAACCAAAAATCAAACAAACTTCGGATATCTGTCAGCATGCCAACACCTGTTGCACTCCAGAACAGGATTCCCTCTGACTTTAAACACCGCACAGTTGAGTTAAAATAGCAAGCAATAAAAAGTAACTCACAGTCAAAAGTAAATCCAATTGATTAGGAAGTAATAAATCCAAAGAGAAAATAGTTCAAAGAAGTCCATCAAATGAAAGACTTGGTTTCAAAGGCAAAATAAGAGCAAAGGCACTTAAAACAGGAATCAAACAAAGACAAAGGTCCAGGAACTTGGCATGAAGAATTTATGAATCCAGTGTTGCTTTGTCTGAAGCTAGACTCAGTACTTGGCACTTATAAGTCAACTTTGTTTCCCAAACAGCTAAGAACAAAATTTTCCTCGGGTTTAGTTTCACTTCTCGCTTCAGCTCTAATCTGATTGAGCACCTTAACTTCTGATTTGTTAGTCTTTGCTGGCTGAAAGCACTTCTTCTGTTCAAGGCTTCATTAAAATCTGCACCTGGAGATAACTGACCAGACGCAGAGTCTTTCCCAAGCTTGAGACCTTGTGAATCCCTTTTCAGCAATACAGGCTTCTCTAAACCATCAACTGAACTGCATTCAGGCCCCACATCTCTAAAACCAGGCCCAAGAAACAGACCATCATCCCCATTCCCTTCAGGAACATCTTCATAGACAGCATCCCCATTCCCATAAGGGGACTCAACTTGAACATGAACAACATTGTCATTCCCATCATCCAAAGCAACCTGATCATTAGACACAGGCTGAACAGGCTGACATACAACAACACCTTAAATCAAGAAACAGCTTTCTAAGATCTAGAGATACTCGCAGAAACATCTCAGCAAGTGAGAGTTCAAAAGGGGCAGGCTAAACCCGGAATCTCAATTCATGCTTGACACCAGATGAGAAACTCCCTCCTAGGCACACAAAAGACTGGGTAACTTGGAAGGCGCTGAACAGTCTGAGCTCTGGCACCACGAGATGCAGAGCCAACCTTAAGAAATGGGGCTACAAAGCGGAGTCCACGTCATGTGAGTGTGGAGAAGAGCAAACCACAGACCAGTTACTACAATGCAGTCTGTGCTGTGCCATATGCATAATGGAGGACCTTCTCAAAGTGACACCAGAGGGACTCCAACTGGCCAGCTTCTGGTCAAAGGAAATCTAGTATAATGCCAAGTTTTTAACTGTGTGTTCTTTTAAATACATTATAATAGTACCCTCTATTTGCTTCTGACATGATAAATAAATAAATAAAAATACTGATCTATCTGTCTGTCTGTGGAATTACACTTGAAAATGTACCTGTTCCTACTTACATACATATTTAAGTTAAGAACAAACCTACAGAACCTATCTTGTTTGTAACTTGGGGACTGCCTACATATACTGTAGTATAGGCCTACAGTATACCAAGCCTAGCACTCCACCGGTCTCTCAATAAATCTATTTTGATTTTGTTCTGAGGCGATCAAAATGGGAACATATAGCTGAATGTTGTTGGTCTTAGTATTTGCTCATAAACCTCATGGACCTCCCATAGGTTTTTGGATCATTTACTTCACAGATCATTTTCCCATGTTTTCTAAGTGTGTGAAAGGGATTGTGTAAGGCATTACATCAACATGTCATTAGTAATTCCACTCTCCTGCTGGTCCATGCACTGAGACAACATCCAGAGAAATCTGTGGTGTATAATTGATTATGATGAAGTGTGTATCAGATTCGTTTCCATCAGACTGGCCCACAACATTTTGTGTGAGGCCAAGGCTAAAATTTGTACTATCTCAGATGGATTAATTCTATACGTGGAAGCCAAGTGAATTGACTGTTGAATACTATTCGGTACTAATTAGGCCAGGCCACACAGCATATACAACTTTGTATTTCAACAGACTACCAAGAAGAGCACTCATGCAGAACGGCTGGGGTACTATCCCTGTTCCCCTTGAATGTTGCTACCTGGGAACGTTTGCCTAACAAACAGGCTGGTCCTGATTTCCATGTCTGAAATTCATCTTGCAGTAATGACCCCAAAATATGTCAAAATTATATACAAAAGTGGGCTTACTTGCCCACTTACATTCTGAATACAATATACCTAAATCTAGCTGGAGAGTGAAATACTTACTTTCAGTGCCATCAGCCTCAGCTTGCTCCTCCCTGGGTCTCTGTTTAAATTTCATGTTTCCAAAGTGCATAATGGCACCTGTGAGCTTGTAGGCACCATATTTTTCATCCGGAACAAAGCCCAAAATATCCATGGCTTGCTGGGGAAAGTATGAGGGGAAAAGAACAGGACATTTTGTACCTTCTCTCTCTCTCTCTCTCTGAAAAACACGCAGCTTTATTTTCCAGAGCTCTCTCACTGCACGGCTGGTGTTTGTACTTGTTCTGGTATTGATCTTTCAAAACAGAAACTAGTTGAACAAGAAGCCATTGTTATTTATTTTCAATCTCCCTTATTTCCCAAATGTATGGCATGGTTAACGGCACTAAAGCCTATTATTTTTTATTTCTTTTAAAAAAGAATGTTTTGCTGTGGGAAATTATGGCTACTCCCCTGAAAATTTAAAATAAGCATATCATTAAGCAAACAGCCTTGCAGAAGACTATCATGTGGATTGCTAGTATACCCCAGGAGGAATGAAAGTGCCAGAGATGGAGAACAGTTGCCAAGAATATTTCCATAGATGTCGGTACCATCCACATCTGTAATATGCAGAAGCGAGCAGGAGATTGTTTCAGGCCAACCAGAGCATTTTCAACAAGCAAGATTATGATGATCATATAGAGTTTATGTAAAAACAAGCAATGTATTCCCCCGTGTGTGTTTCCATAGTTTTTCTCTTCACTCAATTTTAAAACTGGAATGGGGAACATGTGGCTTTTCGGATGTTGTTGGAGGCACTTCCCTTTGTCCCTCGCCACTGCCAATCTTGCCTAGGCTGATGGACCTGCCTGGGGCTGATCGGACTTACTGGTTTCTTCTATATACGTATGGTGTGATCACAAACATTCCCACAGCTAGGCAAGAAACAGATTTTTAAGCATTGCTAAAGCTGATCTTTGAGGACACAAATTCAGCTTGATTTTTTTCTCACAATATCTGTATATGTGACAGAGCCAGAAGTGCTTTCCTTTAGCACTCAACGTGTAATGAAAACCTACAGTCTCCAAGGTTGTGTCTGTAAATCTTTACTATACTTTGTCTGAAATGATGTAAGAATAAAAGTTATGCTTAAGGAAGACCACGTGCTAAAGCAAGTCCACACAGTAACACAATAGGCTCTTTACAGTGATGTTCAACAACTGCTCAATGGTATAACGAGGTTTCTCTCAATTAAGAAGGCCATGCATTCCATTACAAAACAATCACCAATCGCAGAAACATTGTGTTGTTGAAGACTTTCATGCCCCAAATCACCAGGTTGCTGTGATTTCTCCGGACTGTATGGCCATGTTCCAGAAGCATTCTCTCCTGATGTTTCACCCACATCTATGGCAGGCATCCTCATAGGTTGAGGGGTCTGTTAGAAACAAGGCAAGTGGAGTTTATATATCTGTGAAATGTTTAGGTAGGTAAAGGTAGTCCCCTGACATTAAGTCCAGTCATGTCTGACTCTGGGTGTGGTGCTCATCTCCATTTCTAAGCCGAAGAGCCAGCGTTGTCCGTAGACACCTCCAAGGTCATGTGGCCGGCATGACTGCATGGAGCGCCGTTACCTTCCCGCCGGAGCGGTACCTATTGATCTACTCACATTTGCATGTTTTCGAACTGCTAGGTTGGCAGAAGCTAGGGCTGACAGCGGAAGCTCACGCCGCTCCCCGGAATCGAACCTGCGACCTTTCGATCAACAAGCTCAGCAGCTCAGTGCTTTAACCCACTGCGCCATCGGGGGCAGTTTAGGGAGGGAGAAATAACTCTAGTCTGTTTGAGGCAAATGTGAATGTTGCAATTGGCCACCTTGATTAGCATTGAATACACTTGCACTGACCACATAGGGAAGCTGATGAAAAAATCACAACTTACAAATGATTTACAGACCCAAGAAAATCCAACAAATGCTATGTTCAGCAAAGGACAAGAGGGATCCTCTCACTTCTGCAGGACTCTACCATTTACCATGAAGCTGTGGACAAGACTACATAGGGACCACCAAATGCAGCATTGCCCAAACACAAATCAAGGAACATGAAAGGCACTGCAGACTAATTCAACTAGAGACATCAGCCATAGCAGAGCACTTGATGAACCAACCTGGACACAGCATATTATATGAGAACACAGAAATGTTGTACCATTCCAACAAACACCATGTCAGACTACACAGAGAAGCCATTGAAATCCACAAGCATCTGGGGAATTTCAACAGAAAGGAGGAAACCATGAAAATGAATAAATTCTGGCTACCAGTATTAAAAATAACTAAAATTAGGACAGTAAATAAAGAGCAACTCTCAAAAAGCTGGGGAATTCCAGAAACGAATCAATCAGGCCAGCTAACACCTCCCAACAAAGGATTCCCCCAGGCAGGAAGCAGCCAAGCCTTGAAGATGCAAGGCTATTAAATATGCTAATCAAGGTGATCAATTGCAACATTCACACTTGCCTCCAACAGACAAGAGTTCTTTCTCCCACCCTGGGCATTCCACAGGTATATATGTAAACCCCACTTGCCTAGTTTCCAACAAACCTCACAACCTCTGAGGATGCACACAATTGAAGGGAGATGTTAACAAGCTGGAATGTATCCAGAGGAGACTAAAATGAACAATGGTCTGGAGAACAAGCCCTATGAGGAGCAGCTTAAAGAGCTGGGCATGTTTAGCCTGAAGAAGAGAAGGCTGAGAGGAGACATGATAGCCATGTATAAATATGTGAGAGGAAGTCATAGGGAGGAGGGAGCAAGCTTGTTTTCTGCTGCCCTGGAGACTAGGACATGGAACAATGGCTTCAAATTACAAGAAAGGAGATTCCATCTGAACATTAAGAAGAACTTCCTGATTGTGAGAGCTGTTCAGCAGTGGAACTCTCTGCCCTGGAGTGTGGTGAAGGCTCCTTCATTGGAGGCTTTTAAACAGAGATTGGATTGCCATCTGTCAGGGGTGCTTTGAATGTGATTTTCCTGCTTCTTGGCAGGGGGTTGGACTGGATGGGCATGAGGTCTCTTCCAACTCTATAATTCTATGATTCTATGCCTGCCAGGAGATGTCAGGTGAAAATGCTTCTGGAACATGGACATGTGGCCCACAAAACTCACAGCAACCCACAGCAACATTCTTAGCATATTACATCCTTTAGTATACATCCTCAATGGAAACAAGAATCTTACATCGGTCGCCATTAGCTCTTCCCCATCGTCTAAATTGTCTACTGTAACCACACCTTGCGAGCAGAAGTGGAAGTCATATGGATTTGTTGAAACCAATAGCATATCTGTAAATGGAGAGAGAAAAAGATGTTAGAAGAGCTTACCTTCTTGAAATCTGGTCTATGGATATCTCATGATGTACATAAGTGCAACATCAGCAAGAAAGGCTGACATTGCAAACATGGCTCAAATATTGATGGAAGGAGTTGTAAACACCATTCTCGGAGTCACAATCTAGTTGCTAAACTAGGAGTGTATTGACACAATATCATTGTAGCAGTTTGATGCCACTTTAACTACCATGACTCCATCCTTTGGAACTGAGATTTGTGGTTTGCTGAATGACTTTGTTTTGCTATAGTTCGGGAGATTTGGAGTAGAGCTCTCTGGCACACAGTTCTATAAGTTACTCATAACATCATATCCCCCAATATTACATAGGATGGAGGTGTGGCAGTTGAAGTGGTATCAAACTGGTATAATTGTGTAGTACAGATAATTAGATCATTTGCAGTATAATTCTGCATTCACAAACAAATCCTATTATGTACAGTGGAATTCATCCCCCTACTAAGTAAGTAGAGGCCTGCAGTCTTACAGTATGAATGCTGAACAAGAGTGAATTCCAGGAGGTAGAAAGCACACATTTGCATGATGAAAACATGGCTTTTTTTCCCAGTATTCGCAACTCTGAAAAGACTTTTGCTAGTACTTTTCAGCATCGCCCCTTCTTCTTACGGAGTAATACAGCCTCCAGAGTTAATTCACTTCTGACACCATGGAGAGTTAACAGAGAGCTCGGATTCCAAGTTGAGGTGAAACTGCAAATTAACTTTATTTCTGTGCTCCGATAATCAGGTTTCTCTGCCTAGTGCCAGCTAGGGGACTCTTGAGCTTTATAGAGCTAACTCCACATGGTCATAAGCCTGATGCTCTGTATCCTGGACAATCTGTCAGGATTGCTTCCTGATCCTTCCTTGACCACAACTGATCAAGGACACTTGCACTGCCTCTACGGCCCATCTTCAGAATCCTGAATCCTCTCAAGAGCTCTCAGCTGATCCCAGTGTTTTGATGCCATGTAGAAAAGAAATGTAAAGTCAAGTGGCAAAGTCCAGGATCAGCTGAAGATATTCTTCAGTGAAATATAAATAGCACTTTCTGTCATTAATATAGGAAGCTTTTTTTTATAGTGACCCAGGGTTTATCTACATTTAAAGGTAAAGGTTGTCCCCTGACATTAAGTCCCGTTATGTCTGACTCTGGGGTGTGGTGCTCATCTCCATTTCTAAGCCGAAGAGCCGGCGTTGTCCGTAGACACCTCCAAGGTCATGTGGCCGGCATGACTGCATGAAGCACTGTTACCTTCCCGCCGGAGGGGTACCTATTGATCTACTCACATTTCCATGTTTTTCGAACTGCTAGGTTGGCAGAAGCTAGGGCTGATAGCGGAAGCCCACTGCGCCCACATTTAGAAAGGGAAAGAAACAGATTCACCTTGATAAAAGGCTGGCTGACCCCATTATGAACACTGATGTCAGGTGAGTATCCCAAGTTTTCACATTAAACTGACTGTGCCCCACCTTGGGGAAGTTGAGAATTACTTTGGGTTTAGCTGGAAACTATGAAGTATCTTGTAGCATTGAGGCAGATGGTTTGGGTCAGATTGGTCCATTCTGCTATCTACACTGATCACTGGAAACATCCCAATCACCCTCATCAGTGCATTGGAAAGGGATGGACAATTTCACTCTTCTTGCTGCCATGGCTTCTAGTCAGCCATGTTGCTCCATCCCAGCTCCTGGCCATCATGGCCACATCTATGGAGATCTTGCAACAAGTGAAAAGGTGGGATGAGAGTCATCCAAAGGAGCAAATGAACACAAAGCCAACTCAACAATGGCTCTAGATTTTGCATGAACATGCTGGATTAACGGCTTCTCTGGGGCACATTAGGTAAAGATAGAGGTTTTCCTCTGACATTAAGTCCAGTCGTGTCCGACTCTGGGGGCTGGTGTTCACCTCCATTTCTAAGCTGAAAAGCCAGCATTGTCTGTAGACACTTCCAAGGTCATGTGGCCAGCATGGCTGCATGGAGCACCTTTACCTTCCCACCAGAGTGGTACCTATTGATCTACTCACATTTACATGTTTTCAAACTACTAGGTTGGCAGAAGTTGGGGCTAACAGCGGGAGCTCACACCGCTCCATGGATTCAAACCTGCAACCTTTTGGTCAGCAAGTTCAGCAGCTCAGTGCTTTAACCCACTGCACCACTGGGGGCTTTTCTGGGGCACATTATAGAGGGCTAAACTTCCCAGTGTTAGAAAAGCCACCAGATCATTGGTTTGTACGACCCAATACATGCATTTGGATTAGCTGCAGCACTCCAGGGTTTCTGGTCAGATTTTTTCCTTGCCCTACTTGGAGATCCTTGCCATGACAAAATCCTTTACACACAGAGGTGTATCTAATGGGATGGGAAATGAAGGCTTTGCCCACCCAATTAAATTTCCTTCAATCTCCACTTTCCTAAGACTGCAGGAACTTAAAGCTTCAGTTGAACATTTGAAGCTTTAAGTTACTTAATGGCTCAATTGGACATCTGAAGCTTAAAGTTACTTAAAGCTTTAATTGAGCATTCAAAGAAAAGAGGCAGACAAAATCCCAAGGGAATATAGGCATAGCAAACAGAAAGTTCTAGGCAAGATTGCCTTTCAACATCTCTCCACGATGCTAGAATGTTGGGCACGGAAGAAAATTCTGATCAGGATGGATAATGGCTTCATTTCTGCCCTCTAGTTTTTGCCGCTCCATGTAGTCATGTCGGCCACATGACCTGGGAGGCACCTATGGACAATGCCAGGCTCTTCGGCTTAGAAATGGAGATGAGCACCACCCTCCAGAATTTGACTTAATGTCAAGGGGAAACCTTCACCTTTACCTTTACCTTTAGCTGTACCCCTGCCTCCAATTCAAAAGCTAACCAGGCCTAAAACTGATTAGATTCCAAAATCAAACAAGATTAGGTGTGTTTAAGGTGGCATGTAGGCGCTATTCTGAGTGATTGCTGAATATTGGGAAAGATTGACAGTATCCTTTATCACAACTCAGGACAGCAAAAGACCTTTTGAAAATACAGATCAGAGGTATAGCACACACAATCCTATTTTTCTTCATTGCTGCCTGTCCATCTTCTAAGGGGCATTGTCTGAGGTGACGGTCTCATTTTGCCTAATGGCAGGATTGGCATTGGTACAGTCAAGACCATTTTGATGACCTGTTTGTAGAATACTATCCCCTTAGCTGAGACCACATTAAAATATAGTGCTTTTTTTTTTTACTAAAGCCTTTGGACTGTGATTGACTTTTCTCAAATTGGAGCACGTTCATGTTTTTAAACTGCTTTCATTGGTTTTAAATCATCTTGTTCTTAACTTGTTTAACTTGTACCCCTTGGCCTTCTTTCCCATGCTGATGGGCCTATGTGTTCCAATAAAGTAAGAGGCTGTGCTAATGGTAGCACTGCTGCTGCTGGTAGGGTCTCCAAGTCGCACAGGCTTTTGCTGAGGAGCCAGATTAAATGTGCCAGACAGCTACTGGGCAGCGTCAGTACTGAGGAGTGACATTGGTGGCAGATGTCTGCATTGGCTCTTTAGCAGACTCTGAAAGCTATGGTAAACAACTCCTGGACAATGTGTTGTCAATGGCTTTCATTACCGGAATCACTGGGTTGCTGTGAGTTTTCCGGACTGTATGGCCATGTTCCAGAAGCATTCTCTCCTGATGTTTCACTCACATCCTCTTAGGATGCCTGCCATAGATGTGGGCAAAACATCAGGAGAGAATGCTTCTGGAGCATGGTCATACAGCCCAGAAAATTCACAGCAACCCAACTCTAGAACACTTTTACCTTCAAAACGTTATGATGAGACAATCCAAAGTGAGCTCTTGGAGGTCTCTACTTTATAGGGTTGCTACAAAAACAAAAGTCAACTTGGCAGCAAATAACAACCAATGTTTAAATTATTCTTACTGTTTTGAATTGCTTTAAAGCATTCAAATTGATTTTATTGTACACCACTCTGAGATACATTTTAATAAGTAGTAACAAAATAAGAAGAAGGGCTGACAAAATGTGTAAAAACAACAGGAGATGTGTTCAAAGATGGGAACTGTCCCCTGCAAATTATTATCGCCTGCCATTCCCTTCACCTCCCAAGACTACTTGTGAACATCACATTGTAACAGCTGAAGCGGTATTTGAATGGAGGCTTATGCATGCAACAATCTCTGCCAGCATGGGTAGCATGGGAATAAATTCACCATGGAGGGTACATTTTCACAGTACAATATTTGCGTTCAAATCCTGTTAGCACAAAATTACTTTGAAACAGTTCCTCTAATCTGCCTTAATTAGACCACAGCAAAGGCTAACTGGGTTAAGGGTTTAGCAGATGGACCACTCTGCCTGGATGACAAGAACTGAAATGAGATTATTACTGCTTTTGCCAAGCAGCAAATTAGCGCATGGATAAAGGGAAGCTTTACTCTTTTACAAGACAAAGTACTACATTGCTAGGAGCTCCGGCAATCTGGAGCAACTCACCACCTCAACATATAAGGCAAAAATGTCCATAGATGAAGAATTTAGAGTTAATGTCTGAGATCTGCCGGAAGAGATAAGTTCTGCTCTCTCTGTACTGCATAGCAACATAGCATAATGCATGTGCATCGGAGGCCAGTGCATATGGCTCTGATCATGTAGTGAAGTGTGCATCCACGATGCGCAATGTACATTTGCACACTGCTCTCTGAACATTACCCAATGTTGGCACATGAGGAAATCCTCTTTCACTAACTCAGCTGGATACAATACTTTTAGAGCATCTAAAAGAGCTACTTTTCACTTCATGTAGGGAGGAGGGAGCAAGCTTGTTTTCTGCTGCCCTGGAGACTAGGACGTAGAACAATGGCTTCAAACTACAAGAAAGGAGATTCCACCTGATCATTAGGAAGAACTTCCTGACTGTGAGAGCTGTTCAGCAGTGGAACTCTCTACCCCGGAGTGTGGTGGGGCCTCCTTCTTTGGAGGCTTTTAAACAGAGGCTGGATAGCCATCTGTTGGGGGTGCTTTGAATGAGATTTTCCTGCTTCTTGGCAGGGGGTTGGACTGGATGGCCACAAGGTCTCTTCCAACTCTATGATTCTATGATTCTCTATTCTGTGTATCCACAGCGGAGGCTAGAAATGGAAATGGAGATAGTTTGAGCTGATACAAATCAGACATTATGTCGCTGTAAGTTTTCCGGGCTGTATGGCCTTGTTCCAGAAGCATTCTCTCCTGACGTTTCGCCAGCATCTATGGCAGGCATCCTCAGAGTTTGTGTGGTCAGACATTTGTTATTGTTATCATGTCCCTGCTACTATAATTCCAAAGAGCCAGTATATGGAATAAGTTTTAATATTTATATTGGGAAGTGCTTGTTGTACTTTTAAAGGTTGTATATTATTTGATGTCATGGCCTATGGCTGGTACAATAAACAATTCATTCAAAGTCATTCACTGTAGCTCAATTTAGGCTCATCTACACTGCTATATCATGCAGTTTGAAACTGCATTTTAGAACAGTGTAGACTCATATAATACAGTTCAGTGTAGATAAACTGCATTATATGAGTCTACATTGACCATATAATGGACTTTCAAACTGCATGATATGGCAGTGTAGAAGGGGCCTTAGACCTAAAATCATAGAATCATAGAACTGGAAGAGACCTAGTGGGCCATCCAGTCCAACCCCCTGCCAAGAAGCAGGAAAATCTCATTCAAGCACATGAATATGTCAGCAACTGAATTGTGTCACCTTGGTTTCAGGTAAGGGATGCTGATGGATCATAAAATTGATGGAAACCAATATCATCATCATTTAAACTGTGAAATGCTGAATGAGTGTCCACTGAGAGGTGTTATCCATCCTTCACTTGGCCTTGTGAACTCCATGAAGAGGTGTTGGACACAGACTCCCAGCCAAGGTACATGAAAAGTTACTTTGTGCCATTTAAAAAGCCATCTGCTTCAGAGTTAACTACTCTGACTAGCAAGGGGGGTCTATAGAATTAATAGGTCTCCACGTCAGAGGTGTTTTCATATTACTTGCTTTACTCAGCAAGTATTACTTTATTACTTGTTTGTTTTAAAAAGATGGGCATGTCACGATTCATCATTATTGCTGTTATTAATTTTTCTTAGACACCTTAAAATAAGATTCTAGTAAAGTTCCCAGGATTTAGGAAGTTGGCTGAAGTCTTAGGGAATTGCTTTAGTTTCCCACAACACCACACAGACAGACAGTAATTGTATTGGTATCTATTTTTATTTTGAAATTTGCCAGTAGCTGCTGCATTTCCCACCCTACTCGAGTCAATATGTTTTCCTAATTTTTTGTGGTGAAATTAGGTGCCTTGGCTTATATTCAAGTCGGCTTATACGCGAGTGTATACAGTACTTTTACAGCTAAGATGGGTTTGTCTCGATCTATAGGTTGCAAGCAGTCTCTTGAGCCTCCCACCTGTTTTCATCTCAAAATGACAACAGGGAGTGGTATAAAAACTAAAAACACTGAATAAAACATAACCTCACTGCAAGTCAAATTATGGGGATAATCAACTGTTAATATTTAACACATTTAAATATTTAAAATATCAAAATCTTTCCAAACTCAACCTGGGGCAATCAAATATCAAAATTGAATCGAGGTCCTTCTGCATGCCCTTTGTGCAGCCTTCTGATGCATATATGGAAGGCTATCAAGCAAACAGATCCATTAGTGGAAGCGAGGTCTGCACCTGCAATTCTGAATCAACCATTCACATAAATACTAACATTGATTTGAACAGTTATCACTCATTGCAGTGAGATGTTGGCTGTGCCTTTAGGTTTTTGAGAAATAGGTTTTTCAAGGTAAAAAATGGTCCCATTAACCTCAGAAGGTTCTGCAGGTGATCACTTATGTTCTGCAGATGTGCTGCTTCATAATGAATCAGCATGACATTTCTATTCACCTACATATCCCATCTGTCAACATCCTCGTACCATGTGTTACCTTACACTTACCCTGTAATTCGGCTTTCTTTCCTGACAAGATCTGGTAGAAAATGTGGTAGTCTCTTTCACCAGGTTGCTGGAAAATAACTCGGGATTTCTCTAAGAGATCTGGTTGAGGAACAAGTTCAAATGTTTAGACAGAACATATTAAATGAGTCAGTCAAATTAATTAGTGAATTAATTAATTGGCATGTCACTTACAGATTTCAATATCAGCAGAGGATAACTTGCCCGTGGTTCCAAAATGAATTCTGATAAATTTGCCCTACAATTGGTACGAAAGATAATGGCAATCTATGAGTTAATAGGCTATATTTTTAATCAACCTAATAACATCTGGCTAGATTACGAAGAAGCTACAAGGATATAATATAATTTGGTATAAATATTACAAGAAATATATTTTACAAACTGCAAAATCTATACTAAAAAAACCACACATAAATGTGCATACAGGTAATGTATATATCACTCACTAAGTCTAACATATTACTATGCAAAGGCGTCTTTAAGTGCCTTAGAGACTGAAAGAACTAAGTAGCATATGTTTTTACAAACTACTTCCTTAGATGTATTTGTAAAGTCTACTTCTTGAGATGTATCTCTCAGTTGGACTTTTAACATCCTATAAGATCCCCTTGCATAATCAAGTCTATATGTTATCAGAATTTTGCTATACTATGATAAAGGTTGTGCCTGACTATCACACTATCAGACCCTGGAAAGGTTACTTTTGGAAATTACAGCTCCCACCATCCTCCAGCCAACATGTCCACTGGTCATGCTGGCTAGGGGATGCTGGGATCAGTCATCAAAGAGAGTGGCATTTCTAAACTCTGTGTTAAAATAGAGAGCTTCATTAATGAATTTGGCTGAATCTTGGTCTGATACAGCTGGACTACCCTTATCCAAAATACTTGGGACCAAAAGTGTTTTAGATTTTGGATTTTTTCCAGGTGTTGGAATACCTGTATTTGCATACATGTACGTAATGAGATAGCTTGGAGACAGAACCCAAGTCTAAACATTAAATTCATTTATGTTTCACATACTTTATAAACATAGCCAGAAGGTGATTTTATTCAATATTTTTAATAATGATATGCCTGAAACAAAGTTTGTGTACATTGAACCATTATGAATCAAAAGTGTCACCATCTTTGGACCATATAATAATTCATATAAAGTAGTTAAACTGCATTACTGAGTCTGCACTTACCATATAATGCAGTTCGAAACTGCATTATATAGCAGTGTAATATACACTGTATTTATATTCTGCCCTTCTTCTCTAGGGGACACAGAACAGATTACAGTGTTTATATATATAGGCAAACATTCAATGCCTTTTACACTCATATACAAATGAGACACATAAACAAAGGCATAGGGTCCTCCTTTTCATTTCCGGCTTTTGGAGATGGTGCTCTGGGGAGATGCTCTCCTCCATTTTTCAAGCCAAGGAGCCTGCATTGTCATCTCCTGATTATGTGGCCAGCAAAATTGCTTGGAGCATTTCTTTTCCTACCAAAGTGGTATCTATTTATCTACTCACATTACATGTTTTCGAACTGCTAGGTTGGCAGGAACTGGAGCTGAGAAATGGGAGTTCACCCCGTCTCAGGGACTGAACTGCTGACCTTCAGGTCAGCAGTTCAACAGCACAAGGGTTTAACCCATCGTGCTACCATGGCTCCTTCAAGTCAGCAGTGTAGATGGGGCCTCAGCTACCCATGTGGTCAATTTTGGATTTCAGAACTCCTGGATAAGGGGTGGCCAACCTACACAACTTTTCTTCTGCTCTTCACCTCCCACAAAGGAGAAATTTGAAAACTTCCCTTTCTTCTTTCACTTAGGCTCAATTTGTAATTTCAACAGTTATTAGTGGGAATTATGGTTTCTCTCAAAGGCCAATTGAAAACCAAAAATGCGTCAAATATAAAACTACCCCTATTGCCGTGCCTTTATGAACATGACCTGTTCAACAATGGAGCTCACTGCCTTGGAGTGTAGTGGAAGCTCCTTCTTTGGAGGTTTTTAGATAGTGGCTTTGTCCTTTTCCTGCATGACAGGGGGTTGGACTAGATGGCCCATGCAGTCTCTTCCAACTCTATGATTTTATGATTTCTATATGAGGTGCAAACCAACATGGCATACAGTTGTGATCGACACTTCTCAAACAGAGCTGAAAAGAGAAGCCAAAACAACCAGCAACTGGAAGAACTTCTCCATGAGATATGAGTTCCACCTTTGGAGTTCTTCATTTAAAAAGTGGGGACTAAGTAAAGAAATAGAGGACCATGGTAGAGAAGTAGAATCATAAAATCATAGGGTTGGAAGAGACTGCATGGGCCATCTAGAGGAATCGCTTTGGGGTGGGGGTGGTGGGAGCATTTCCCTTCAAATAAAGATTCTGCTCTTTCACTCAATTTTTTTTGCATTGCAAAGAATGGGACATTGAAAATCATTCACACCTAGAACTCTTATACTTGTTGTATTATAATTACCTTGGTAACTTCTTCTGTACCTTTACTCTGGACACCTAAACTGTGGGTGCACCTGCACTGTAGAATTAATGCAGCTTGACGCCACTTTAACTGCCACGGCTCAATGCTATAGAATCATTGGAGTTGCAGTTTTTCAAGCCAAAGAGAAGATACCTCATCAAACTATAATTTCCAGGATTTCATAGCATTAACCCATGACAATTGAAGTGGTGTCAAACTGCATTAATTGTACACTGTAGATGCAGACCATATTTCTAAATGCTCAACTGAAGCTTGACTATAATGCTAGAAACCTGGCGACAAAAGCAAAAGTTCATTTTGGAGAGAGGCAAATGCCTTTTTTGAAGGTGCACTGCTATCATCCCCCCCCCCCCCTTGGCATAACATTCTGGTTCTGCAATGCATGGGGGAAATGGTTGTAATCATCAGTTTAAATGCTTTTTAAAAAGCATCAGACAAATTCACTTCAAGGTTAAAACTATCAGTGGCTATTAGTCATGACGGCTAAGTATTACCTCCAGCTTCAGAGGCAGTTGCTAGGGAACACACCTCTGGAAACCAGTTGCTAGGGAACATTGAGCAGAAGGGTGCTATTGGATTTGCATCCTGCCTCCAGGCTTCCCATAGGCAACTGGTTGGTGACTGTGAGAAGCAGGATCCTCAGGTATGCGAACCTTTGGTTCAATTCAGCAAAACTCTTATTATGCTCCACCAATTCATTTATGCAAAAACAAGGCAAAGTTCAATAAACAAGCTTCTCCCACATATATGTATTTTAAAGAAACATCATTGCAGCAATAGAACAATCTGCCAGGGTCACCTGCAGAAAGATTTGTGTAAAGAATTAACAGGTGTCTCTCTTTTGGATACGTTAGATCTGAACCTGGAAACTTCCCTTTTGGAGTGAAATTCTCCGAATTCACCAGCCAGCACGATCAATGCATGACGCAGGGTTGTTGCAGTTCTATAAACTAACATTTTCAATGATTCCCAAGATCAGACTGAGGACCTGAGTACTCTATTCTACAATGCTCACCAACCATACCAAGCACCGCATACGGGAAGGGAGATGGAGTCTAAAGTATATGAAGGGCCAAAGATTTCCCAGCTCCAATTCTGTTTTCAGCCATGATATTGTTTTTATGATGTTGTTGTGACAGTGTTATGTTTGTATTTGATTTATTTTAATGCTGTTGCTTTTATCTGTGATTTTTGGGCTTGTCCCCATATAAGCATCCCTGAATCCCCTTGGGGAGATGGTGGCGGGGTATAAAAATAAAATTATTATTATTATTATTATTATTAGAAACACAGCAAGATGAGCCCACAGCAAACAAGATCACTCTTCTGGCTGTTGTATTGGATCACACGTCGGACACTTCCCAAGTGTCTAGGACTGTGTGATGTATCGGTGAATAATGCGTACAGATCCCAGTAGGGTGGCCTTTTGCAGCTGGCAGATGGTAATCTTGTCAGCGCGGATTGTGTTTAAATGCAGGCCAAGGTCTTTAGGCACTGCACCCAGTGTGCCAGTCATCACTGGGACCACCTTTACTGGCTTGTGCCAGAGTTTTTGCAGTTTGATCTTTAAATCCTCACATTGTGTCAGCTTTTCCAGTTGTTTCTCTTCAATCCTGCTGTTGCCTGGGATTGCAACATCGACAATCCACACTCTATGTTTTAACACTATTGTGAGGTCAGGAGTATTGTGCTCCAAAATTATTATTATTATTATTATTATTATTATTATTATTATTCCCACTCCTGTTTTAGATATTACTTTTCCAATGGGTGAGCGAGCTAAATGATGCCACCGATGCATTCAGATCCGTTTACACATTCCTTTTAAGAATACAAGCTTGATCGTCCCACAGGTGCAAGTACAGATTAAAAATATATATAAAACCTGCTCACAGTAGCTGGTGTAATTTGCAGGTGTCTGGAGATGCGGCTGTGCTTGCTGCGCTCCCAGTGAGGTACATGAGCAGACAATCTGCAGAGACAGCCTGTGGTTTCTGATGCTTTGTGTCCCACATGCCAGAATTAGAACAACAATTCCCTTCTGTCGTTTCACAACCGGCTGGCTCTCGCTACGTCCCTTGGGGATTGTTAGACTTGACTTGTGTGCTTCACTGACACTGGGCTGTGCTCTGTTTTATGAACAGAGGATGGTACAACAGCAGTCATGCTGCTTTGCACTGGCTATCACCATCCTCAGCCACTAACATAGATATCCACCCTGCATCTGCTGGGGAGAGGGCTCGGACATCTAGTTTGTCTGGACCTCATTGGCTGTTATAATTAAGTCAAAGATGCCTCCTCGTTTTAGACAACACCTCGCATATATATTTCTCATTTATCTTGTTGCTTGTTTTCTTCTTTCTCCTCCTTTTTATTATTATTATTATTATTATTATTATTATTATTATTATTATTATAACTTTATTTGTACCCCGCTAGCATCTCCCAAGGAATTCGATGCGGCTTACAGCAGGCCGGAGCCCAACACAATACAACAATACAGTACATAGCAAATAAAACAGTTAAAGCAGAAAACAATAACAAAGCAGTACAACAGGACATTCTTAAAAACTGAGCCGGCTGGAGTAGGGTACAGGATTAAAAAGTGCTGAAGTGTCGGAGGGATATGGGATTAAAATATAAGTGCAGTGTGCGGTGAGGGTGATCTTGACTCTACTAAAGTCCTTCTGGGCTTTGGTAGTGGGGTTCCTAAACTGAGAAGGCACGTTGGAACAGCCAGGTTTTCAGGTTCTTTCTGAAAACCGCCAAAGTAGGGGCCTGTCTGAGATCTTTCGGGAGGGCATTCCAGAGGCGGGGAATTTTAAAGGTTGAGCATTCCTTATCCAGAATTCCAAAATCTGAAATTGTTCTTTGAAGTCAGATAGTGTCACCTTTGCTTTCTGATGGTCAGTGATATTTATTTATTTATTTATTTATTTTCTATACTTATATTCTGCCCTTCTCACCCCGAAGGGGACTCTGGGCGGATCACAGAACATATATATGGCAAACATTCAGTGCCATTTATACACTGATAAGACAGACATAGATAGAGGTATATATATGCTTTTCCCATCTTCGTCATCTTGGAGGCTAGTGCTCGGGCTAAAGGCCAGGAGTTCACCCTGACCCGAGCTTCAAACTGTCAACCTTTCGATTGGCAAGATTTACTGCAGCTGGTGGTTAACCTGCTGTGCTAAAGCCTGTAAATCAAACTTTGTTTCATGCATAACATTGTTTTAAAATACTGTGCATAAAATTAGCTTCAGGCTATATGTATAAGGTCTATATGAAACATAATTTCATGTTTAGACTTGAGTTCCATCTCCAAAACATCTCATGATGTGTATGCAAGTATTTCAAAATCCAAAACATTGAACACTTCTGGTTCCAAGCACTTCAGATAAGGAATATTCACCCCATATTATTACCTCATTTATACACTGCCTTCCTCCCAAAACTGGGACCCAAGCTGCAGTGTGTAGTGAAATTATTATTATTATTATTATATTCCACCCTATCTCCCGGAGGGACTCAGGGAAGATAAAAGGCAAACATTTAATGCCCAAACACAACAACAATACACCCAAAGGAAAAAAATGGCAACCCAAAATATAAAAACAAATTATGACTCAACAACTAAATTAAATTTTTAAAAACCCACAACCTGATGTATCAGACATAACACAAAACATCAAACATTGAAAAGAAGCATCAATTTAGGGTTGGACTACAACTCTGGAGACAAAAGTTTGATTCTCTGCTCAGCTATAGAAAACTACTGGGTGACTCTAGCCGAGTCACACTCTCTCAGCCCCAGAAATCCCTGTGAGAGGTTCACCTTAGGGTCTCCATAAGTCAGAAAGGCAGAAATGACTATTTAAGCAAATAGTCAAAAACAAGCAGAAGATCAGCATTGAAAGGGAATTAAACTGTCAACAACATTCAAAAACAATTTAAAGTATGCAATTAAAATGGCAAGAAGCAGTTTTAAATCCATGCAATTATAACCATACTTTAAAACTTCGTCCTTGCTTTAAGTAGTTGGCCTGCTACAAGTCATCTTGGAAGCAATCACTTAAAAGGCCCTAGTTTGCTTCCTCACCAGTTGTGACTATAAAGGTGATGGGGACATGATAAGGGCCACTCCTGAAGATTTCAGATCCTGGACAGGCTCATACAGAGAGAAACAGAGGACTGAAGTTATACAATCGTTCGTAGGTAAAGCCAGTTCTTTGAACTTTTTCCAGAAATAGACTGGCAACCAGTGGAGCTGCTGTCACAGGGGAGTTGTATGTTCCTTGTAACTTATGAGCAGCAGGAATTATTTTGCTGAGGATGTTGCAGTCCATCAGTATCTTGAGGGTTATGAATTGCCCATGGCTAATATGAGAAACCATGGTGAGACCATGGTGACACTCTCAATTCACTGTTCTCCAGTGTTTGCTAGAATCTTTCTATGTTGGTACCAATATGCAGATATGTGCATTAAGAAATCTGTAAAATGTCAGCTCCCCAACTGCAGGCAGAGAGTGTGCCAACTAGCTCATGAATTAATCCATGGTGCAGAAGGCTGAACAGTAGCCAGTATTTGGAGAACTCTGAGTGAAGATGTTTCAATAAATAATAGCAGGATGGCTGGCCGCAACACACCCTAAAATCATTCTCCTATTTCACTACTAAAAAATTGAGGGCAGAGGAGATGGGCCAGAAGCAACAATCTTTAGAGATATTGTTGTGTGTCTTGTTCAGTCACTGCCGCTCCTGTTTTATAAATATACTATCGAAGACAGACTGTCAACACGCCACAGCAATCAAGGATACTTACAAAGCGTGAGGAGTTGTCATTTCTCAAGGTTTTGGCATTCCCAAAGGCTTCAAGGGCTGGGTTAGCTTGGATGATTTGATCTTCCAAGGTTCCCTGACAATGACAAAGATTAACATAGATTCAGAGTATAATTCAGTACTTAAGATCCTCCCACTGTAAAGCTTGAAGAATCTGTAGCGGCCAACATGACATAGTGGTTTGAGTGCTAAACCAGGGCTCTGAGGGACCAGGGTTCAAATTAATGTATTGTTGAAGGCTTTCATGGCTGGAAACACTGGGTTGTTGTAGGTTTTTTCGGGCTATATGGCCATGTTCTAAAGGCATTCTCTCCTGACGTTTTGCCTGCATCTATGGCAAGCATCCTCAGAGATTGTGAGGTCTGTGGATGCTTGCCATAGATGCAGGCGAAACGTTAGAGGAGAGAATGCCTCTGGAACATGGCCATACATCCCAAAAAAACCTACAACCCAGGGTTCAAATTTCCTACTAGCCACAGAAACCCACTGGGTAAGTCAACATCCTTCAACCTCAGACCTTCTCTGAATAAATCTTGTGCAGAAAACCTCATGATAGGTTGAACCAATAAGTTCACCATTTGGAGATCTACAACAACAATAACTTCTACCAACAAAACAGTACAAATATAAACAGGAGCCTCCAGTGGCACAACGGGTAAACCCTTGTGCCAGCAGGACTGCCGAACAAAACATTGGTGGTTCGAATCCAGGGAGTGGGGTGAGCTCCCATCTGTCAGCTCCAGTTTCTCATGTGGGGACATGAGAGAAGCCTACCACAGGATGGTAAAACATCTGGGTGTCTCCTGGACAAGGTCCTTACAGACAGTCAATTCTCTCATACTACAAGTGACTTGCAGTTTCTCAAGTCGCTCCTGACACAAAAAAATTGCAATATACAGAGCTGCCAAAATGCAATGGCAAAGAAATCCTTAGATATGCTGGTGGAGTAGACAGAATGGAAGCTGCATAGGAGAGAAGACATTTTGGCAATATCTACTTTGCACAGGTGATCAGCTTCATGGTATGGGGTATATTGCTTGGACTTATGGCGGCCCTATCATGGAGATCTTTTGGCAAGATTGTTAAGGAGTTAGCAATAGCCTTCATCTGAGGCTGACTTCCCCAAGGTCACCAAGTGGGTTTCTGTGGTTGGAGCAGAAATTTTGAATCCTGGTCTCCAAGGTCATAATCTAAAGTTTAAACCATTACACCACATACTGGTACTGTCCCTCTAAACCAGGCATATATAAATGCATATATAAAATATAAGGTGCTCACCTCACTAAGATTCCTTGCAAAGCTTTGAAATTTTCAGAAGAATTGACAAAGATTGCAGGTTTGTAAGCTTTTATAAGCTTAAGGGATGCATAACACAATAACTTGGCATTTACTAGCTGATCAAGCATGCCTATAGCAAATAATGATAATAATCCTGCTTTCAGTAGTTGCAATTTCTCTAGCAGGCTGTGCAAGGTCAGTTCACACTGAAGGGATAGAAAATATTATTTTCATCTTTGAATGCCTGAAAAACTATTCCTTTGTTAGTTAGGGTGGGGTGGTTTTTCTTTCTTTTTGCCTGGTAAAATGTCAGCACTTTCTGAGAAACTGGAGAAAGAGTATTGAAAATCAGGAAAGATTAAATAATCAGTCCAATCACAGGCGGTATACCAGTCATAGTCCAGCCCAGGAAACCAGTATGGTGAGGGCAATATCTTCCACATTGAGGGGATTCCAGTGGACAATAGCGATGATGAAGAACTATAGGGTGTACTTTAGTCATCAAGGGCCATGGTGGTGCAATGAGTTAAAGCCTTGTGCTGCTCAACTGCTTATCTTAAGCTTGGCAGTTTAAATCCGCGGAACGAGCTAAGCTCCCAATGTTAGTCCTAGCTCTCCTGCCAACCTAGCAGTTTGAAAACATGCAAATGTGAATAGATAAACAGATACCACTTTGGTGGCAAATGCATAAGACACTCCAAGCAGTCATGCTGGTCACACAACCAGGAGCTGACAATGCAAGCTCCTTGGCTTGGAAATGGAGAACAGCACCTCCCACAGAGCCAGAGATAAGCACCTCCTCCAAAGCCAGAAATGAAAGGAGAAGCCTTTGTCTTTGTGTTTGTCTGTCTCATTGTATTATAACAAGGCATTGGATGTTTGCTAGTATTTGTTTACACTGTAATCCATCCTGAGTCCCCACAGGGAGAAGAGCAGAATACAAATAAAGCATTGTTGTTGTGATTATGATTATGATTATGAGCTAACTTGCCTTGGCTCATATTGCTACGTCCTACTTAATATCTCATGTACTCAGTAAAATATTGTTTTGGTCCACAAATGATTATACTTCATTTTGCCAGACCCTCACATCTGAGTAGGCCTGGGATCATTTCATTCTTCAACTGGCCAACTCCTGCTGTGTATCACTGGTTGCTGGAAAAGATAAATGTTCAGTCTCTGTAATGTCTATGAGACCTCTTTCCCAGGAAATCATGTGGAATGTTGATGTTTTCTGTGTCTGTATAATTGTATAACGTGCACTTCCAAATGATTCTTGTGCATAAGGAGATTAATAAGATATATAATAATAAGACTTTATTTGTATTCCACCCTATCTCCCTAGGGGTTTCGGATATGGGTGGGCAATGATAATCAGTACAGGCCAAACTGAGGCCGATGGAGTAGAACTTGTATGGTTATCTTCTGCACTGTATACGTGGTTATACACGTGTAGATAACTTGTGACTAGAGTACGGAGGATGTCGTTCATCTTGGCTTTAGACCACATATTCCCTCTTATCTTTGTAGCCAAATGACCATAGTTAAAACCAACTTTGTCACCTTATCACCATACCCACTAGTTTTGCTCGCCTATGAGTATTCACACACACAGTCTGCTTATAAAAGCATTAGCATTCAGTTTCATGTATTGGCGGAAGTGGACCTATGTCTACAAAAACTCATTCTATCAACTTCATTCGCTGTTTCTAAGTTCTATAAGAGCCCTTTACATATTGATACACAATTATGTGTAGCAACTTATGATACCAAACTGGTTCTATCAGTTTCTAAGTGCTACAAAATCCCTTTGCTTATGGATATGGAGTTCTATGCTAGGGATACATCCCACTTGGTATGAGCTCACTGGCTTCCTGCATGTAAATAGCACGTGTTTCCAGGGATGTCATGGACTTGTGTACTATTTTAAGGCAGTTTTTTTGCATTCGCTCTTTCTACCCCAAAATTGCAATCTCTTTAAAATGAACCTGAAATACCCCAAATTCATCTTTTTTGGAGGGGGAGGGATTTTTTTAATTTAGGAGGAAGAAAACAACTAGTGAATTTTCATTGCCCATGAACTGGAATAGACAGCAGCATAACTGGTGTAATAAGGTCGCTCTATAAGTCAGCTAGGGCAGCAGTCATCCATGTCTGTCTAGCTCTATACACACATAAGCATTAGATTATATGGAAACAATTCAGTGAGGAAGTGAAAATAGCGTTTTGTGTTCAGAATCTGGTAGCAGCTCAGAGCAAGAAAGACATGGCGCACAAACATTTCCCTGATGGTTTTTTTCAATCCACATGTAGCATCACTGGGGAGAAACAACATATTATGGAAAAGTCCCGTGACATTTGCATTTGGTGTATAAAAATATAATTATGTGCAGGGACCCATGAAGTGTTTTATGGTGCAGTGGGCTCAACATTGGCAGACATATTGTTTTTTTAAAAAATATTTGCATAGAATGGGAAATTATGTGCTACCATTGAAACATTTTTGATATGAAGATGGTTTCAAACACAATGAATACTTAAAAGTACCTTCAATGTTGACAATGTAGCATACACCGAAGTGTGTGTATATAGGATAGATTGCAACTGGACTTTAACACCTCAGAGGGCTCAAAAACAATAGCTACCTTAATATTTCTTTGCAATTGTTCATGTCAGGAGTGATTTGAGAAACTGCAAGTTGCTTCTGGTGTAAGAGAATCGGCCATCTGCACGTATGTTGCCTGGGGATGCCTGGATGTTTCACTATTTTGTGGGAGGCTTCACTCATGTCCCCACATGGGAAGCTGGAGCTGACAGACAGGAGACTGGAACTTTCTTTCGAGGAGCCCCTGGTGGTGCAATGGGTGCCAGCAGGACTGGTTGACCGAAAGGTTGATGGTTCAAATCCAGGGACCAGGGTAAGCTCCCATCTGTCAAGCTGTAGCTTCTCATGCAGAGACATGAGAGAAGCCTCCCACAAGGAGGACATTGGACGTCTGCTAGGCAATGTCCTTACAGACAGCCAATTCTCTCACACCAGAAGTGACCTGCAGTTTCTCAAATCGCTTCTGACATGATTTTTTTTGGCAGTCATTTAATACACTTCTGAGTGATAATTCCTAAATCCCAACACTACATGGGAGTGAAATCATTTCAGAAGGAGCTCACCCACCTCACCTCGCATACTCTTACATGAGGTTTGAGCCCCTTTTTCTTCTCCCTCTCCTATTCTTAGCTGCATGGTTGTGTGAAATAAATTAAAATGATGGTTGTTACTTCTTAACATCTAGAAGGACTGTAGAACTTTATTGTATTTTGACATATGTATTTGATATCTGGCTACCATGAAAAACATTCCTTTGCCATTATATTATAGGAGACATATAAAATAACTGATGAGGGAAGAAAGAGGCAGGTTGTATAAAGGACAAATACACACAAATATTTCATTAGTGGAAGGAATCCTTCTACCAGTCTCCAGCTGAAATCAGCAGAACCTATAACTACCCAGCTGGATGACACACATAAAAGGTAAGAATCACTCTCTATAAAAGATGCATTAGAATTGGTCAAGAAAACTAAAATGCTCAGAATAGTTCACAGCTAATAGTTTCAGAGCCATATTTACCACACAGCCTTATGATTGTGATCTGGCTTTTGAATTGTGATGAAAATACATTTCAGTGTCCTCAAGGAATATGCAGGTGAGAGAGGCTGTGAATAGCATTCATTCAATTTCAGAAAAGTTATATAATACAAATAGAAGAAGAGCAGGAGCATTTACTTACCCCAGTCTTGGTGGCTGGTTGCTGTCAAAGGAAAGGTTTTACAAAAGAAAATTAGAGAATGAAAGTTCAGAGTCACCTAACTTAGCATTTGAGCTCATTTATCTTTTTGTGATTTTTGCAGAGATTTTGTTTATTAGTTTATTTCTAGAACGGTGCACCTTTATGCATAACTAGACTACTTTCTTTAGATATTTCTCATTTTTTTGTGTTGAAACAAAAATTGACATCCATGCAAAGAATCATATGCATATTTTCTTTCCAACTTCAATAACACTTTCTGAATTCCCATCCCTCTTTCTTCTCCTTCTTCATCGCACTCAGAATCCATAAATAACCATGATAGCTCCCTGTTTTCTAAGTATGCCCCCAAACTAATAACCAATTAATATTAAAACTATTAATCACTATCATCTTTTAGAACACCCTGGAGCATCTAAAGCTCTATTACCCAGCAGTCCGGAATGCTTCAGTTAGACTATAGGGAACACAGCAAGACAGTTCCCTATGCTGCCCCACGACTTCCCCCACTGTTTCCTACTTTACAAAGGGCTATCTGATGAGGTCCCTATAGTGTCAGACAATTCTGGCCTTTTCCCATTCCTACTCTTTTGAAATGAGGAGCTCCTTAATCAATTTCCACACTATTTTATTCTGAGTTGAGTTGAAAGTGGGGCTTCAACCAATCTTCCTACCAATGGGTGGGTAAGAGATGAGCCAGTGCCCCATATGGCCTTGGTTTTTTTTGCCCATGAGGTAATCCTATATAAAGCCATCTTAATCTTCCTAAAGAATATCCTGTCATGAGAGCTCAGTGTTCCCCTGAGAACTGAAATTTTGTTGGAACTCCAAATCCATGCAACTCTCATGATGGCCAGCCTACAAATGCCTCCATGGTATTTGGGATGTAAGGCCTGATTGTTGCATGCTTCAAGGTCAGCATGGTGGAAGCACAATTTGTGCCAACTCTTGAATACAAAGTTTGGGGCATCCCATATCACTTTCAAATGTGATGAGACTTTAGGATTGGCCTTCATAGGAAAATAGGGCACTTGTGACCCCCAGCATTAACAGAGCTAACATCATACTTATACTAATACAGAAGAACCACTTTCAAAGAAGTAGCTGTGTTAATCTCTTGCAACATAAAAAGAAGGAAGGAAAAGGTAGAAAAAAATATATGTGGAAGCACTTTTAAAACCCATTTCTATGGATGCAGTGCCAAGTGAGAACAGTTATGGCATTATTAACTCTAGGGCATATTTAGACAATATGTTGATATGTTATTTATTTATTTATTTATAACCCGTACTCTCTCCCCAAAGGGACTCAGTGTGGTTTACAAAAATTTAAAAATGGCAAACACTCAATGCTAAAAAACAGATAAACAACAATCAAGGCAAAACATGAAATAAAATAAACTCAATATGACTTAACAACCAAAACTGAGTATTAAACTAAATAAGCATGACAAGTACAAGGAGTCAAACTAAATAAAACTCAATATATAATAACATAATATAATATGTTATATCAGCAGGCTAAGGTAAGTATCCAAAGTCAAGGCAAGAATGTGTGTAAGGAATGCTAATCCTCCTCTTCATCATAAACTAGATTACACAAATGGGTCTTTAAAAGCTTTCTTAAAGGAGAGGAGGGAGTGGGCCATTTTGAGTTCTTTAGGGAGGGAGTTCCAGAGACAGGGAGCGTCCATGGAGAAGATCCCCTCTCTCGTTCCCACCAATCATACTTGAGATGGGAGTGGGACTGAGAGCAGGGCCTCCTCCATGGACACAGTGCTTGTGCTAGTTTATATGTGGAGATGCAGTTTTTCAAATTTTCTGGGCCTGAACCACTTCGGACTTCAATCATAACAGTCATTTCTTGCCCCATAGAATTATTTTTCAGAAGGCAGGCTTACAAATACTTTCCATATTTTCAATAGATTGTGCAAAATACAGTTTTCAGAATTCTCAAAACATTTTCTAGATTAAAATCAATATAAACATATTTTTTATCCTGACTTCAAATCATAATTGCTGGAGGGGGGGGGGCTTGGGGCATTTCCTGACAACTATCACTCAAGAGATACTTAACATTACCTTTCCTCCCTCAGTGAAATGTTATTGATGCTGTTCTCTGCTGAGATGGAAATAATGAAGAGTACTGAGAATAGAGTTTGGAAGCTAGCCCTGATTGACATACCAACAATTAAAAGCTCACAAGGTGAGAAGAAAGATTACAGACAATCATTCCATAACTATCACCCTTTTGCATTTACATTACACACATATATATAGGACTATGGATGTTATTTTAACTGCCATGGCTTCCTCCTACGGAATATATAGTTTCGTATACCACTAGAGCACCCTAGCTAAGAATTGTAAACATCCCTCCCTTAATGCAAATCCCAGGAATCCACAAGATGAAACCTTGGCAATTAAAGTGAGATCAAAGCACTATATGTGTATAATATGAAAGTGCTTTATATTTTATGCTCTTACCACAATTGCATCAAGCATGAACTTCACCCATGAAACTTCATCAAAATATATTGTTTTGGATGAACACATTATAGGACACTAAATTTAACTGGATTAGATTTGCAACTATATTTATGTTAGAACTATAGTTGGGAAAAATCCAAGGACCACCCAGTCCTACTCCCCTGCCATGTAGAACACACAATCAAAGGTCTCCTGACAGATGGCCATTCAAGCGCTGTTCAAAAACCTCCAGAGAAGGAGTCTTCACCACACTCAGTAATAACAGTGCCTGGTTTATGATTTGAAAAATCAATACAACGTTTTTGAAAGTAGAAGAAATTGGAGAAAAGCCTAGGAGAGTTACAAATAAAAGATCATGTCATTTGGATCTGCTATGAAATTCTTATATGAGACAGGACGACTGCACCTTCAAAGCCTTCTCCAGAAGCATCTGAGGATGCCTGAGCCTTAGAAGTCATAGATAAAGATGATATGGAAATTAAAATAATGCAACAAAATGAAAAACAAGTCTAATGAATCTTTGTCACCTGAAACCCTGGGTGGTATGTTGATGAATAACTACCAGACTCGCTGGGGACAGGCCCATGATCTCTGCCTTGCCAGAATCACTTTGAAGTCTTATAACTGTACCTTAAGGTCTTTCTTATGTAATTAACTATTGTACTAACTGGCATTTAGAGTGACTTGAAAACAGACAGGTAGATGATGTTCTACCTGTGGAGTACTTATTTACACAGAAGAGGTAAACAGTAGTTTGAATATTTACATTCTTTTTTCCAGGTTCACCAAGTGCTGCTACTGTAGCAAAGTACTGAATGACACGTTTCGTGTTCACAGTCTTGCCGGCACCAGATTCTCCACTGTAGAGAGAAGGAAAATCATATTATTATTACAGTACATTCAGGATGGTCCATTTATAGTTCTTTAAGGGGTATTATCATTTAACTACGACAGGTTGAGTTTCCCTTATCTGAAATGCTTGGAACCAGAAGTGATCCATATTTCAAAGTTTTCAGATTTTGGAATACTTGTATATACTGTATATATGAAATATCTTGGAGATGGGATCCAAGTTTGTACACAAAAATCCTTTATATTTCCTACACATTTCATTCACATCACCTGAAGATAAAAATCTTTTCAATATTTTTGTGCATGAAACATGGGTAATTTGGGGATATTTCAAATGTTAGAATTCCAGGGAAGTACTCCCTATGTCCCCATTTAAACTGCCATATGGCAATGTAGATTAAGCCTATATCTCCTTAGAGCCTGGTCTTTCTTTAAGTGTATACATAAAAGAGGGCAGGTTTATAAAATATGGAGATCCATCATTGATAATCGGTCATGAGAGTTATTCAAAAAGTCCAAATTCAGGGGCAATATGCTAGCAAAGAAGAGCTATTAGATGGTAACATGAAGAGGGGCAAACAGCTTCCATGCCCGGCTTCTTAACTTTTGCTAAAAAAATAGTCTGGTTGGCTGCTGTAGGGAACTGGGTTTCGACCTCACAACCTCTGAGGATGCCTGCCATAGATGCAGATGAAACATCAGGAGAGAATGCTTCTGGAACATGGCCATACAGCCCAAAAAACTTACAGCAACCCAGTTATTCCGACCATGAAKGCCTTTGACAACAAACCGGTTGCTTAATTAGAAAGTTTTCTGGTTTGATTCAGCACAGCTTACCAAAATTATCAARCTCTTTTGGCCTCAATTCTCAGCCCAGACTCAATTGGCCATGCTCGCTGGGTGATTCTAGAATAAGTAGTCCAAACAATTTAGGATCTTATCACATTGGGATATACTCAATTTCTGAGACTCTTTTACCATGATACTGAACAGGTCTTATTACATGATGTTTGCCACATTCYGTCAATAATCCATTGGAATCTACCTGCAAAACGTCACAGAAATTGAGTACTTGCACACAGGATTTAAATTGTGTTTGTTTATTTATTACTATTTTGTACATTGCTGAGGCACTGTTTTTACATGTGATAGGAAAATCAGAATGCATTCTGTCAGCTAAAATCTTGCAAAAATTGTAGTTCAAGACTTCCAGGTTAGGTCACTGTGCAATACTAGGATGTTTTTTAAACTGATGTAGGGAAGCATTCAAATAGATTGAGAGGAGCCAGCCTGCCACGGCGTAATGTGTTAGAGCACAGCATTTTCAAAACATAAGAATCGTAATAATCGGGTGTGATAGGGAGAGTATGCATCCTGTCTCAATACAGTATGTATCCAGTCCTAAAAGAATGTGAGATGTATACTGATATAATTGGATTATATCCCAATGTGATAAGGTCCTAGTAGAACCCATACACAAAATTTAATCTGTTTTAATAATGAAATACTTAACAAATAAGTAAAAAAGAATATGTGCAACTAAATCAAGTACGATGTATAAGTCAACATCATCAGGGCAGATTTGGGGGATAAAATTAGGGATTTTGAAAGGTAGAAGTTTGGGACTCACTGTAGGGCTCCTCAGATCCATCTCACAAGGTGCTTTGAGACAAGACTAAAATCTATGCTGAAGCAGGTTCTAAAAATCTGGTTGAGCGCAGATTTCGGTCCCCACTGCTCCACAAAAACCCAGGATTTTCTGGGGTGGAGGTGGCTACATGGCATCCCAATTAATATTGGGATGGCATGCAGCCACACCGAAGACCCCCAATTTTGCCCCAAAAGTTAAGTAAAATGTACCTGGCTGCCATAACTTTTTTCCTCCCACCCTCCTAGCATGAGGAAATGATGCCTGCGGAAACTGGAGGGACAAGAAGGGAATACCCTCATCCCCATCTCCTCGCACATCATTTCTTTGCTCTAGGTGGTCATGGGGAGGAAAGTTATCATGGCCAGGTATGGGTTGTTGTAGGTTTTTTGGGGCTATATGACCATGGTTTAAAGGCATTCTCTCCTAACGTTTCACCTGCATCTATGGCAAGCATCCTCAGAGGTAGTGAGGTCTGTTGGAACTAGGAAAAATGGTTTATATATCTGTGGAATGGCCAGGGTGGACAAAGGTCTCTTGTCTGCTGCAGCTAGGTGTGAATGTTTCAACTGACCACCGTGATTAGCATATAATGGCCTGACAGTGCTAATCAAGGTGGTCAGTTGAAACCTTTGTTTGTTCCAGATTAACTCATTTTTACTGGAGGTATTGTTTGGACACCTCTGGCAAAAACCAAGACAGGTTCCAGAATATGAGCCTGTCTAGATGGGCCCAAAGAGGGAGGAAAGCACCAGAACCACGACGCAGGGCACCAATACCCAAACATTTAGAAAGGATTTTTGCAAGTGTACTAACAGAGGGGGATGGGTTCTTATTGGATAAGGGGGCACAATACTTACATTGACCCATGTATAACCCAATCCAGTTTTGTTGGGTCACTTTTTCAACTGAAATTTAAAGTATACTTTTATGTGTACGCTTAAAGAAAGACCATGAGTACAACTATTTGTATAGGCTTGCTTTATGAAGTTTGTGACAACTAGTGTGATGCAGTTGTTAATGAAACAGAATCAGGAGAGTCTGGGTCTATATTAGTCCCCTCTAAACCATCAAATCCACTAAGCAACCTTGGGCTGGTCACTTTATTTTCATCTGAACTACTTCACAGGCTTGTTGTAGGAACAAAGTAAAGAGGAATGAAGCCATGTACAGCATCTTAAACCCACTGGAGGAAAAGCAAACTATGATGCTTACCAATAAATAATTAAAAATGAAATAATTTGAAAAGATCCACTTACGTGATCAGCATGGACTGGTTCTCCCGATCTGTGAGAGAGAAGAGGGGAGGGGATGGGGGAGAAACCTTAAGAGCATTTACTACATATGCACACCACGGAGTCTTACTGGAACAGAAATTTCATATACGAAGAAAAATGAAACACCACAGAAATCCTTACAAATCCTTAGCAAGGAGAATTTCTCATTTTCTATATTCTTAAATGCCTTGGTCAAATGCCTGCAAAACCAGTTCCTACTGGGCCTTTTCTAAAGATTTAGCTCCAGCTCCTGACTGTGTGGGTGACTGCACGGCTCCATCCCAAGCAGATGAAAAATGATTTAACTGGATAGAAATCCTGAAAGAAATACCTGTTTTTGAAATTCATGGGGCTGTTCAAAGAAAGCAAGAATGAAGTGAGAAAAGAGAAGCAAATGGGGAAGGGATTTTGACAGGTTAGGGGTAATTAGCATATCAAAGACGCTGTGACATGGAAAACACCGTCAAGGAAAGACATTCAGATTAGAGGATTTCTAATCCTGTTATGTTACAGGTTTCTCTTTCACCTGTTCTCTTCTTATACTACATGGTGGATATGTAGCGGAACTTTGGCTTTTGCATTTAAACTGAAAGATTTGGTTCTCTGGGAACAAATTTCAACAGCTGGGGGGTTTCTTTTAGGCTAAATCTCCCATCAAGATGGCAATTGCAACAGGCCTCTTCCCCCTCTACATCCCCAATAACCCTCTCTTTGGGGTTTTACAGAACTCTATAGAGCTGTTTTAGAACATACAAAGTAGATGTTGGAGTTCAGCCTGTGATAGTGTTTAAGGATCAGAGTGCTTTGGATGTGGGGAATGATGACAATGAGGTTCATGTGGGTAATGGTATTTCCAATGATATTGATCCAAAAAATGACCAGGAGATTGATTTTCAAAGTGTATTTTCTCATGAGAATGTTCCTGAAGGGTGTGGGGATGATGGTGTGCTCCCTGAATTGCTACAAGTGATTTCCCATAGTTTAGAGCCTGAGATTAGCTCCGCACCTGGCCCAGCTGCAGAAATTAATGAGCAAATAGATAGACGGGATGTTATTAGTCAGAATAGAAAAGCAGACCAGTTGCTTAGGCATTCTGCCAGGCTGAAAGAAAGAATGATAAGGGATTCAGGCTAAAACGAAACCCATTTCTGGCCACTTGGGACATGGCGTAATGAGGTGATAAAAGTCCCAAAAAAAGTTCATCTGTAGTCAGATGAAGCATCGTTTAGAATCAAGTCAAGATCTCATTCCTGTTCCTTAGAAGCCTTGCTTTGGAAAGATTCATGTGTTAAGTGCTTTTGATTAATGTTTTTAATTCTTGGATTTTATGATCAAGTGTTAAGTGCCTTGGATTCGTGTTTCCAGTTTTTTTATTTTACTATAGAAGTTTCTGCCTTTGTTTTTCATGAACTTGGATGGACTAATTTCCTGGACTATATGTTCCAGCTTATCTTCCTACCTAATTAGATTTACCTATTCCTTTAAAGTGCTTTTTACTATTACTGTTTTTTAATTATCTTCAATAAATGGATTGCATTTCTATATAACTGTGTGGTGTTTAAAGTCAGAGGGCTTTTCCTGGTCTGGAGTGCAATAGTAGACATGTGCATGGATCTCCTTTAGCCAGTGCCTTCGGCCATCTAGCTTATCCGTTTCGTTGGGATGCTCAAAACGAAAAGGGGCCAGCCGTTATGGATTCTCATCCAAAGAGGGACCATGTGGCAGCTGATCATGGCTCCCCGTCCCCATTCAGAATCACAATTGAATCTTTTTTATTTTCCTGTGTTATCCTGATTCTTTATACTTAATGGGACTGATTAGGAGTTGGGGGCCTGAGAGATGATGGGTGGGGTGCATGCGTGCACGTTTGGGGGTTTGGAGATGGAGAGTCACCCTAGTTTCTTTTTTTCCTTCCCTTCCTCTTCTTCAGAAAATACTTTATAAAATAATAATAGTAATTAGTAATCCCAGCAAACAAAAAGAGAAGCCTACTCCCTCTCTGAAGCAGAAAGTAGAAACCGTTTTAAGGAGCAAAACCCCAAGCAGAAAGGTGATTGCAGCTGCAGTAGAGAAAACAGTAGGGAATTTTTAAGGTAGTCCAGGTAGAATAGCTTCACTGAGCTCCAGGTCATCGCTCTTCCTTCCCTGGGAGCCTCCTTAAAATGCCAGGAAAGCTGTGTGGCATGCTGTTGGTGCTAGGGCGCACGCCTGCCTCTCCTCTAGAGTAAAAACATAAAACTCGGTCTCCTCCTCTACAAACAGAAGACAAAGGAACCAGAAAGCATGGTACCTTAACTCTGGTGCTTTTTTAAATCCAGGTCTTAATAAAGGATATGGAAGGGGAGCCTTTAGGAAGTCCCCTCCCCAACATAAGGGGCTGGAGAGGGTGCTTTCTAACTCTATTGCTGACACCCAGGCTGAGGCTCCCTTGAAGAGAAGAAAGGAAAGGCTCCCAGGGGAAGCGGGGGGCTCGTAAATTCCCCATTGCTGCCAATGGGCCAAAAAGAACTGTTTATTTGTTTGTTTGTTTTGGATGTCTAACAAAAACACCCATTCAGCAGTGCACCCGGTTTCAGGAGGCACTGGGGCTTCCAGAATCAGGCTAGCAGAAACAGAGAGCGAATCACCCAAAATGCACACACCAAATGCACAGGGAAGGGGGTTTGCAATTGGGAAGTGCAATAGTCTCTCTCTTGTTTAACCTGGATTTCATTGTTTTGCCAGTAGAAACCCACCACTGAGTCCTTCATTTGGTTTTCCTAGGAATAAACTCTCTCATTTTAATAGGAAATGAACCTTGAAGGTCTAGCTGGGGAGAATTCCTCCAGCACTTGTCTAGAATGGCCGCTTTTGGGAGGTACACTGGAGTTGAAGAAGGGATGAGGAACGTCATGAAATTGAAACAGGAAAGCAGTATTTCATTTGCAAAACACAATATTTCAGATTCAGAGGACCGGATTCCTTGTTCTGCCATTCTACACAAAAGGAGCGAACAGTACACACAGCAGATAGGAAAATAAATTCCAAGTCAGTTCAAGACAAACTAAGCTGCAAAAGGTGAAGACGGATGGCTTTTTGTGCTTTCTTAATCTCATGCCTCTCCAAGCAGAGGCTTATATAATTGCAAAGATCTGGGGAACAAAATATATTACTATGCCAGGCATCACTGTAGATCTTGCTTTGCTTTTAAAAACACACTCTCACACACACATTAACAATCATGAAAGCTAAAGCTAGGTCCAAAATTGCACAAAGCATGGCTTTGCATCATAGGTCAATGCATTACTTGCTAATTTTTTCATTTATAAATTGCAGGCTATCTTTTCGATTCTGTAAAATAAATGAATGGGCTCCCAAAATCCCTTGGTAATTTTGAAGAATATCTAAGGCTATGCAAATGCGGGTGTCCCAGATGTCAGGCATGCATCAGCACTGCCCTCTGATGGAAGAAATATGAGGTGCTGAAACTGGCAATAGACTCCAATTCTAGCAAAAGGTAATATTACTTATATAAATAATATTACATATGGTATTATATCATTGCTTCACTGCGACAGGGAAATCTGAACTGGTGACAGGCATGCATCCTCTCTGACATTTGGATAGAGAAGAGTAGAACAGATGTCATAAATGCGTAACACAATCACTTCTGCTGAAAAATTAAAAGAAAAAGCTCTGCTGGCACTTGAAATCAGTGTTCCTGCCACATGGAACAAGTTTAAAGGAGGGGTTTTGGATTCCCTGTTAGTGAAAGCGAAGCTTGATGATGAAGACAAGTGTCTTGATCTGATGGCTGCCTGGGATTTGTTGTGCTTGTGTGAAAGAGAGCTAGTAGCGTATACATTTGACTCTCGGGCCCTCCCACATTATCTGCTTTAAACTGGGCTATATTGGAGATGAGGACTCAGATAACCCAGGGAGCTTCCACACAGTCATATAACGTAGGCCCCAACCACGCAGCTAAATAAAATTCCACATTATCTGCATTGAACTGGGATATATGGCTGTGTGGACTCAGATAACCCACTTCAAAGCAGATATAATGGGATTTTCTGCCTTGATATTCTGGATTATATGACTGTGTGGAAGCGCCCCCAGAATATCAAGGCAGAAAATCCCACAATATCTGCTTTGAACTGGGGGCCCATCCAGACAATACTTTTATTGCGGAGTCTACCACAATGAAGGAGGGGCTGTCCAGACAACGTTCTGGACAGTACCAAATTAATTTTCTACGAACCAGGAAAACCCTGGTTTGTAGCTAATTAATTAGATAGTGGGTTTATTCTGCACCTTCTTGGAAGTAATGGTAGTTTACCCATGCTGTGCCAGGAGAGCTGTGGGGGAAAGAGGGAGGAAAATCACTCCCCCCCCCCCCCCGCCTCTCCTGGCGCGTCATTTCTACGCACCAGGATAGCTGGCCGAAGCCTGTAATGGAGACTGGGTAAATTTCCATTACATTTCTAAGGGATCTGGTGGCTTGGGGGGAGGGGAGGAGGGCCTCCAGACATTCTCTTGGGCTAGTCCCAAGGGAATGTCTGCGTTTTTGGGGTGGGTGTGGGCAGGCCCCCAGGAAAATGGGTGGTTTTAAAACGCAGATTCTCCTGGGAAAAAGGAGACAATCCATCCTGGGTTATCTGAATCCACCCGATGCCAAGCCCCCCCCCCCCCAAATATTTGTAGTTCGCCAAGGGCCGGACGATGGATTCTGTTGCTTCCTGACCCAGCACACATAACTGGGTTCCTGTTTCCCCTCTGTGAATTCTCTGGCTTGTGCACTGGACCCTGGCCCCTGATCAGGGAAATGTAGTTTCCCGGGTCTCGGCTGGGAGATGCAGTTCTCTAAAGGACATTGCCCCACACTTCATCGTTTGGAAACTCTTTGCGGACCTTTCTTGCCATCACTTGTTGACTTGATGCCCTATCATCATGAACTTCCTCCACGAACTCAAAACCAAGCCTCTTGGGGAGAATGGCCCCCCCTCCCTCCTGTGTGAGTGCGTGCCCTTG